TAGTAGTCCAGATAAAACCCTCAAGGAAGTGAGCATGTACTTGGATAGGAACTAGGACCAGCTTGTGATCCTCTCATACTCTTAAACTCCTAGAAGAAATACAGAGATCCTTGCTCTAAAAGGAGGCTCCTCATGCCCCAATGTAAATTAGCTCACGGTGACACTTGAATCAGTACCAGAAAGTGTCTTGGGGGAGGAGGAAGGAGTTAATTGCAGTGGGTATTTYAGTGAGGTCTGACTAGTTCAGAAACGGTTGGACTTGGCCATGTGTGTGCACTGGAAACCTTTGTGAAGGCCATTTCAGATAATTGGTTAGAACGGAAACCAAGTTGGAGAGACTCCCAGAGGAAATGGGAGGATGTGGGGGATGGCCTTTCTGATGTGTTTTCCTATTGCTCCCTCTCCAGAAACATTGGTCTTTTCACAGAAACCTTCAGGTTGTGGTGTTCTGAGCCCCCAGCCATTCCTGGGATTCCAGACCAAAGTTAATGTCAGGGTCAAGTTTATCCTAGTTTCTTCCTCTTGAAAGGAAGTGTCAGCGACTCAGTGTTTATCCTTTCTGGCTTTCTGAAGAGACTTCTGCACCCATTCTAATACTGTAGAGAGTACATTTGAAGAGAAGTGACATTAATAGAGCTTGAGAAGAGAAGGAGCTGTCRAAAAATTGGAGAAATGTGGCTCTTGAGCTGGTAGATCAGCAAAGTACAAAGAAATAAGGCCGAGCGTTATTCTGGGGCTTTGTGAGCTGTCTCTATTCTTCACAAGCCATTGGAAATAGCTGAAAATATATAAAATCAAGTCCTAGATTGGATTTCAAAGACAGAGTCTAACTGAGGTTTTGTCTGAGCGGGGACCTGCCTCCCTCTTACTCAGTAAGGAGGGTCTTAACTCTTCTGTAAGTAAGACTCCAAAGTTAGGTTCTCAAGGCTAAATAGAAACAAGGACAAAGTTAGTGGTTGAGCACCTAATGCATACTCAGTGCTGAGGACAGACACAGTCATTCCCTTCTGGAAATTTTCAAACTAGTATTGGGGACAGGAAGGAGCTATGGAGGCCAAACACCCTAGTGTATAGGAGAAGCTGGAAGGACCATGTGACAGGTTAACCGAGGATTCCTTCTCCTCCAAGAAACTCTGCTGTACAAATTCAGTTTCTCCTTAGTCACATTCTCCAAACTAGCCTTATAAGGACCTCCTTTCATTCCCTATTAAACAATCCATGTTCAGTAATTTGATCCTTTTTCGGCTGGAAGCATGAGTATAGTTTTTGCTTTTTAGCAATTATTCATTCTTTGTTATCAAAACATCTTAGAGAGGGACTTTGCAGGACCATTAATTATCCGGATGCTTTCTTAACAATTGTAGATATTTCACATCTTGTTCTTTCGGTGGAATGTTGTGTTGATGCTATGATGCTTTGACAAAGTCAGGTAGGGCCCACAGCTCAGGGCATGGGATGGCTGCTCAGCTCTTACTGGCCCACTCACACTGTGACATTGCTTAGGTTTCCCACTGGGAAAAACTGTCTACCTGCCAGTGTCTGGTTTTTGTCACTAGATGACCCTTTTCTTCCCTTTGGCTTTTACCCCAAGGTGCCTGATTCCTTTGGAGGGGACTYGTGGGAGACATTCCAAAGATTTGCACCACACACTCAACCAAATAAGCTCTTTACAGCTTGGTTTTTAAAGAAATGTTAGGTGTGAAAGTTTTTTTATGTAAAATAAGCTCTCGAGTCCACATCTGATTGTAATAGGTGGCACTGCCTCTAAAGAAACAGCAGGGCTAGATGGGACCCTCAGAGGTTCCAGGGTTCTGGTCAGGTTCAGTTTGTGCAGCCTCCTGATGCACCTCGCTGCCCGGACTGTGAGCTCTTCGGGTTGTAGAGACAAAGCCATTGCTGGGTCCCGGGATTCAGATCTGGCTGGCCTCACTTTGGAAGAAAGGAATAGTTTCCTATTAGGTAAATCCTTTGGGACTCCTCCTTCCTGTCTGGTACTGGTCAAGGTTCTTAGATTGCAAATAACCAGAACCCAATTCTTGTGGGCTACAGCTAAAAAGGGTTTTATTGGCAACATTCTAGTTACAGATTCATGGGGTTATTGAAGCCTGGAAAACTGTAATCAGAACTGTGCAGCAATTCAAGGAGGCTGGGTCAGAGCCACAGTCAGGCCCTGGAGGAGTCTGAGTAGGATGTAGCTGCTGTTGTCACCATTAGTGAGGCTTGGACCCTGGGCATCATCCTTGGCATGCTGCCACTGCCACCTTTGCTGCAGTTTTGATTGTGTTTTAAATTGCCCCCCTACTTCTTTATGTCACCTGTGTAGTTTCAAACTGTCACCAAGTGAGAGCATGCATCAGAACCCACTACCTTAAAAGTGAAGACCTGGTACTCACCCATATGTTGTCATTCATGCCTGCTAGAGTCACACGAGCTCTTGAAATATTGAAATGGTTTATTTCATACTATCCTGGGACCACTCTGCTTCTGTCCTTCTACCTCTCTCCATGCAGCCACTGAATGGTTAACACCAGCCTCGAGGAGAGTCCTCCCAGAGAGGGCTGCAACTGAATGCTGCAGTTGGCTGGGCATAATTCACGAGCCACTTATCAAGCAGGAACGAACTTTATTTTTAGAACACACACACACACACTCACACACACACACACACACACACACACACACACAGCACCACCCGAGCTCTTCAGGAATTCCCTCAGAGCCCAACTGCCACCACCAGCTTCCCACAAGCCTCTCAACCCCCCACTCCTCCTKCTCTTGAGGCCAATTGGCTGGGTCACATGGGCGGAGCCAAAAGAGTCCCCCAATGAGCAGCTCYGTGGTCTGAAAGGGCGGGGAAACAGCCCAATGAGCATCACCGCAGAGGAGCCAATCAGCTGGCAGCTGGAAGTTTGCTGGGGCCACGGTGAGCCAATCAGCTGGAAGTTTGCTGGGGCCCCTTCGGCTGTGGCTCTCAACAACTGAAGTCTACTCCTGTTGGTGGACAGCTGTGGCAAAGTGATGGTTAAGTGTTTGAGTAATATCCCTGACCGTGTCTACTTTAGATCAGTTTATAAGTAAGAGTGGGGCTGACACTTAGAAGTTAATAGTTTCTGTACTGAGAAGCATAAAATGTACAAAAGGATACCGCCAAGTGACAGTGACTACTTTTCAGTGTGAGTTGAGGCCTCTTTTTTTGCTTGGTTTGTGTGATAGCTCCGTTATCTCYATTCATTTCTTCCCCAGCATTAGTGGCTGTGTGCTTTGTACTCACTTTTTAAATTAAGATGAATTAAATGAGACTGTGCAGAGGAAATTGGTAAATGGACTGTGGAGTACTATTACAGTGAAATAGTATACAGCCATAAAAGTGATGAATATACTGACTGTGTAGAAACCCAGAAAAATGTTCATGAAATAGCTGTTTTTAAAAATGAAGGAGGGGCGGGGATGTGGCTCAAGCGGTAGCRAGCTCGCCTGGCATGTGCGGGGRCGCTGGTTTCTATCCTCAGCACCACATAAAAATAAAATAAAGATGTTGTGTCCACCAAAAACTAAAAAAATAAATATTAAAAAATTCTCTCTCTCTCTCTTAAAAAAAAATGAAGGAGCTGGGGATGTAGCTCAATGGTAGAGTGCTTTTCTAACATGTGTGAGACCCTTGTTCCATCCCCAGTACTACAATAAATAAATAAATAAATAAATAAAGATAAATAAAACACAAAGCTGTTCAAATATGCTTATAACTGTGTAAATGTTATTTATGCATTTAAAGATAGAACTGCAAAGGAATAGAAATAGTTTCTGTTAAGATAGTTTCACAGTTGAATCAAACATTCAATATGCTTTAAAATTGAGTAAAGCCTTAACATAATGAAATGATTGTGAAAATTAAAAAACATTTGCTGATAATCACAAATAGCCCTTTGGGTTCTGGGAGGCAATCTGAGATATTGTAAAGGTAGGATTAGAAAATGGGAGTATGTACTGAACACAGCAAGTTTGTGCTCTTTGACTGAATGTTTCCACGGCTTAGAGAACAATTTAAGGGGATGCTGAAGGTCATGGATAGTCTCACGTGTATTGGACAGTGACAGGCAAAGTTAGTGCTGGTTTGGGCTACAGAGAAGGACTTAGAATGACTTTTCTTTTCACCTCCACAGTTCTACTCTTGTCAGTGTAAGGATAGTAAGCAAAGCAACTGAGAAGGGAAACCAGTGCCCAAATCGAGCTTRTTAAAAAGGGAAACTAAGCATGTCGCCTCATGTGGACCCTTTACCCTATTTTGACATTCCTATTACATAATTTGTGAACCAAGGATTTTTCTCTCTGTCTTTTCTGGTATATTTTCTAGTGCAAAGGGACTAGCTTGTATTCTGGTTAGAATGCAGATTCTGATTCAGTTATGTAGAAAAAGTGGAGTCTGGGTTTCTGCGTTTTTAATAAGCTCCCAGCTAATACCAGTACTGATGGTCTTGGGACAACACTTTCAGTGTCAAGGTTCTGCATACCCTGAGGACTCACTTTCCTGACTRTGTGACCTACACGTGTGTTCAGTTAGAACTCACTATTCATAATACACACCATACCTGTGTTTYAAAAACTATAAAACACTATTGAGAGAAGTTAATGAGGACAGAAAGCAGAGCCGTGGTTCCTAGGGTGTTGGGATGATATACCCCTTGTAGAGAAGCACAGGGAACTTTTTTGGGATGATGGAAATGCTATCTGTATATTTGAGTGGTGATTTTAAGACGTGTATTTGTCAAAACTTTAATCGTACAATTAAAACAGATACATTTCATTACGGGTTGAATGATGTGCCCAAGGTCACAAAGTATGTGGCCAGCTGTGAGCCTGACGACGCCGCTTGGCCAGGCGACTCCTGGTTCAGCTCTGTTTTATCAAGGGCTACAGTGCTTGCATTTTTAATGCTAGCCATAGGGATTTATCTTGAACCTGCCATTCATCCAGCCCATTGTGTGGTGTTTGTTTTTCTGCAGAGCATTTCAGAGCCCCAGCTGCAGAAGCCTTGTCCTGCCAYCACCATGAGCTCTGGTAAGTCATTTAAAACTCTGCCTTTCTTTTGTGAAGTCTACAAAACCGGGCAGTTTACCCAGATTTCCCATATACTCTGAGGGCCCCACAGCATTTTATGTTTCAAAACGTGAGTAAGCACCCACACTCTGTCATAAATCACCACATACATTGTTAATATTTTTTTGAGTATCTCTGGTGTCAGAACTGTACTGTGCACTTTGCATGCACTGTGTTCTGATCTTTACAAYAGCCCCCTTTCTTTTTAGTGAGACATAATGGGCAGACAACACAGTGCAGATAATTTTAAGTATATAATCTGATAAATGTTGACAGACTTGTACACCTCAGTGGCATTTCTTAATCTGAGAGGTGGCAGCAAAAGTACCCAGATTGACCATAATTACCCCAGAGTGAGAGTTAATCTGAAACTTCCTTTATTTCCACTGGCAGAACAATGTGCACCCTTTTGCGGGTGCTGTTGATAGTAAAAAATCAAGAACTAAACAAATGACTAATTTTGAGTATTTTTAGTCCTGGGCTAGTATGGAAAGCACAGGGTTAAGGAAGACAGAGAAGGAAAGARATTCCTGTTGATTGTGCAGCCAAGAATTGCCAGGGTTCCAGCCTAGAATTGGAGGCAGAGAAAGTTCCATCAGAAATTTGGTCCTACTATGGCTCTGGAGCATATTCTGGAGCCTCCCAGGACCTGCAGGTGGGGATGGCAGGGTAACTGGGTGAATATCTCATTCAAGGGGTCCCCTAATCTTGCATTATTTCAAGGATTTTATCTCTGTAGATTAAAAACTAGCCTCTTTTTGTTCATTGGCAACCGTGCTCTTTTAGCCAAGTCCTGAACTGTGCAGGACAGTGTGAGGTGTGGCCTGGGGGAAAAGCTCAGGGCCACACCCCCACCTCATTCATCATGTATTTTCGAGGTGACTGTGGGCCTGTGGTAGATGCTTTTTTGCATTCTATAAAATGGCCATGGTAAAACACCAACCTGTTGGGATTTTTGAGAGGATTTAGTGAAGCAATGCTCTTCAAATACTGAGCACCATGCCCAGACATGGCTAGTGCTCTATCCTTGGAGTTCATGCTATTAGCAGTCCAGAGTTTTTCCCTGCAAAGAGAAGAACTTGACTTGTCYCCCATTCCTGAGTGTGTTTGCTGTGTAGGAAGACACTGTGTACCTTTCCCCCTCCAATTGGACTAAGGTGCTGTACATAACTCATTTTCTGTTGTTCATTTGCATTTATTGTCATTTAAAATAAGCTTCCCCTCCTGCAAAAGTTTTGCTCTACAGTCWAAAGTTTCTTACTCTKCCAATCTCAGGATTCGCCTCAACTGGCATCCTGCTACAGACATCTATTAGGGGAGGCGAAGGAGGAGGAAGGGAGGGCCTGGAGGGAGGGTGAGGTGTGGCAGTGCCCAAGGGACTTCCCCAGGGTCTCACTGAGAGAGGGGCTAAAAGGAGGCATTTCCTAGGAAGCCCTGTGTCCTGTGGCCCTATAATCTCAGTCTTAGGACTTTCTATCTTAATTTGAAAGAAACAAAACATCACCCTCATAAAGGTAAGGAATGAGAAAATGCACCATGTATTGTCTGATGGGATAGTGGGCTACTGYTAACAGTGATCAGGGGGAAGACCCTCACTGCCAGGAAAACATTTGTTTGCATCTTTGAGAGAAAGAGCAGCATGAAAGACGTGTTCTTTTCAGTTGACCTTTGGACTGAGCTGCCAGGATCTGACAGAAGTCCTTTACCTGCATGATCTTGCTTCATCTTCCTGGAAACCAAATGTGGGCCTGGCTTACTGCCTCTATTAAGTAGATGGGGAAATAGAGCCCYCAGGGGCTAATAACTGGGATCACTTAACTAGTATGGAGTGATGTGGAGGCAAATGCAGCCTGTTGGACATGCTGCTGCAGAGGCTTGAGTTTGTTGCTTTGGGGGTAGATTGTAGGGGTTGGGGGGGGGTGTCAGAAACTAGGGATACCCAGAGTCACTCTACCAGTGAGCTACATTTCCAGCCCTTTTAATTTTATTTTATTTTGAGACAGGGTCTCCCTAAGTTGCAGAGKCTAATATTGAAYTTACGTTCTACCTGCCTCAGCTTCCTGAGTAGCAGGCTGACAGGTTTTACTTTGGCACCCAGTTTGGCTTTATTGCTTTTTAAACCCTTTTTTCAAAGTTTTTTCTAGGTTGATTATTATGTTTAATCAAGGGAGAAAAAGGGAAAGGAAGAACATGTGCCTGGGTTTGGTGGTAGCTCATGGCCACTCTCTGCAAGCCTGGGGAGGCCCAAGGCAAAGCCAACAATCCCAAACAGCTGTGATCAAGGGGAACCAGGGCAGGTACATAGAAAGGRATAAAGATGGTTGAATGATGGAACTTGTGATGTTTTCTGTACTTAGGTTTCTGCCTTCTCACCAAAGCTATTTTTCTACCTATTCAGAAATGAGGGCYCAAGGGAGATTTGGCATCCAAGGGAATGACCCTTTATCTGCAGGCATATGTGGGTGAGGAACAAGATGCAGCCTTGGGGCTGGCATTGACGAAGTCCAGGGCACTGGTAGAGAGGGCCAGGGTCCCTGCTCATGTGTGGTGCAGGCTGTAGCCAGGCTAGCCTGTTTGTGTAGTTTATYGGGTGTCCAACCTTTCAGGAGACTGATTGTTAAGAACCTTGGTAGGGTGGAAATCTTAGCCAGATGTGTTACTAGAGTTTGGGACTGGGCTTCAAGCCCAGCATTTGGGGAAATGTGACAAAAAATAAATCAGGAAACCAAATTATTTTAGTTAGGGAGGAAGAAGATGAGCTATGATCTGGGGCTGTTCAACTCCCAGCTTAATGATCTTGGGTAGGCCCGACATTCTCTCGGTGCATTAGTATTCTTATCTGTAGAAGTTTCCAACTCTTAACTGCAAAGGGTTGGGTCTAAAGGATAAAGTGAAATGCTGATTATGGAATGCTGAACCTAGATCCTCAAACCCAGGCAGATAGATGCTTAAAGAATTATAGTTAGGATTGTGTTTGTAGCTTGGTTAGCTCTTTGATGTTGGGGTGCACTCCTCCAAGCACTCCTGCCTATTATCCCTACCCTGCCACTATCTRTCTATTTTGGGATAAAGAACTGGGCGAGACCCAGGCTTCTGGTGGKCAGGGAAGGTCTCAGTGTTGTCTGCAGCTGAGCAGAACTAATGAAAAGTCACAGCTGACACAGAGGAGGTGTGATATTCAAGGTGAGACTTTAGGATGCATAGGCTTTCCCCAAGGTAAGGAAACCACATTCCTAGCCARTACCTCAAAGGAACCAAGGACTAGAAGTCTGAAAGTCTCCAATACACTCAGTTTAGTTCAGCAGAGTAGGCAGGGAGAGGAGTGAAATACAGCTGGGAAGGGCTTGGACAGGTGGTCCCAAGGGACTTCAATTCAGGGCAATTTGCTTATGYTCTGTCCTTTGGATATGCTCTGTCYTTGGCCTGGTGGCCCCTGAGGCTTGTGGGCTGGGTAGTTGGTTTTTAATCAAGAATGTTGGTTTGTTAATTTGAATATAACCTTGTATTGCCTAGATGCAGGTCACCCTACTTACTAAAACTTTATATATCCCGAACAATCATTTCTATACTTTTGGGAACTTGGAATACATATATTTCCCAGTGGAAATAATATTCTACATGAGTGAATTCCCAGGCTAAACTCCCCAATTTTAATWTTCAAATCTGAGGTCAAATATAGTACATTTAAAGGAAAAYAGCCAAGAGAATCATGTTGCAGAGTCCCATTTTGTTTCCATCTGTCCTGTAGCCCCGGGCTCCTTAATGCAAGGTGGTGGTTAGGTCAGAGTCTAGAAAGTGCTCTCYGGATGCAGATAAGGGTTGGAGTAGAGAAGGGACAGAAAGAAGGCAGGCAGGATGTCAGGAGGTCATGGCATCTCTGGGACAGTAGCACAGGACCTGAACTGGGGTGATGAGGAGGGGAAGTGTCTAAAGGCAAACTATGGAAAGGATGGCATGACTTTGACAAGCTYGACACGGGATGGGTGAGGGAAGATGTCAGGGAGCCCGAGGATTCCATCTGATTGTCTGAYATGGTGCACTGTGGATGCACAAGGGTGCCTTTGAGCTGGCCTTTGAGCAGRTAGACAGGCCTTGTCAGATAGGAGGTTCCATTTTAGAGGAGTTAGACAGATTTTTTAATTTCTTATTTTAATTTAATTTAATTTTTTAATATTTCTATTAGTTATTAATGGAACTTTATTTATTTGTTTAAAGGTGGTGCTGAGAATCAAACCCAGTGCCTCATACATGCTAGACAAGTGCTCTACCACTGAGCCACAACCCCAGCCCCAAAAGATTTTTTTTAAATGTCAGAAAAGAAGCCATAGTCGGACATGGTGGCATATGCCTGAAGGGAAGGCTGAGGCAGGAAGATCATAAGTTTGAGGTCAACCTGGGCAACCTTTTTTTAAAAAAATATTTATTTTAGTTTTAGGTGGACATAATATCTTTATTTTATTTTTATGAGGTGCTGAGGATTGAACCCAGTGCCTCACACTTGCTARGCGAGCACTCTACCACTTGAGCCACAACCCCAGCCCCCCAACCTGGGTAACTTAGTGAGACCCTGCCTCRAAATAAAAAGGGCTAAGGCTGTAACTTAGTGTTGAAGCACCCCTGGGTTCAATCCTTAGGACCAAATATACCAAAAACAAAAATTAAAACAAAACAACATGGCAAAAAAAYAAAAAGAAAAAGAAAAGGAAGCAAGAGAATTTACACATATCACCCACAACATACTTCCCATCTCTMCATAGATTTTGTATCCTGCCTGGTTCAGGCCACACAACATTCTTGGAGGTCTCCCAGGATGCCCTAGGGGGTCTATCTCAACCCTGAGAAAACTGATGGGATGCGTGATGGTAGATAGAGCTGTATCAGGGACTTAGGGACAGGACCCCTCTGCTGTCTCTTGACTCTTTCCCCAGCACCTTGTATCACATGGGACTCAGTAAATGCTGGGTGATATGGTCACAAATCTCAWGTTCTTTTTCTTTCTTTCAGAATGTGATGGTACTTCTAAAGCTGTTGTGAATGGCTTGGCACCTGGCAGCAATGGGCAAGACAAAGGTAAGGCTCCTGAAGAGAAGCCTGGGGTGGTACTGAAAAGCATTTCTAGAAGGTGTGTGGTATGTGGGTTGGGCCACTCCACTTCCCTGGGAGTAACTTCACTGGCCAATCAGGCKGTGAACTAGGGACCAGTTCCCTATAATGACATGGGTTCTTGATTCTCACTGGTCGAAGGCTCTGAGATGGTATATTGAAAACTGTCCCTAGTTCACAAGGATGCTATGAAGAATGGGTCAAATATATAGACCAAGGCAYCTGCCACGCCTTATGCATCTGGCATTCATCACCCTGAAATCTTACATTTCACCTTTGCTGGTAAATAGGGATACTTGCACAGCATGGGAGGCAAGAGCCTAGATCATTAAAAKAAATTATTTTAGTGCAATTAGTTTCCTGCACATTCTGTCATATTTTCAGATTTTTTTTTTGTTCTGCTTAAGATAGAACCAAGGGCCCCTTGTGTGCTAGGCAAGCCCTCTACCACTGAGCTATATCCTGAGACCTCATATTTTTAGTTTTTAAATACTGAAGTTGAGAATCATGGGCAAGGGGAGGGAAAGGAGAAGTACTAGGGATTGAATCGGAACAAATTATTTAATAAGCACATATCARTATGTCTAAATGAACCCCACTATTGTATATAACACACTAGTAAAACATTAAAAACTCTTTTTAGAAAAGAGATTTAAATGTGAAGTGAATAATGGATAAGATGACCTTTGAGGTCCTATTTGCTCAGAGACTTTTACCTTGAATTCTTTAATGTGTCTGTCTAAACAGCCTAGCAGTGGATTCCTGGCACGCCCCCTCCCCCTTTGGTATCAGGGAATGGACCCAGAGGCACTTAACCACTGAGCTCCATCCCCAGCCCTTTTTATTTTTTATTTTGAGACAGAGTCTCACTAAGTTGCTGAGGCTATCCTCAAACTTCTGATTCTCCTGCCTCAGCCTCCCAAATCTCTGGGATTACAGGCATGTGCTACTGCATCTGGTTCCTGACACCATTTTTGCAGTATGGGGTGACAGGGAGCTTAAGTTGGAGTAATGAGAAACGGTTCAAGGACTAGTTCTCCCTTCACAAACAGAGATGTCTTGGGCGGTCTTTTATCTTTAAGAGTGTGAATTCTCTTCTCTCTAAATGAGGGATTTTGATGACCTGTAGTATTTATTCCTGCTTCCCTTCCGGGGCTCCAGTGATTCTCTGACTGCTCATTCAGCTACATTTTATGGAATCAAAGGGGAAGCGGGGGGGAAAAAACCCTGGTGTGGGCCATTTAAGCCAAAAGGCAAGATCTCCCAAAGAATAATGCCAGAGAGTGTGTCATGTTTGGCCTTTGTAATTCCCATCTGGTGCAGCCAAGATTTCCTTCTGAGACAAGGCCAGGTATGAACCCAAAGGGAAGCCACGAGGGAGAGAAGGCAGAGAGAGCAGGAAGAGTTGGGGACTCTGGGCCCAGGTGGTTTGGAGGTGGGCTCCTTAGGGACAGGAGGTGTCCTGCTGTTGTCCTGTTCTCCCTGCCTCCCTGCCTGGCCACTCTTGGTGTGGGACTGTATCTACTGTGTTCTTGGGGTCTTGAACAATCTTGGTGCAGCTGCACTTAGGGGACAWTGGGGGCAATACATGTGGAGTGGCTGCAAGGGAGTGTTAAGCATCCAGTGAGGAGCGTGGTGGGGGTGGGGATCTCATTATTTTTTAAAATCTGTGGGTCCCTCCGCTCTGTCCCTGTGAATTCATTTAAACAAGTGACTTAAGGAGGTGGGAGAAAGGTGGAAGGTGGAGGTGGGTTCTACTCTCTTCCTAGTAAGACTCATCTTTAACTGGAAACAAAGAGGTCGGTGTTTTGTCAGGGGAGCCTCTGGAGGTCACAGAACCAGGAACCAGGACAGCTGAGCTCCAGTCTCAGCCTCTGCACTTGAGAACTGAGTGGTTGGCTTCTTCCTCTGAAAATAGTAACAAATCTCCCACCCAGCCAGTCTCCCAGGTGATCATAAGGCATAGTCAATAGGATGGCTGTGAAAGTTCATTTGTATCTTACTGTGTGCAGAATTGTCATTATTTACTTAGTTATTGGTGGCCATATGGCATATGAAGTGTCAGGTGATGGGTTGGGAGGTACACTGTCCACTGCCAAGGTGCCTCCCCCCCTCCCTCCTGTTCTTGGTTTCACCAGCATGATGTTTGATTCAGCAGTAACAATCTTATACCCAAGCAGTACTACCCCTTTGTTATCCTGTGACTCTGGGGCCCTGAGACCTCTGGGCATCATTTGTTGGAGCAACTTTGGCACCAGAGCACAAGAGCTCTGACCTTTCTTTATTTGCTGCCATAAATAAAGCCTCGCCAGAGGCTTGGGGATGTGCTCACCATTGAGATCAGAGCCTGGGCAGGCAGGGAGCCCAGAGACACTGCAGATAGATAAGTGAAAGTACATTGGCCTCGAGGACCACAGCCCTCCTTGCATCCCAGACTCTGATCCTACTCTGCTTTAGCTCAGCTGGGCATTGGGACCTTGGATTGTGCCTGAGTCTGCCTAGTCTTCAGCATGCACTTGGATATTTGGCAACTCTTTCCCAGTGAAGGGTAGGTTTAAGCAAGACCATCTGTTTCCAAACAGATGGGGGTTCCGATTTGCTTGGGGCCAGAGGGTAATGATTGTTAGAATGAGCCCAGGACCCCACAAGTTATGATTTGGGGAAGCAGTTATGGTGATTGAGGTGACCAGGCGACTCACAAACTTATTTCTTTCTTTGCTCGACTTATCTGGAGCCTTTGGTCCACAGCCCTCTCCCCAGAGCCCTTGCTACAGAGCAGACCACCCGGCAATCTCTCAAGGGGCCCCTGGACCCTGATTGCACTCCCCTTCCTCCATTTGCCAGGCCATCTGTGTCTCTGTACAACTCTTTGTCCAGAGCCTTGGCAAGCTCCCGGTGTGGCAGGAGGCACTAGTAAACACTGACCAACTGTATTTGGGTGATGGTTGGAGGCAGGCTTCTGTGACTTGGCCCAGAACTCTAGAGAGAGAAAGCAGGTTATTTTTGATTACTGCATCTACTGCTCTTTGTATTGTTCTTCTTGTGTAGGCGACTTCCTCCTATTGTCCTTGCTCAGTTCCTCAACTGCCTGAGTGTTTCCCAAATGTTCCTTCTGGATGCACCATTTACCCTTTTGTGTTTTCAGCAACTGCCGACCCTTTACGCACACGCTCTATTTCTGCTGTTAAAATAATTCCTGTGAAGACAGTGAAAAATGCTTCAGGCCTAGTGCTCCCTCCAGGTATCTCGTCTTGGGTTGGTTCCTTTCTTTCTAATTGTTAGATCACGCATGGCTCCTTTCTTCTTCTAACACATACTTTGAGGCTTAATCCTTGCATGTTCATGAGGCATTCTCCCTCTCTTCCTGTTTGTTTCCTTTCTTCGTGTGTGTGTGTGTGTGTGTGTGTGTGTGTGTGTGTGTGTGTGTTTCTGGGAGACAACAAGAAGGAAAATTGCAAACAATGGCCTTGCCTTCCCTCCATTAGGAGAAGGGTCAGTTGGGGGCAGGGCATTTGGTTTGCGTGGACTTGTTAGCTCTCCCTAGAGCTTTACAACTTCCTGTGCTTCAGTAAAAAATCTACTTTCCTGGAGAATTAACCTGGCCTCACACAGGGAGCCTCTGACTTGGGCTGACTTGGAAGCAGCTGCTGTAGATGCCAAACCTTAACTTGCTTTGGTGATGCTCTGGGCTGTTTTCCAGAGCACCCTGCCCCTCCCTAGCTTTACCTGCAGTTATTTCCTGCCTGTTGGGTGGGGAGGAGGCAAGGCACAGTTAAAATGTCAGTTCAGATGTCACCTCTGACTCACAGCTTCCTTCTGTACCAAGTGGGACAAGTGAGGCCGAGGCTGCATCTTATCCTGTAGCACTTCCAGAAGTTGGGCAGTTCTGGCTGGATTTGCCAGTTTGCCCCTCGGTTTTTTGAAATGACCATAAACATTTTTCCTAATAGTTTTGTGACATCAGTCACTTACCTTCTTGACAGGTAGAAAGGTCAGAGCCTCTCCAAGGCCACCTCCTGTTCCGCCATGCATTGTGGCTTCTGTGCTTTGCTTTCAGTGGACACAGAGGGCAGATCTGTCCTCTTCTATAGCACCGATAACCATTCTGAGTTGTTGGGAAAGGGCTGTTGGAATGGAAAGCAAGGAGAAAAGAAGAATTGCTTCTCTATCCTTGCATAGGAATGAGGATGAGTCGGACAGTGAGCCCACTTCCTGTGCAAATGCACACCCTGAGCTTTAGCCTATAATCCTAAGCGCGGCGATTTTAGGTCAGTGATAGAGGCTGTGAGCAATTTGGAGGAAAAAAAAAATAAGCATGGAGTTTAGCTTAGCTCAGCTGCACAAAAAGAAACATTTGGCACATGTGCCTTCTAGAATTGCATGGTCTGCGCCCGTTTCCTGTCTCCTCATTACTGATTTTCCTGGAGGATAGGCATCCAGATCTTTTGAAGCTTACAGTGGTCCCCCTGAACTGCAGTTTCACTTTCTGTGGTTTCAGTCACCTGTGATCAACCATGGTCTAAAGGTATTAAATGGAAAATTCCAGAGATAAACAATTCACAAGTTTTAAATAAGTTTTATTAAATTATAAGTTTATAATTGCTCCATTTCATTATTAGTTATTGTTAATCTCTTCCTGAGTTTAATCTATAGGGCTTTATCATAGCCGTGTGTGTGTGTGTGTGTGTGTGTGTGTGTGTGTGTGTGTGTATAAATAAACAGCATATCTAGGGGTCAGTGCTATCCGTGGTTTCAGATGGTCACTGAGGGTCTTGGCCCCTTGGGTTAGGGTGACTACTGTATTTTGAAATCCTTCTCAAAGAAACAAAGTGTCCTGGGTCTGTTATTAGGCCCTCATGAAACTGTAAGGGGAGGTTGAAGACCCTGTGAAGACTCAGCAGAGGTTCTGAGGATACTGTCCACTGGGGGGCTGAGTCTCCAGTCATCTCCTTTACTGTGAGTGTTCTTCTTTGTGTTTGGAATAGAGGTCCCCACCCATGAGCAGTGTGTCCTCCAGACTCATTTCAGAGTCTTGACTTAGAGATTTGAAGAGTCTTGTTCTTCCTTTTTTTCCTGTTGGAGAACTTCAGAGAGCAGTAATTCTCCTGAAAACATCTCTCGAACTTCTCTATGTTGCCAGCTTGCTCTTTTGTAAGAAGGGTGCTCTGGAAGCTTGAGAGATCTTTCATAAATGCTTTTTTGAACTGTGCCTTACTAATTGGCTAGAAATCCACTCACCATCCTAAACTTCATTTAATAAAAGGAATAAACCTGCTTTCATTTCAAAATATTTTGAGCTGATATGGTAACTCATACTCTTACTCAGAGCTGACTTCCTCCATTTCCCCCTAATCTCATGATGAGCCATAACCCCCTGAGAATGTGAATTATCCCTCTCTACCACCTTCAGATTAATTTCATTAGCCACAAATGTTTGAGACTTTGCATAGCTTTAACCAGGTTCATCTCATTCCCTGGTTATAACAATTTGCTAACTGACTGTTATTTTAATTCTCCAGGAGTCTTGGATTTAATGTTCATTTTTGGCTATTTTCTTTTCAGACATGGATCCTACAAAAATCTGCACTGGGAAAGGAGCAGTGACTCTTCGGGCCTCATCATCCTACAGGGAAATCCCAAGCAGTAGCCCTGTGAGCCCTCAGGAAACCCCACAACATGAAAGTAAGCCAGGTGCGCTCCCTATAAGACTGGGGTCAGATGTGCAGAGCCTCATGGGAAGGGCAAGAGGTCATCCTGGTTTTTCTCAGGGAGTGTGAATTCATCAACCACCTCCTGAGTTTTTCAGTGGTTCCTGGGACAGTCAACTCCTTGTCCCTTCTGTGATGGCTATTGGTCCAAGCCCTGGACTGACGGGTAGTTGTGTGTTTTGTGTGAAATCACAACAGTAATCTCCACTTTATCATAGCTTTGACTGAATAAATTGTCCTGTTACATGGACCAGTGCTCTGTAGATTGCAATCACGTGGACAGAGGTGGCTTAGGGCTTGGGGAGCACATGCTAAGACAGGCCATAGGTTAGGCCTCTCTGAGCTCATCCCCACTTCTGAAAAGTTGGCTGTGACCTGATTGGGAATGGCTGGGCTGTAGAAGGAGCCAGGGGAGACTGGGAAGTACAGGTGGCTGAATGACCTCACTCCCTGGAAAGCAGAGGCAACAGGGCTCAGGCCTAGAGTGGGCCCAGGCAGCCAAGGGAGCAGGATCAGGAGAGCAATTCAAAGACTAGTGCAGACTAGGAGCCAAGGGAGACCAAAGAAGCCTGTGTGAAGTCCCCTGCCCACCTTGATTTACAACATGGGAAACTTGAGTGTCTGTTTCGTGGTGTTGAGGTTTAGACCTGGGACTTTGTAATCCTGCTGATCTGCGTTCACATCCTACCTCTGCCACCTGGTGGCTGTGCACCTTGACCAAGTTACTCTTTCTCTTTCATCCCTAATGATCTTGTCTGTGGCATGTGGTGGATTGTTATACCTGCCACACAGGAAGGATGGACGAGAAGGATGTGAAGTGCTTACACAAGCCTGATGGCATGGAATAAACCGTTAGTTTGTTAGCTGCTATTATTAGATTAGGATTAATTGGGTGCCTCCGATCAGGGCTTTTCACAGCCCAAGTATTCTGGGATCAGCAAATGCTGACTTTGTGGTTCCATGGGCAGTAAGTTTGGGGTGGGGCAGCTCCTCTCTACTCTGTAGGGCTGTGGTTCTCATGCTCTCTATCAGAATTATCTGGGGTTAAAGCACAGGTTGTTGGGCCCCACTTCAGAGTTTTAGATTCTTGCTTATCCGTGTGAAGTGACAAGTTCTGAGGTCAGCTGATGCTGCTGACCCAGGGACCTACATTTGAGAGCTGCTGCTGGGGGATGGAAGTTTTCTTTTTTCTTGAATGACATAAGGAGAAATTGAAATGAGGAACTGACCACCACTCCTTTGGAACCAGAGAGGAAAGAAAGTAGGAGATTCTAGCCCTTTTGATACAATAGGACGCACGTGTTGTGATAAGGTGGAATTATGCAGGATGGAAATGGTTAGTGCCCAGTGTCCTGAACACTGACTTTCTTCCTGTTCTAGCCACCTATAACAGGTGCTGAGGCAGATACTTGAAGATAGGCCAGGCCAGGGTTGGAGCACAAGCCCCTTAATAGTAATGTTGGTACCTGTGGAGGGATTCTTTCTCTATAGGCCCAGGAAAGGGCACTAAAAAGTGATAGTGGCTTTTTGGTCCTGTGCTGACATCTAATTCCTGACCTATTGCAGTTTGCTACTCTCTTCTCTAGGAAATACAGGGGCAAGAAGAAGAGGTAAAAATATTTCTTTTAAGGTTCAAATCATCCTCTCTGGGCCTGAATAGGAAGGTGAAATTTCCAAGCTGGAGGGTATGTGGGTAAGAGAGTACCAAAGGATCCAAAAAGAAAAGCCATCCCTGTAGCCCCAGGTCCTGCAAGATGATCCTTAACCTGGCCCATCGTCAGCCCTTGAGTGGAGGTGGTGGAGGAGAGGGAGCCTTGAGCTCCCTCTAGTGGTTGCAGTGTGGCACCAATGTAAAGCACACTCGTTCCTCTCCACCAAGTGCAGGCTTGTACTACAGAACTGTGTGTGGACTGTAGGGGTTTAGGAAGTGCTTTCTTGTCCTAGAACATTCTGAAGCTTATGAATTTATACCAGGTAATTTTGGTGAAAAAAGATTCCACCAAATTTTTACCAAATTATTTTAAAATGCTACTTGGAAGAATTGAGAGAGAGAGCTATAAGTCATGTGCACCTTACAGCAAATTCATCTTAGTATTTTTCGCCTGATAAGTTGAGATCACTGAATCCAAATGAGCATATGTTCATTCAGCCTCATGTGTGTGCCAGATCCTAAGCACATCATGGGAATTGTGATTAGAAATAGAAAGAAGAGAGAAGAGAGAAAAAAAGGAAAGAGTAATTCTGGGTGCTTAGCAAGGATAAAAGGCAGTTTATTTCAACAGAAGCGTCAGGTGGGGCTTGTGGCCAGCTACCCTGCTTTCTGGCTATGGGTAATTCACAGTGATTTTGAAGCCCATATAAAGTATGAGTAACTTGGGCAAGATGCTTTCCAAGCCTTTCTAGTTCCAAAATACACCATGACCTTGGAGAATTCGGAAATTAACCCAGCACAAATAGAATCCTATTGACTGGGTATAAATTTAAGATTGTACTCTTAGGCAGTTTGTATTGAAAGGAACAAGCTGGGTTTGAGTAGAGGAAACAAAAAAACCACACATCCTTATTAAAAGTACAAAGCAGGCTGGAATGTGCAGACGCTGGGGAGTGAGGTTAAAAGAGGATATGACCGTAGAGATGGGACATTTAAGAATGGGGATCTCGTCCTCATACCATACTGTGCAGGGGCTGGCATCCTGCAGGCTCTGGATTTTGGCTGTGTCCTCATGGCTCCCTGCCCTCCTCTCATTCCTGCCTACTCCCTCCTTTTGAACTTCAGTGTGACAACTTGCCAGCTCACACCAGTCTGTCTTGGAGCCTGGGAGCCCCTGGGTCTTGACTGGCCTCATGAAAACACTTAATCAGTATTTGCAGACAGCCRTGTCCAGCCTGGACTGGGAGACCAAGTGTGAGGCAGTGAGTGGCTCTTGCCAAGGATTGGGCCTGCTTCCTACTCCCAATGCCTTTGGATACCTGATGTCAGATGGCATCCAGCTCCCTCCCTTATCACCAAGGCCAGTATATGTCCCCCAGTTGCTCTGTCTGCCTCCTATTTGCTTTGCTCCCTGGATTTACCACCTTCTTACATCCCAAGGTCTCTAAATTGCTGATTATTTGCTTGGGCTACAAGCTCCAGTCTTGACGTGTCCCCCCAGGAGCCACATTTTAGAGGTACAGCCTATTTTCAGTTCTTGCTCCAACTCCCTCATCCTGAGAGAGGTGGTATAGCCCTGGAACATGGATGCCTTGATCAAGCTCAACTCTGCTGCTTACTATCTTTGTGATATGAGCCAATCAGTCAACCTTAGAGGGCTTTGGTTTTCTCATCTCTGAAGTGAGGATGATCATAATAGAGTTGTTGGGATTCAATGAGCTGTTTCATATCAAGCATTCAGCACAGTGCCTAGCCCATGGCAAATTGTTCTTTAATGGTAACCATTCTAGTTACCATAGGTCAGGAGACTGTTGAGGAATTGAAATAATTTCATTTTGAGGCTATGAGGGCTTGGGCCAGGTGTTGGCAGCAGGGATGAAGAGCAGGGTAAAAATGTACTCAGTAGGATAATAAAAACAGGGTTCAAGGAGAGATGGGTTCAAGGAGGACTTGGTGCTAGCTAGGGGGTGTCTTCCTTGGTTTTCTAGGGCAGGTGTGGCTCTCATGGACATGGGGGATTTGTGAAGGAGTTGAAAGGAATGTTGAAATTCGTTTTTAGACATGTTGAATTTCCTGGCAAGGAAAGGGCTTCTAAGAGAACATTTCTAATGGGAATATGGAAATTTGGGAGTACAAGGTATGAATTTGGGAGTCATCTTCTTCCAAGCATGGAGATATCCTTTGCCTCCAAGCATGGAGGTATCCTCTGAGGTGGAGTCAGGACAGGTAGAGCCCTCGTAGATGCTCAGTTTAAGCCCACTCTTTAGATTCTTGTTTTTGAGTGGTAGTTGGATTCCAGGTCCCTGACCAAGGCTTCCTGGCCAGTTTCCTCATCTCTGATCATGGACATTGGTTTTTGGATCAGAACCATCTAAAAAGAATGGCTATAATTCTAGTACTGAATCTATGCCCCTGRAAGAAGCTTCATTACCTTATCTTTGCTTCCTGAACTCATTGCCTGGACAGATCTGTGCATTGGGCCTATCAGTTCAGAGTGACTCCACCCATGTCCCATGTTGTAGGGTTTTTGTTCAAGGGAAGTAGGGAGCTTGAGGTGGTGTTAGGTGCAATGCCAGGCTCCTGTCTAGTGTAGCTTGAAGATCTTTTGGCTTGATAGGTCAGTTCTGACTCAAATGCTAAGGTCCCAGTTCAGCTCTTAGCATTTGTAAATTCTATGTCAGTTGGCCCCAATCCCACTGCCTGATTCTTCACTACAAAATTAGTTTTGGACATGAAGATTTGGGGACCTAACAATCAACTCATTTCCACTGATTTGATGCTCACATTTGCTCTCCAGATAGGCAGTAGCAGAAAAATATCATAAGAAAATGGACATTGAAGTAGTTAAAGATAACCCCACCCCCATTAAACCAGAGTGGGTTTTTATGAGTAAAAGTGTGAGAATTAAGCCAACAGAATTGGAGGGGAAAGTTTCCATGAGAGAGCACCCTCACTTCTGACACTCAACTGCAAATTCAAGGGATTCCCCAAATGACCATCAGGTTCAGTGAAGATGCTAGAAGGACTCAGGTAACTCACTGCAACTATTATACTCACAGTTACAGTTTGTTACAGGGATAGGGCAGAGATTAAAATCAGTCAAGAGAAATGTATAGTGTAGAGCGTGGGGCAGTTACAGGTTATGTCCCAGCATCAATGTATGACAGTATGCTGTGGGATATTGCCAATCAGAAAGTTCACCCAGGCCTTTGTGTCCAGAGTTCACACTGGCGTACTCTACTGCCCCCCTGGTAGATTTCAGTCCCCATCTCATTAGAAGGTGGAGCTGCTGTTGACTCTAAGGCCCCGCCCCAAATCACATTACTGGTGTGGCTCAAAGCCCTCAGATAAACAGAGATGTTCCTCAGTTGTGAGATTCCAGAGGCTTAGTGTGAGATGACCTCTCAGAAGTAGAGGGCAAAGCCCGGACCTCTTTTTGGGGTAAATTAAATTCTCTATTGTATATCATGAATAAAAGAAAATAAGGCAAGGAACATCCTTAGACCCATATTTAACACCTGTCATCTAACTCTTGAGTATTCGGCCAGAACACATCCAGACGGTCTCATTAAAATTATTCTAGGATTCCAAGAACTAATAATCCAAAAAAAAATTACACGTGGGCATACACACACACACACACACACACACACACACACACACTCGTCAAAATGAAATTAGCACAGAATAAGATAAAAGAAAATATCAGGAGGCTCATAGCCACAGACCAGAAAAGACTGTAAATAAAGACCAGTGGAAGAAAAGATAAAGCAAAATAAATTATGTTTCAAATCTTATCTAGGACCTAACTCCGAAGCTTCTGTACTACCTCGGGAGCTCTGAGGTAACATTTATTGAAAACAGCATTTTGACACTTTCTTTAATGAGGAGTTAATAATTGATGATTATGTGTGGAAAATTTCATCCTGCTGCACTCAGGCACAATTGGCCCTGGGCTGCTTTCTGCAAGACGAGGTAATAGGTGAGGGAGAATGAAACATCACAAATGCTCCTCTCCTTCCACAAGGGAGAGAGAATCGCCTAAGAAGTCCTGGGAACTGCTATTTGAGGCCAGGGTAAAAAAGAGCAGTTTCAAAGATTTGGAATGAGAAGGAAAAAAGGGTAGGATCCCCAAAGATATTATGTTCATGAAGCTATTTATCAAATGGCAGAGATCAGTAACTCTATGTAGATTTTCTTCCCCTTATACTTTGGATTCTAATTTTATAAAGCACATGCTTCATGCCCTATACTTTCATTTAGTCCTCATGACTCAAAAGAGAGTCTGTTTCTATTTCACAGATGAGGCTCGTCATCTGCTGCAAGGATGTACAGGAATAAAACAGGGCTTTTGTGATACCTAGAGATTTGGATGGACAATCATACTTTAACTTTCCATGACAAATCTGTTTGCGAGTGTCACTTGAATAGAACCAACCCAATTGGGAACCAAAAAGTAGGTGAAATATTATATTCCCAAACCCATATACAAAATTTACATCCTTCATTGAGTAGCCCCTCAACCAGAACCTGTTGATACTTAGTGTATACATAAACTTAATGTATTAAAAAAAATCACCTGACAAAAGTAGATAAGGATATAGTAATTTAGGCCTGGGGATGTAGCTCAGTGGCAGAGTACTTGTTTAACATCCTCAGGACTCTGGGTTCCATCCCCAGCAGAGGAAAAGAAAGAAAGAAAGAAAAAACAATTTAGAAAGAAGTTGGGATGGTAAAAATGATAAAGTGAGGAAGGATAGAGGGCCATTGTCACAGTGTGTCACCTATGTTGGAGGGCCTGCCGAATAGAAGAATTTCTTTGGGCCAAGCACCTAGTTGGTGGCACCAGTAAATGTTAAATGTGAACCCTTCACATTCACATATCTGATCTCTGGATCCTTAGCAACCCTATGAGGAGCACCTGAATTAAGGATTGTGTTTTGTACATGAGGAAAGTGAAATTTGGTGTAGTTAACAAATTTATCCCAGTCACAGAAGCCAGTATGTTATAGTAATGTGAGCAAAACACAAGTCCTGTAAATTTCCTGACTTTGTGGTTGCGGCAGAGAAGGCAAATAGCTATGAATCCACAGGGAGTGGCAGAAATGTAAGAGGCAATTTGTGAAATATAATTAAGCCCGGCATGGTGGCACACACCTACAATCTCAGCTATTCAGGAGGCTGAGGTAGAAGGATTGCAAGTTCAAGGCCTGCCTCAGCAACTTAGTAAGGCCCTGTCTAAAAATAAAAAGGACTGCGAATGTTGCTCAGAAGTAGAATGTCCCTGGGTTCAATCCCTAGTACCAAACAAACAATAAAATGTACATATAAAGAGTATACAAAACCAAGTCATTTTGAGGGCAGAGAGAAAAAGGTAGATTTCAGGATAGTTTTGAGTGAACCTTGTGTCATTGGTTTTTGTAGGCTGTGGACCACCAGCCTCATCATCCCTGGGAATTTGTTAAAAATGCAAATTCTTGGGTCTTACCTCTCTCACCCATTGAAATCAGAAAGGCTGGAAATGGCTCCTAGTAATCTGTATTTTAACAAATCTTACCCCTGCTTCTGATGCAGGTAGATCTCTGCTGTTAATGGATACAAATCATTTAAAACCTTTACCCTTGCCTTGTCTTGCTCTGACACCATATATAAAACATACTCCTTATTTCCTCATATATAAAACATAATCCTTACTTCAGGTGCTCCTCATAGGGTTGCTAAGGATCCAGAGATCCTGGAATGTAGCTGCCTCTTTGTGTCTCATGGTGAGGTTGGTGTCTGTGGGTGGGGGCAGGATACTGCACTTGAATTCTGGAGACCTATGCTGACTGCTTTGTCCCTTCCTATGTGAGACTGTGAAGCTTTGGGCAAATCATTTGTCTAGTCTTTGTTATCTCATCTACAAAGTAAGGTGATTATCTACCTTCCAGAGTTGGCATGTACACTAAATTAAATAGTAAATAAGTGTAAAAGTATCACAGTGTCTGGCACTTAAAAGGTATTCAGTAAATGTTTGTATCTCTCCACTTCATATCTGGAAAGTCCATCTCTGGTCACTAAGGGACCCACGTGGAAATGGAAGCTTGGGCTGCGAGAGCTACAGTATTAGTCCCCTCTTTATCTCTACATAGGGACACATAAAGATGCAGCCAGGGAGAAGAGGAAAGTTAAAGGATTGGCTTGATTGGGGTGGGCAAACTGTGACCATGAATAAAATCCAGCCCACACATGTTTTTGTAGCCTATGAGTTAAGAATGGTGTTTGCATTTTTAAATGGTTGAAAGAAAATTCAAAAGAAGAATGATATTGTATGCCACATTGATAATTGCATGAAATTCAAATTTTATTGTCCATAAACAGTGGTGTATTGGGTCACAGCTATGCTCATTCATTCATGGGTGTCTATGGTTCTCCTTGTGCTGTGCTTTGATAGCAGAGTCAGGTACAGATCGAGTCCTTTATATGAAATGCTTGGGACCAGAAGTATTTTGAATTTCACATTCTTGAGTATTTGCATATGAATAATGAGCTATCTTAGGGATGAGACAGGACCCAAGTCTAAACATGAAATTCATGTGTGTTTCCAATATGCCATATACATACAGCCTGAGGGGGATTTTATACACTATTTTTTAGTGCTCCTGTGTTTTGACTGCATCCCATCATATGAATTTTCCACTTGTGGCATCACATTGGCACTCAAGAAGTTTCAGATTTTGGAGCATTTCAGATTTTTAAATCAGAGATGMTCAAACTGGCTGTGACTGAGACTATATGACCCACAAAACCTAAAAAGTTTATTATCTGGCCCTTTAGAGAAAGGGTTTATAGCGCCCTGGGCTAGCTGGAAGATAGAGTATCTGAAGACAAGAAGTGATGCAGAAGGTGATGATAAATAGCAAACATTCACTGAGTTTCACCAGGTGCTGTGCTAAGCATTTCATGTGCTTTATTTGATTATTGAAGTGGGCATATCATTATCCCCATTATTTGGAGGGGCAAATTGAGTCTCACAACTTGCTCAGAGTCACAGAACCCATAGGTGGCAGAGCCAGGATATGGGGTCCAGCCCATATCCCAGCTGAACATATAGTTACTGCACACTATTGCCTTGTGGAGTGGGTGGCTCAACCAGAGAGAGGTTTATGGATTCTGAAATGCATCAGGCAGTGGCTGGGAAGGCTGAAGGGCTACAACCTTATAGCAGGATGAACACTCAGGAAAGGTGATTGGGTTTTAAATGTTAATGTGGCTTATTTAATCCAAAGAAAAGCAGGCAGGGACAGAGAAAAGGTTCTCTCACAGCAGTTACCTCTGGGCGTAAATCATGTTCTACCCAGCAATACCACCCCTGGAAAATGAGCCTGGCCATTTCCTGGGCAGAGCCTGTCAGTCAGCCCAGTCTTCTAGTGAGGAGTGGTCATTCTGTGCCCACAGCAGGCCTGAGGAAGGGGAGCGAGAATTAGTAACTGGACAGTAGAGAGTTCTGTTGCCTTTCTGTCTGTAAAATAAGAATGTCAAGGAACAATTGTTTCTTCATTCCTGTGAATGTGAGCCTTGTGTTTTCAAAGGTCAGCGCCTGTGAGCACATCATGGTTTAGAGTGGGTTCCTATGGTAATCAGGCCATCGTGACTGAGGGCACTTTGTGTCAGACAATGGGGTGCTGGATTTTCGCCCTTCTATGTAGCTCATGCTTGTTTCCCGCAAATGTAACCATTTCTGGTTGCAAATGTAACCATTTCTGGTTTTCCCCTTTTCTTCTTGCTTTCATCCTTTCTGCCCCACACATAGGTCTGGAGCCAGAGAATTCTTCAGCAGGTATGCTTTCTCTTGTACCCCTATTGTCTCTGCCTTCCACCAGGGACCCCTGAACTAGAGGGGAACTGGGTGTGTTCCCTGAGTGACAGTTTGTTTCTCCCCCCTTCTGTCTCTCAGATGAGTGGAGGCTCTCTTCCAATGCCGATGCCAACGGGAACGCCCAGCCCTCTTCACTTGCTGCCAAGGGCTACAGAAGTGTGCACCCCAGCCTTCCTGCCGACAAGCCCCAGGTAGGCACGTGCCCTCGGGAAGGGCGGGAGCTAGCCAGTGGTTCTCCAGTCTTGTAGCCTCGTGTGTGTGACTTTCTGCTTGTTCAGCTGGACCATGGAATAGGGTTCAAGGTCTTTAGCCAATTCTGGAAAAGCTCTGCAAAGACCAGAGGTAGGAGAATTGGGGCCAAGAGGAGCAGAGGTATTGGGATGAGGTTGTTCTGAACTAGGGTATTGGAAACGGGTCTGATATTTCCTAAGTTTGATATGTATGTGAAAATGTCCTGAAAGATGGAATCCATTCCGCCTTGAATAAGAAGGAAAAAGGTCTATGCTTGTTTTTAAATTATCTTTCGAGTGTAATAGTCAAGAGAAGAATACCTCTTGTGTTTATTTCATTCTCTAGAGTTGGGGCCGTAAGAATTCCACCAGCTGTGTTCTTACAGATTCAGATCAGCTAGCTGTGGTCAGACAAAAAAGCTCTACCCTACAACAGGAAACCCCAAAGAGTACAACTCGGAGTTGGGATAATTTTGTTTAGGTCATTGCACCTATGTGATTTTTCCTGTCTTTCCTCTTTCCCTTCCTATTGATACTTTGCCATTTTGATGAAAAGGATGACTCTTGTTGTAATTATTCAGGTGATCTGTGAAGAACGGTTTTACTACAGGAGCCACTTCCATAGATGGAGTAGTCTTTTCTCTTAAAGGAAGTGCCACTGCTCAAAAGATACTGCATCTTCCCTCTGAAGATGCCCCCAGAGYTCAGAAGGAGCCTGGAACTTCCATAGGTCCTTGCTAGTTCCCTCTCCTTTCTCTGGTGATCCTCTGACTTCTRCCAGAGGATGTAAAATTGCCCTAGCCCCTGTAATGAAACCAAATCAGAGGTGATGTCCTCCTCCTTGTCTGCAGACCTCTGTCAGCCTGGGCCTACTGTTGGTCACTTGTCTACCTTAGGTACTGAGCAGCACCATGAAGCTTTCTGTTACTTGTTATAATGTGACTCTCAAGTACAGCATGTCATTCAGGGTTCCTGGTTAGAACCCAAGAGCTGCAGGTGTGCCTGGCCTCCTGAAGTCCTCATTAGATACAGGGACTTGGGAGGTCAGTTGTTTGGTGAATGACTTGCCCTGGTTTTCCCATTTCTGAAAACTTTCTGAGTATATACATATGGTGCCTATGGCAGACATGCTTCATTCTCAGCTCCCTTTAGAATGGATACATCAACCAGCCGAGCATGGTGGCTTACACATGTAATCCCAGCAGTTTGGGAGGCTGAGGCAGGAGGATCACAGGTTTGAAGCCAGTCKCAGCAATTTGGTGAGGCCCTAGGCAACTCAGAGAGACCCTGTCTCAGAAAAAAAAATATATATATAAAAAAGGGCTGGGTATGTGGCTCAGTGGTTAAGTACTTTTGGGTTCAATCCCTGGTACCAAAAAATAAGAATGGATGCAGAYAGTACTGATAATTCAGAGCAAATCTGGAAGCACATCGTCATTTTCCATCAATGTTTAGACCAAAGGGTAACTCAGTCATTTATTTTGACTTTGTAAATACCTCTTCTTAAGCAATCATTTTTAAAAACATGGTAAATAAAGAGAAATTCCTTTAAAATATATTTATTTAAGATGGCTTTATTACATATCTCTGTTACATTCAGATCACGCTGTTAAACATTGCCTTCAAGGAGTTCATAAGGTTGAGCATTTATGAGAGCTCCACAATTAGTGTATTTTTTATTGGTCACTAGGACTTCTTAAAAAGAACATGGGAAATGCTGATGGTAAAGGCTGATATAGAGGCTTTATTCTGCATATTCAGTATAAAATTGTCCACTTAGGTCATGCATAACTTTTTAGGTTTATTTTATGAATAATTTCTTAACTCCATAGCCATTGCCAGAGATAWAAGTATGCACTGGATTCAAGAAAGCTAAGGTGGGCTAGGCTGGGCACTTCCCAGGCTTGGATTTAGTGAAGAGAATTCTCACACCCCTGTGGGCCTGCAACAGCAGCATGAGAGTGGAGTTGAGCCTAGAAGACCACAGATGGGAATCCTGTGTCCTTCCAACCTGCACTTGCTGCACTCCTCCTCCAGATCCAGGAACAGGGAAGCAAGGGTCCCCCTCAGTGACATCCTCATCATGGTGGTCCCCAGTGGAGGTGGGGAACAGCAGTTTGGGGAACTATAAAAACTATAAACATACCAAAGTTTTCAAGAAGCCTCATTTTTTTTTTYCTACTGACCTGCCTTGTAAAAAATAAGTGGAATTTCATTAGTAGCCACTTGGGCAGGAATGCAAACTGCCTGTGTGATTCCTACAATGTTTACAGTAAAATGAAAAGTAGTTCCTTTGAGTAAAGTCACTGTGTCTCTTACCCTCCTTCTTTAGGGTTAAAAGAAGCTCCAGGACAGGAAGTCCTTTGGCTCTGAATGCATTGTCCACACTCTGGGGAAGCATCCTCTACAGGGTCACAACCCTGGAGGGCTTGTGCCTGATGTAATGAAGCTTTGGSACCATTTATGGTCACAGCTGAATTAAGTTAAAACTCATTGAAAAAGTAATTTCTATCTTTGGAAGAGAAGAAATCACATGTGAGACACTCGAGCTCAAAGTAAAAGTAAATCTGAACCCAAACCCAAATGGCCTCTTGCTTACTTCCTGACAAACTTCCTCAGCTCACCCAGCAGTCCCTTTSGTGCGTGCTAGTCCAAGTACTTTGTTTCTGGAGAGCATCATCTGGTCTGTAGWCATGCTCCAACCCATCCAAGTTCACTGAGCTAAGTGAATTCATCCAAAAGTTTTTGCTCTTGCTGTATACCAGAGAGGAGCTGTTCATTTTATATTTTCAGCTGGCATAAATACCCAACTCCCCTACCACTGGCATGAGTACTCGGTGGACACAACAGGCATTGAGTTAGCTAAGAATATTCAAATAGGTGCTTCTCGGCCCAGATTATTATTATTATTATTTTTTTAATTTTATTTTTTTTATTGGTTGTTCACRACATTACAAAGCTCTTGACATATCATATTTCATACATTAGATTGAAGTGGGTTATGAACTCCCAATTTTACCCCAAATGCAGATTGCAGAATCACGTCGGTTACACATCCACAATTTTACATAATGCCCAATTAGTAATTGTTGTATTCTGCTACCTTTCCTATCCCCTACTATCCCCCCTATTATTTTTAATTTGAAAATTGAGTTTAAGGGATAGGCTGTTTACTCTTTTGGAGTTTATATTCGAATCTAAACTCAAAAATTTTAAAAGATTTCTCACCCATTCACCCTTTCTAGCATCCCTTCCCCTTCCATGTACTCTATAAGATGTAAAAATAAAATTTAAAACGAACCCAAAATAGACCCATGCCCTTGTATTCTCCTAGTTTTGAGTCACAACTCATTTATCAGATATTGGCCAAGCTCTAATATCCCTCACCTGTGCAATTTGGAGGATGGTTTTCTTCTAGTGCTGGAATATCTGTAAAGATGGGGACCACTGAAGATAGTCTAGGGACATGAGCTTTCTTCATCTCATGGCCTCRTTCCCCATTGAGTCACAGGTTGGAAGGTTAGTCTGGAGAATCACCCTGCTTCCTGGCCATCTGTTCCCTGAGACTTAGAGAGGAGTGGTGTTGAGTGRAGAGGGATGGGATGTGAACTAAATCTCTGTGTCTCTGAAACTATAACCAGAGACCTGGGCTTAAGCCATGATTCTGAGGTTGATCCCTCACCTCTAGGATTATGCATTATAGTGGGCTGACTAGGGCTTGAATTTGACAAACCAGATATAATTCAGTCCCATAGGCCAATTACTTTGGTGTCCTTTTCTGGGCACATCACAAAAGGGAGACTATGTGCTTTGAATCTCATGCTTGTCTTCCTTCTGGGGTGTGTGTGTGTGTGTGTGTGTGTGTGTGTGTGTGTGTGTTGCTGGGGATTGAACCCGGGGCTTTGTCCACACTAGACAAGTGTTCTACCACGGAGTTACACCCCCAGTCCCTTCCTTCTAATAATTAGTTCCATTAGATTGTTTCCTCTAAGAAAAGAGCCCGTGTGGATTCACAGTCCTCAGCATTCTCTTCTTGGTGGGCTTTAATTTCTTATCCTTAGGGAATGGAGGACCAACTCCCAATGCCTCAATGAAGACATCTCCCTCCTGGGAACACAAATAAGGACTGTTCTTCCAATTCTCCTTTTGCTAAGGGAAAAGAATAAAAGGCACTCACAAGTGTCTAACAAACATAAACTTTTAAAGATAAAGGCTTCAAGAGAAAAGTCTAAAGAAAGGAAGGCTAGAGACAGAAGGGGGCTGTATGGCTTCCTCCATTGACATTTGGTTCCTTGGGCAACCCTCCTTGAGTCAGGAGGTTGACAAAGATGCAGCCAACCAAGGACTGGTGTTGAGTGTGTTTAGCCTGTTGTGTGCTGAGCTCAGCCTCTCTGGTTGTGAGCCAGGCCAGCATTCCAGGTGAGTATGAGCCAGTCCTTGGCTTTGTCCAGAGGAGAACTGTGAGCATGAGGAGGAGACTAACCTGAAGTTGTCTAAAAACATGTCCAGGGATTTTTGTCTTTAGGTGACGTTATGCTGTTGTTTCTAATGGTCATCCTTTCCATCTCCCCTCCTCTTTCTTTTTTCCCTGTGTTTTTATCATGCCTTGAAAATACTACCAAAGGTTCTCTCTCCCTCACATCCTCCTCTCCCTCAAGAGAACCGCTTTGCATGGCAGCCCCCCACCATCCACAGTACCTACAAGGATTCCCTCTATATGAGCTCACCAAAGCCTTACATCCCACCCAGCACCCCCAGCCAGCAGAACCCCTCACCTTCCCAGCCTGTCTCTGGCCCTCTGACAGCTAGATTGGTTCCCAAAGATGTGGCGTGTCCTGGTCCTTTGCTTCTGGGTTCCAGTGCTTCATCCCGACCCCAGCACCACTATGCAGCCACCAGGTTAGTTTATAGTAAGAATGTGAGCTCTAACCCACATCATGAGGCTGTCGGGAATAAAAAGGTCAGCAGCTTATATGTACCCAGTTTATCCAATAACATTTGCCGGGCAGCATTGGAAAACTCTCCTGTTGCACGTGACCCAGCCAAAGACACTCCCTTGGAGGCTGCAGGCACCCGAGCACCAGCCCCCAGCCTTGTGCCCCGCACAGCCGGCACAGGAGAACCACCCCCTGCTCCTTCTCCTGACCCTCCCAAGCTGTTCTTTGACATCCGTAAAGATGCCGGTAATCGTGGCGAGAGTCCTTCCATGAGGACTCGGGCTTCGTTCTCAGATGCAGTGAGACCATCTGTGCTAAGCCCCCAGGTTACCTCTGATCCCGAAAACCAGAAGAGCAGAGAACCCTACCTTTTGCAGCCGTGTTATCCAGCCAAGGCAAGAACTTAGGAATGTTTGTGTGTCTTCTTCACTGTCTCTTGAAACTGATGTGAGCAGTGCATTTGTTCTCTGGGCTGCTCCATCCTCCTTTTCCTTATTAATATTGCTRCAGCTTGAACCCCAAATCCTTCTCTCTAAACATCTCAGCACAGATCTCTCTCTGTCTCCCTCTCTTTTTTGTAAATATGTAAGTATGCTGGATCGTGGACTCCATAGACTGATAATCTGGTGGGATAACGGAGTGTTTCTATTTTATGACAAGGTGCCAGTGAAATCATATCTGCTCCCAAGCTTTCAGGCTCGACAGTGGTTTTGTGGGGTTAAACACAGCCTGCTGCTTGTTCTGTTGTTCTGTCTCTTTCTCTCTCATAAAGTGTTAAAAGGATTCAAAAATAGATGGATGGAAAGTCAACTTGGACGGGGCTCCCTCTGTGTCATGGAGTATCAGGAGGCCAGCTGGCTAGCACCAACTGTCTCATGTACTCTGAGGAAAGGGCACCGATTAAATATTTCTCAGGGTACATCACTGCATGTCCACTCTCGACTGTTTAAATATGGAATTCCTTCCTCCCTGCCGGACCCCTTGACATAACGACCCCCTTATTTCCTACAGGATGCCACTTCCTCCAGCCCAGCCCAGCCCGAGGTAATAGTTGTCCCTCTCTACCTGGTTAATACTGACAGAGGGCAAGAAGGCACTGCCAGACCTCCAGCGTCCCTGGGGCCGCTCGGCTCTGCTGCCCGGGCCACCGCTGCCCGGGCCACCGCCCCTGCCGCGTCACCTCTGACCTTCCCGACTCTAGATGATTTCATCCCCCCTCATCTGCAGAGGCGGCCCCAGCACAGCCAGCCAGCCAGTGCTCGCGGCCCCCTCCCCCCTGTTAGCCAGACACCACCATCCTTGTCACCACCACCTCCGCTGGTCCCTCCYGCTCCGGAGGACCTCCGCAGAGCCTCGGAGCCCAACCTCTCGGGAGCCGCCTCCAGTACCGTAAGCTTGCTGCACTTGCCTCCCGTCGCCTTCCTAATGTSTGCTCCGGCCGTGAGCCCCCTTTCTCACCCAGCTACTAAATTCTGAAGAAAGCATTGGCTGCTGCTGCGCCTGCGTGATGACTGGACCCCTGATGGCTGTCCCTAGAGTGCATGCTTCCTGTGTGTGACCTGGGTCGCCTGGGGCTCTTCACGGGGCTCTCAAGTGTCTCCTCTCCTCTGTCCTGTTTGAATGCACATCTTCCTGAAGGAACTTTGTCCTCCCTCTGAGGAAACATCTGTGGCCTTTCTTTGCTTGGCTCTTCCTGGGCCAGGCGGATGTAGTGTTGAGAGCCGGGAAAGCTGCRGAACCCTGGGGACCAGCCAAGGCCAGGTGTGGGGCTACAGGGCAGGGTCCCAGGGAGCAAGGAGGTTCTGGGGGTGGAAGACATTCACTCTGGTTGGGCTTGTGAGTAAACAAATATGCTTTCATAACAGAATGGGCAGAGATTGGGATTTTAAAAAAAAAAGGAGAGAGTTGGATTTAATTGAGGAAATGGAAGACTTGAACAAGTATTAGAACTTTTTCAAAATTAGACAATTCCTGGGACTTCTATGAGGAAGGCCCTAGGGATGCACCAGTGTTCACAGAAAGTTAAATGTCCTTGACACCTCAGGTCCCTTCCAGTAGGGGGAGGTGGGAAAGCCCAATTGTTTTAGGGGAAAAAAAAAAACTGAACCAAAGTACTTGGGTCTTGTTTTCCCTCAGGAGCCTGGGAATGGAGAAGGTCTGAAAGAATCTCAGCGTGAGTTGTAATATGAAGATACATGAGTCTACTTATGGTGCTGTGGGGTTCAGTGGGATCAAGCAGTAAAAGTTTCTCCTATTATGGTCCTTGGCACAGAGGAAGTACCCAATTAGTGTTAGTTACATTGCTGAGGACTTGCCCTAGCAAATGAGGCGCCAGTAACCAGTTAATGAATAATTAATCTTTGAGTTCTGCTAACTACCATAGGTATACCTGTGAAAAAAGTCAGACTGCTTACTCTCTCCCAATGGGATATTTGGGGTATCAATGTATCAGTTCTCAAAGTTAGTTTGGGTGGGATCATGTGAGGGCCAGGGAGGTCTAGTTATACTCATAGAGTTTCTGATCTTGTGGGGCTAGGGAGGAGCCCAGAACTCTCACTTGGTCACAAGCACCCCAGGGTTTTTGATATTGGGAGTCCATGCACCATATTTTGAGATGCAGTGAACTGGTGAGTCACATGTTTGGTTGATGGAACTCATCAAATATCCCCTTGAAGAGATGTGCATATCAAATTGGCCCAGGTAGCGTATTAAGCTGGAGCCAGTCAGGCAGAAAGCAGGAAGGAAACTTCTTGTTTGACTTATTAGAGAAATTATAATAAGGCAGCAGAAGTACCAAAGCTGGGAATTGTTACATCCTGGGTGGGAGGCTGTTCTTGACTCTCCAGATGCAGCACAGTGGAGCTAGGCCAGGCCCAGGCCTGATGTGACCTGTGGGCTTGAATATATTTCTGGCTTTGGACTTTGCAGCTCAGCCCTCTGGGAGGAAAGTGATGAATTATTCCCTCCCCCTGGCTCTCAGGCTGAACTTCTGGGTGAATTTAAAACTTCTGGTTTGGAAGCATGTAGGCACCTTCCTTTGGTGCAGAATATCTTTCTCTAGAGTAGCAAGTAAAGTGAGCCTTATTTTTAGTGCACTCATATACCATTGTAAGTAGCTTTGTTTTGTGCCTTATAATTTATCATTTGTGTAGCTCTAGGTTTTCATATTGCGTTTGTTTTAGGTGTGCTAGGGCAGATTAGTTGGGACAGTGTCCTCAGTATCTCAAACCTGACAAATCAGCCTGGAGTAGACTTCCCAGGAGTTGGCCTGAGAACTTTTGATTTGGCCCCGGGTAACAGAGTAAGAGGTGAAGAAGGAAATTATTGGGATTCCTCCTCTGAATAGGAGTTGTCAAGTAGAGGAACGACCTTTGAGGATGGTGTCCAAGCCATGAGTTGATCATTTGTAGCCATTTGGAAATAAGAGGGAGAAATAAAAGTTAGTTTAATTCATTTAGTTTATTTTAGTCAATAGCTGTTTTGTGATGTTTCAGAAATAAGACATGGATCAAAATCTACAAAATGTTTGCACAATCTACCCATGAAGACATCACATTAGGCTTTCACACTTTAAAGAGCTCTGGGCCTGATATTTTGTGTTCCTTGGGTACGCTCTGGCAGCATTTCTAAGTCATTTATCTTTATTAAATCACTGTGGAGATAAATTTGGATAAGTGTAGTTATTTTCTACTTTATAAATGGAGGAGTCAAGATGAGGCACTTGTGTACAAGATCATACTGTGCGCTCCTTGGGTCTTGGAAAAAGATTTTATTCACACAGAAAATTGAGCTGCCACTCATTGGCTACATAGGAAATTTTCAGGAGGGAGAGACTGACTGAGACGATGTGTGCAAAGCCCCTACTGGGTGCCAGGAGCTGTCCTGGGTGCTGATACACACATTTTTCTCTTCTGATAAGCATATGTCCTCGCGACACAAACATTAGCTCAGTCACACACTTGGTAGTGGATGGTGGCTTCTGTAATTCACTTGACRTTCACTGAGCACCTGTTATTTGCGGGGCATTGTTCTGGATGGTGGCAGGTGGAAGAGCTGTGACCCTTGTCCCATAGGTACATACACAGTAGTTGATCTCTGAGCATAGAAATTGCTTTAAAAGTAACAATCAGGGCCAGGGGCTAAGCTCAGTGGTAGAATGTTTTCCCAGTATATGTGAGGTCATGAGTTCAATCCCCAGTACAGCAAAACAACAACAACAACAACAACAACAGAAGTCCATGTATAAAAGTAACAATCAAAATCTTGTTCTTAATACATTTAAGAATGTCATCTTAGTTTTAAGGTTGGTTAATTTTAAAATAGAAACTTTGCAAAATGTATAGATACAAGGAAGGAAACTGTCTGAATATTGTCACTACATTTGAGGGTCCTACTTTTTTTTAAAGACTGGCATTATCCCCTCATACAGATTATAATGTTGGCATTAATCATTTTATTAGTATTTCTGGTAGAGATCTCAAAATTTTTAAAGTCAGGATTCTCACAAGTCCTTACTTCAGGGATTTCTGTCACTCTAATGTTAGAGTGGAAAAATGTCACAGCAGGATAGGATAATRTTCAGATCTCAGAAGCCAGTTTTAGTAAAATTGCTCAGTGATTCTGATGCCACCTGCAGCTTTCCCAGAGAACCGTTTCTTAACTCTTTCCTGTTCTTACGTCAGTGATTTCTTGTCCTCAGCTCGTCTCACATTTCTCTACACAGTGTACTAAACCTCCCTGATTCTTCCCAATTAAGCCAGCTCTCATTCTTGGATCGCATTTGGAATTGCATGGGTTTTGCATGTCACTCTACCTTGAATTTGAATTTGCTTTTTCAGTAACTGGATTGACCCACAACTCTTACCAGGTGAAAATAATGACTGATGCTGCTGAGACTGTCAGCAACACTCCCCTTCCCTTTCTCTTCCCTTACTAATACCAGCAAAGAGAATATGCATTCCAGACGAGGCTTCTAACTGGATTTAATGATGATATGTCTCACTGATTCCATTTCTTTTTATAAAATTAAGGTCTTTGTAAAACTTTACATTTCTCCCTTTTWAAAAAAGCATTAACTCTAGGTTTCTTGTACATACAATTAGTGACAATATTCATTTTCTTTTCAGGGTTCCAGTCCTCTACTAAATGAAGTTGCTTCTTCCAATACTGGAGCTGATTCCCAAGCCTCTACACCAGCCAGCAAGCCATCATCYGCCTACCCCTCGACAACCATCGTCAACCCCACCATTGTGCTCTTGCAGCACAATCGAGGTAAGGGGAGCCTCACAGTGCACCCCTACTAACTCACTGCAGTCAGCATGGCTGACCCGTGGTATCTGGGGCAAGACTTCTATCACTGCACAGAGATTTTCACAAACTTTATTCTGGGCTTCTGCCTCATTTTACCCACATGACCTATAAGATCCATCCCAGCAGGCTGACAGAGATCACCTATTTGCATATGTAAGCCAGGCTAGTGCAGGTACCTTTTCTGCACCTCRGGTGCTCCTGGTTTTCTTCAGAAACCAAGTTGCAACCCCCCCAAATAGGAACGTTTGTGTTTCTTAATTCTTCATCATGTGATTTCTAATGAGGCTTTACTTAGAAAATGTAGGTATGATGATAACCACTTTTTAAGTCGTGTCAGAAATGATTTAGTTCTTTGACAAGATAGATTTCTAGAAAGCAAAATGTTGAGTACTAAATTTAACAAGCAAATATGCTGGGTAGAATTTTCTAAAATATGAAACATGTTTTTATGCATCTAACACAACACGTTTTCTTAGTGCTCTCTGGCCCCCTTCTCACAGCAGTTATTGYATAAGGTTGTCATTCGGTGAAACCCTCGGGGACTGAGGTTTGTGTGGCTGCTTACCTTACTCCATGTGGCCCAGGCAGGAATGCGGAGGGTTTTCAGGTTCAGTTTCTATAGTTTCTCTGGCTGCTTTGGTTGGTTCTGCTATGTCTCTGAAGGGGCTTGGGATTGGCAAAACTCAAAGAGCTTTGAGATAGTAATGATACATATTGACCCTTCTGCTTTGAAATTCCAGAGGATGATTCTAAATCCCAAGTTTTCCTTTTTTGGGAATTCCATAGAGAGGAGTAAGCTTTCCCTTTTACAAAAGTTCTTTGCAGCATGAAATGGAAAGTTTTCAGGYTGTCTCCCAGTGCAGAAAAGCCTTTTTAGTATGAATTTCAAAGAACAGTGGAGGTTTACTTGTTCTGTTCAGAGCTCAAAGCTCAGATCCAAAGCTTCCTTTTCTTGACTCCTTCTTCGCCTACTTCATAGTTTCCTCCCTTTCCCACCCGCTTCCTCTAACTTGGATGAAAATGGAACTGGAGTCTATTTTTAATTGTTTTCCATACTAAATAGAGGTTTCTGTTTCCTGCTTCTAACTTGAAAAGTAGATATATGTAACATTTTCTCTCACTTCAAATATTCCCACTCAGATCTTAAATAGTCATTTTAGCGGGGCTATTTATTTATTTATTTATTTATCTGCACTGTGTGGCTCCCATATCAATTTTCTCCCATGGATCTGTGTTCTTCAGGAAAAAAATAAGGGTCCCAGCCCCCACACTAAGCTTTGTATAAGCCCATTCTCCCAAGTGTGCCATGCCCTTACTGGCAGTAGCTCTCTGCTCAGAAAGTGTCCATAATGCAGGACAAAGTGAAATTTTAGTTCTCTATGAACTTCTTTATGAGTCATTTTTTTTTAAAATCTAGTCAAGTAGAAGCAAGTTAATTCCCAGAAGGAAAGGCAGTTTCTTTAAAAATGGTATTTATTCCCCAGGCAACATGGTTTTTGGGAAGTGCCAAGTATAATGTCAGCTGCTCCTGCCAAGTCCCTCCAGTGACACCCAGTGAGACATCTTTGGGCACAGAAATGCCTGTAGTTCCTCTTTGTCTCTTCCTTGAACAAGTGAATTCCTCTTGTTCACCCAAATACTTTTAGTTCTTGCCTTTCTCTTTTRGCCAAGATCTGCCCTTGGGTTTAAACATCAGAAATGTGCAGCCTGAGACATACCTCCTTCAGAAAAAAAGATGCAGTAATGACGTTAGTTTTTTGGAATTCAGTGGYACCTTCCATAAAGAACAAAACCATGCATTCACTAAGTAGGTAGGACAGGAAGAGCTGAGAGGAATGGAAGAGCCTGGCCGGCTTGCCCTGTGTCCCTCATCATAAATAGGGTTTAGGTCAAGTGTTCTTGGCACTGTTTGGGAATTTACCCAACCTAATAGCTCTGCTTTGCCTCACCCATGAAAACAATTTCTTAACTATTGCAGAGTGTCCCAAGGGAATGATAACTTTACTCCAGTTCTGGACTTCTGCTTTAGTCATCCTGAAAATTTCCTCTTTTTCCCCCCCTGCCTAGATTGTCACAGGGCATGGTACGATAATAATCTTGTTTCTTCAAGCCAACCTCCCTATTAAGAACAAACAGGGGACACCGATCCTCTGGCTTGGCACTGATGGTTATGAGCAAGCATCCCTTTTCTCCTTTTTCCTGAGTTTGCGTACCTCATGTATTTAAGGGTAAATCACTTATCACGAGGCCCAGAAGGAAGATTTAAATCCAGATACTTTTAGGACTGAAGAGGTGTATGGGTTCCCTTGCTCAGGGCTGCTCAGTCTTGTTAATCTGATGAATCTTGTTAACTTGATGATTCAGATTCAGGAGCTATTGGGAAGGGGTGAGAGGATAAGATTCTACATTTTCAGAAAGCTTGGTGGGCATCCCAGCAGTACTGGATGTGGACCATGCTGGAGATCAGGAATTCAGAGGTTCCCAGGTGCATCTGTGGACATAGGAAATTGTCTAGGGATTCCCCTAGAGTTGCTAACTTCTAATTTTGCTAAATAATAGCCCTGAAAAACATCCACTAGTATGTGTGACATAAAATAAAAGAAAGGCCATTTCACTCCTCAGCAATGGGAACAACAGTATTTTAAATTGTATACATTGGCTTCTACTGGCTGGGAAGGACCCTACCAGTGACTTGTGGAATGGATTTGGATAACCATACATCCCTTTAGATAACACAGAGAACCTTGATGTCACAAGTGAGGAAATAGGCTGAGAGGCGACGTAATTGGCCATTGTCACCTGACAGGTTGCTGGCAGAGCTGGGTCTAGAGCGCCACTGGGCTTCTGCTTGTCCAGCTGGTGTGAACCCCATCCACATGTTGAAGGTGAACGGCTGCCACTTGTACTGTCCAAAAGCTCGCATTCTGCTTTCTTCTCTTCTTACCCAAACTGATTCTAGTGGGAGGATAGATGGAAATGTGGCCACAGGGCATGATGACAGCACCCATGGGCTGGCAAGTGTTCTATTTTTAACTGTGTGGCTGCTTTATATTTAGCAGCCATGGAAGGTAAAGGTCACTTTTGTGCTTATCACATAGCAAGTACACTCAGAACTTTCCATATGAGATGTTGGCCTCCCCTCCACGTGGTCACCCCGAACTCTGAGAAATCAATAGACCTTCAATATTAAGGAGAGTGACTAGCGATGCAGAGAACCTGGACTGGGAGTTGAAAGTCTAGCTTCTAGATCCAGATGATTTTCGGTGTAGTTTGGGCCCCTTATCTGAACTCTCTTGGCCAATGCTGATCTTTCTTAGAATTTCTCCCATACTCTGGACCAGCCTCCTTGCTACAGTGGCTCAGATGTACAGTGAGAAAAATAGTTATGTCTAACAGCTAAGGTTGTTGCCAATATTGCAAATGTTATGCCTGAAAACACTTAAAACCAGGGTCTGGCTTTGAGCAAGCTCTTGGGAGATGACAGCTTCCATGGTTATGATTCTAATCACCTTTCCTTCAAAGGTACCAAGGCTAGGATCAGATAAGGTCCTGTGCACTTGAAACCAGAGGGAGTGAAAGGTCCCCTTTAAGGATAAGATTATTTCCCCCACCCCAGTGTTGGGGATCAAACCCAGGGCCTTATGCATCCTGGGCAAGTATTCTATCACTGAGCTGTACCCCCAGTCCTTTTTATTTTATTTTGAGACAGGATCTCATTAAGTTGCCCAGATTGGCCTTGAACTTGGAATCAGCTTCAGCCTCCTGAGTAGCTGGGATTATAGGCATGTGCCAACACACCTGGCTGAGATCATCTTGAGACAAGATGTAAACTGCTAGAAAATGGACCGTCTTGAATTCTGGTGCAAATCTGGAGAGTGAGGAGTTGGGAGACATCACGCCTGTATAATAAAATCCATGTCAACTCCCCTGTCTTCAGCTGACCTGTGTATTTTCGCATCTAAAGGACAATGAGGGTGCTGAGTTTGGGATCCTAACTAGTTATACCAGGATCTCTTGGTCTTACCATGTACTGTATAAATCTCACTTACGCTGTGCATTCTTTTCTTTTATCACAGAACAGCAAAAACGACTCAGTAGCCTTTCAGGTAGGTGACAAATATATTTATTTACATATTAACCACTGTGCCTGTTAAAGCCGTCTTTCAGTCACCACCCAATGTTGGGTCAGCACAATCTTCTGAGCGACCCTAAGAGTTGGGGACTATATTCGTTGCTGGAATCTTTGTTTCAGGGATGATAACAACAGGCTTAGATCCTGCCCCCTGGAGCTTGCAGGCTTGGCAGACAGAAAAGTGAATCAAACTAGTAAACATGTCCCATGGAACTGCAATGAGTAGCTTGATAGTAAGAACAGGATGTTCTGGGTAGGTAGCATAAGGGGTTCTGCTTCAGATGACAGTGTTCATGGCAGGTCTCTGAAGAGGCCACCTTTTGGTTGTTCTCTCTTTCTCTTAGATGTAACAGGTCAGGGTTTAGGAAATGTGGGCAGGTCTTGTACTGTTTGGGTTGCAAAGCCAAATGCCAATGGTTGACCCAAGCGTGATGGGTCCAAGTAAGAACCACCTGACCAACAGGGTCTAAAACTGCTTTTTGAACTTAAACTGATTTTAAGGATTATCTGGAGATATTGTCAAAACTCAGTCTTCTGCACTTGGCCTGCAAAAGTTCAGATTTAATGGGTATGTGTGAGAATTTGCATTTTTCACCAGCTCCACAGTGGTACTGATGCTGCCCTCTGGTGACCACACTGGGTGGCAAGTGGATTATTAAAGCCTGTAATGGGGAGTGACAGCAGATATAATCAGATAATCAGGGATCACTTCCTGAGAAACTGTGCAGGATGGGACAGTGTTGGGTGGGGAAGGAGCAAACTTGTAGGCTGAAATTAGGAGGAAACCCAGGAATAGGAGTGCTTAGTCATTTCCTGCTGGATTCCTTGTAGCCATTCTGCTTTGAATCCTGGTTCTACCACTTACTCATGGTGTCACAGACCTCCTCTGTGAATGGAGAAAGAAGTATCTCCCAGGTTGTTGTGAAGATCAAAGGAGATTCCACTTATAAAACAGCTGAGCATTGAGCTTTGGCACTTGCAAAAGGCTTACTGTTATCAGTGGGCACTGCCATTGATTCATTATTCATTCTATTGAGTGCCTGCTTTGAGTAGAGCAGAGGCAGGAGGCAGGCTCTGGAGGTGCATCAAGAAAACTGTGCAGCCTATGGGCTGCTAATGGTGTCATGTGATGATTTTTCACCTTTCTTTGGTCATGGCCACTCCTTGAGAGAACCTAACGAAGGCAACAGATTCATTTTCCAGAAAAAGCCACGCATGCAAGCATGTGCATGTGAGTTCCGTGGATTTTTAAGTATTCATGAACTCCAGAGTTAAGAACCCTTGATCTGGTGGATAATKGAAGCCACCATTTTCTGAGCAGCTGCTGCATGATTTCTGTGTGACTTTATCCCACTGCTGTCCTTGTGACTTGTGCAGAGCTGGGTGGGGAGGACGTGGGGTTCTCACACCCTCTCAGCTTTATCAGGGCTTGGCCACGGGGCCAGGACAGGCTGCGGTTGAGCTCAAGGTGCCCTTCACTTCCCCTCCTTTTGCTGCCACTTCATTCCCCTGGCTCCAGCCTGGATTGCAGAGAACATAGTGGCTTTGGGGGAGAAAAAATGTGGCTCCTGAGAGCTTCTTCCTACTGTGGGAGTTTGAAGGAATAGATGAAAAGGGCATCYGGCCATATTAGGAGACTCAAATTTGGTCCCTTCTTGGGGCTGTTTGTATCTGGGTAAGGGACTTCACCTCTTTGAGATGAAGTTTCCTCATGTGGGAAGTGGGGGTGACAATCTTTKTCCCTGCCTAGAGGAGCTGATGTGACAGGAATGGGGAGAATGCCTCACAACCAGAAAGGGTTTCTCCACCATGCTGGCAGGCTCAGCCTGGCTCCTCGGTGCTAAACCAACCTGATGCTGTCTCCCTCCTTGAACTCTGGGACAGATTCATTAATGATGTTTGATAGACTGGGGCCTAAAGCAAGTGCTCACTAAATGTTAGTTCCTTTTTTAAAAAAGAAGTACCATTTTGTTTAGGAGCTCCTGAAAGACAGGGGCCGGCACTGCAGACACTCTGTAGACCCTGTGCCTTAGAGAAAAAATAAGGTTCTGCTCCTCACCTGTGGGGGCGGGACTCAGGGTCACCAGTCTTCTGTTTTATCAGAGTCTAATTGAGCCCCTGTGGGCTCAGGAAGAGTCAAATGTGAATAGAATCCACATGGCTCAGGCCCACCCTGGGGAGAAAGGAAAATATGATTGTGACTGGGATAGTGAGGTTGACACAGGACATGGAAGCCACCCTCCTTCCCCTAGGGAAGTGTGAGCATTGTTGTCATCTTCAGTCACAAAACTTTGAGTAGGAAGAAAATCTATCCCACCTCCCATAAAGAGAGGCCCCGTCTGAGACTGTCAACATCATCATTATTTAGGGGCCCAAGACCTTCCTTGTTAAAGCACAGTATAAAATGAGAAGGAAATGCCCCAGGATATCTTGTGAAGAATTAGTGTTTGCTTAGTGAGAAGTAACAGCAAGCCCTCATTGCAACAGGGATGTCAAAGTGGCCCTGTCACCTGCATGGGACACTTGTCATTTGGGATTTTCATTTTATTTTTAAAAAGTACCACTTTTTGCAGTTTAGCCCTCCATATATCAAAATCCACTCAATCATGAATCACGTGACCACAAGTTTCTTAAGTAAAATAATTCAGAGGTAATTTTTATAGATTAAAAGGATTCTTACAACTCCATGGACGGCTAGCCTGTTTTGCAGTTAAGTGATTATTGAGCACCTGCTCTGCAGTTTTAAAAAAAAAATTTCAAAGGATCTAGAAACCCTTGAGAACAGCATGTCTGTAGCCCTCATTGTCATAGCATGATGAAGGCCCCTAAGCACTGGGTAAAACAGAGCTTGGAATCAATTCTCCTGCACCCTCTTGATCTCACTCGGGGAAGCCCTTTCCAGGTAGGAGGGGAGCTCTCAGAGAGCCATATTACGGGTAGACTTGGGTAACTCAGAATCCTCCTGCACTTCCAGGCTTCCTGCTAACCCCTTGTCCCCATGTTGGAATTTCCTGGGAGCATGAGAACTCTTCCCATAAAGCCAGTCTGGCCTTAATACGGTGATGGTGCCATGGATCAGGTTTTCTGAAGCACTCACTAAACTGATTCTTCTCACACAGAATATTTAGGAATCATTTTGCCTTTACAAATGCAGCAAGAGTTTCAGAAATCCATTTGAAATCATGGCAGACTGATCCTGTTGAGTTGACTGAAAATCCTCAACCTGAGCGTGTTGATTTTACCATTCCCCTACTTCTCCAGCCTCCCCTCCACACAGACACCTCTGAATTTCACTACTTTGCAGGGACCATTAGGTCCTTCCATTTCACCATGGGGTAGCTGCCAGACAGCACTTGGCACCTCTCTGTCAATCAAGGAGCAGATATTCCTGAGCACTTACTGCTTGCCAGGCAGATCTGCATGCCCTTCATTCTCACCTTATGGACTGTATCCACAGGACTTCAGGGTCCTCTGGTTTACACCTTTTTGCTTCCAGTCTTTTGACCTCTCCAATTACCATCTGGCTCATTCCTTCCTCCATGCTGAATTCCCTCCCTACGGCCTGCTCATACACTTCTTCCTTTCTCTGCAGTGTGGCACCTACCCCCACTGTCCTCCTGAAATGGCTACCCCAGAGTGTTACTGTGACTTTCCTCTTGCCTAATCTAATGCCTCCTCCTCCTCTGCTTCAATTTATGGGTTCTTTGTGTGTGTGTGTGTGTGTGTGTGTGTGTGTGTGTGTGTGTGTTTAACCCACATCTTGGAATTCTGTCTTCTCTGGTTTCATGGCACCTTGTTGTGTTTTCTGGTTTATCTCCTGTTCTTCTGATGACTCCCACATCCTTTTGAGGATTCTTTTGCTTTTCCTCCTGTACCTTTGGCATCCCTCAGTGCAGAACTTCAGCTCTTTGGCTATGCTATCAATTCCTTCCACACTGAACTCTGCCATCTCCTTGATATTAGCCTTGTGAGTTTGCTCTAAAATTGCATTCCTACCAGGGCATCTCACCTGGGCTTCCTCTGTGTTTCTCCAAGGGGTCTTTAGGGCAGTTCTACCTGAGTATCTCACTGTCTTCTCAAATATATTCTGAAAATGGAAGCAGCCATCTTTCCCTCCCTTCTCCAACCCAGTTTCCTTTCCTAATGTCTCAGTTTGGGTTAGGCTAGGCTCCCAGACTGGAAACCTTGGTGCCATTTTGGAGGGATACAAAACAAGATATAGTTCAGAGAGGACTGCTAGGCAGATACTAGGTCAAATCCCAGCTTAGCCACGTGCTGGATGTGTCACTTCAGSTTGGGTATTTTAACTTCTATGTGCTTTGGTCCCCTTAACCATTTTAAAAAATGGAGGGATGATAATAATTTCTTTTCAGGGTTGTTGGGCAGATAAAATAAAGAGTTTAGTGCAATGCATGGCACATAATCAGCTCATAGTAGTTCAGAGGCACCCATGCATTTGCTTATGTCATTCAATTGGGCAGGAACACCTTCTGCTTCCTGTTTATCTGCTTGGCTTCTCCTTAGACATGTTGGATGCTGGCTCATGTATCAGACCTCATCATCCTGCCTTTTCACTGCTGCGCTTGCTTTTTCTGCCCATTAGAATGTAAGCTCCCTGTGGGCCAAGATTCTGAGATATTCACTGTCAGTCCACTATGCACAGCACCTGGCAGGTGCTTAGTCAGTGCCTCTCTAATAAGTGAATGACAGGACTTGGAATAACAACTATCATAAATAATTGTATAAATCTGTACACAGGACCTGGCATGTTTATTAGGTCTCCATAATTTCCAGTCTTGAACCAAATTAAATAAACCATAATGAACATGTAGCAGTTTACAGCTCTCTGAGTTCTGTGGTTTAAGTTATCTTGATAAGTTCTCTTACAACCTGGCTGTGAGGTTGCCAATGGAAGTGTTATCACCATTTTTTGGATAAGAAAACTAAGGCACAAAAAAGTGACTATCCCACAATGAAATAAGAACTTTCCAGTAATGTTTAGCCACCTCCTTATAGTCCTATCTGCTCCCTTAATTTCTGGACTAGTCAGAACTACTTGGATGCCCAGAGCATAATATGCAAACCTCTGCAAAACACACTGTTGGCAAACTTTTTTTTTTATGGACCAAATAATAACTATTTTAGGCTTTGAAGCCATAGCTATTCAATTCAGCAGTGGTAGTGTTAAAATACCATAAATAAAGTGTAAATGAACTCATCTGATTGTATTCCAATAAAATTTTACTTAGAAAAACAGATGACTGGCCCATGAGCCATAGTTTGCTTGACCCCTGCCCTAAGTGGAACTAGTTCCAGTTGGGAATTAGCAAACACACTTTGTTTTAGCTGGATGGTTTGTGAGTTTTTGCTTTGGAGCTACCAGAAGAGCTTCAGCTAATGATTGCTTTTTATTTCCAGATCCTGTCTCAGAAAGAAGTGTGGGTGAGCAGGACTCTGCACCAGCCCAGGAAAAACCCACCTCRCCTGTCAGGGCTGCTGAAAAAAGAGCAAAGGATGACAGTAGGCGGGTGGTGAAGAGTGCACAAGACCTAAGCAATGTGTCCACGGATGAAGTGGGCATCCCACTTCGGGTATGAGTATTGACCTAAAAGTCCTTCATGGGCTTTCAGCTTAACTAAACTGTGATAAAARCACAGCCCTGATTGCATGTGAACCCGTCTATGGGTTACACAGGCCTGGAGGGGAGGGTGCTCACACTGGCMCCAGACCCCAAGTGCCAGACCCACGATAAGCTGTGTTCCAAACTTGGTGTTCAGCAATTTTTCCCAAAGTGGTGTGGGATGTTTATAAGTTTCATGGAAAAAGAAAGGGTTTTGTGGTCAAATGAAAAGGAKGAATGTCTGAGTGGGACAAAGTTGAAGAAATTTCTCTGCAGCAGACCCTCAGAGAGGCTTTGGGCTTGTGAGTGAGTGTTCCAGAGGTGAATGCCACAGGCAATCTTCCTTTATTGGTRTTCCATGGAGTCTGTTCAGAAATTCTTGCTCCAGGGTTAGAGCACCCTGGAGAGTGTGAGGTCCAGAGCCCCAGTTTTGGGGGTTCAGGAAGAAKATCCCCCTGGGTAGGAACTACCCCCACACATACAAATGGAGGAGGAAACTYTGATATAGCCACTGGAAGGATTCAGCCCACCAAGGAGGCCTCCAGGAGAAGGTGGGGTCTAGTAGCAGCCCTGTCCACTGGTCAGGCATGCTAGTCCTCCTGTCAGCCTAAGGAATTCAGGGAAACCTGCCTTTTGAAACTGGATTCAGGTGAATTCCATTCCTCTCCATGTGTTCACTAGGCCACTGACTACAATGCTTCCCTGTGATTTCCAWTTGGAAAAGGGACTAGTTTATTTTTGCTTTCTTTTGGAGAAAGTAGGTAGACATAGCCATGGGCTAAGCCTCAAAAGAATGCTGCTCTTGTCCTAAGTAGTAAGTAATTTAGAAAGAGAACTATTACCAAAAGCAGCTCTAGCTACAATAAACAAACAAAACCCAGCTTTGTGGTGAGGGTGAAAACTCTGACATTGAATGCTATAATGGGTTATGTGTTAGTGTATTCATTCTGAATCTGGCCCTATGCAAGGTGACTTTATATGCATTTCTGCAGAATAATCTGGAATGGATTATTATGCCATAGCATAATAAGCAAGTGTTCTTTGCATCAGATTTCTAGGATTTACTTCAGGTTCCCATAGTTTGTGTTTGGAAATAAATTCTCTGTAAGGATTTAAATTTTTTTTAAAAAAAATTAAGAATGGACATATTTTAAGTCTTTGTATACCTTTATCAAAATCTGCATTCTTTTGGCCAACTATCATTCTGCAAAATGTTTCTATATCTTCAAAATGTTTCTAAATATTGAGATGCTTAGTACTTCTTTTCTGAATCAAGACTAAATCTGCTGTGATTGGGTGGATGAGCTTATTCATGTCTGTCTGAATCTCTTAGTTTGTTCTTTTTCAATAGTTTTGACTTAAGATGTCACTTCCTGTCTGATTCTGATTTTGTAATCATAAAATTTCTGAAATGTGCAATTTCCATTTTACCTTATTCTTTGCCTTTGTTTTTCTCCAGAACACTGAGAGATCAAAAGACTGGTACAAGACCATGTTTAAGCAGATCCACAAACTAAACAGAGGTACTGGTTTTCATTTGTAGAAGCTGTGCTGTGCTGTGTGCCCCCATATTGACTCTTGAGTATCATCCTAAAGTTAGTTTGCTTAGACTCCAGGAGATTGGGTCCTGCAGTTGGATTCCATTAGGTACTGATCTGCCTGAATCCAGCCATGCTCCTTGAGAGCACAGGAGGGAGGGTGCACCTGTATGCCCACCTCAGCTTTATAATTTGAGGTCAGCTCACAAGTCCTCCCTCCCAACTGTGTGGAATGCAGCAGGCTGAGCCTAGCACTCTGCCTGAGCTCCAGCACCTATCTGCCTAAGATKCGAGCAACTCCATCTCTCACCTGCTTCCAGCTTTAGGTATGTCCTGTGTCAGCCCGTGACTGCCTCATGAGTAGAGAAAGTTGAGAAATCTGAGTTAAGAACTGAGTTAAGAAAACTGTTCTCGGGGCTGCAGTTGTGGCTCAGTGGTAGAGCACTGGTCTTGCATGTGTGAGGCACTGAGTTCGATCCTCAGCATCCCATAAAAATAAATAAATTATATAAAGGTATTGTGTCCATCAACAACTAAAAAATAAATTTAAAAAATAAAAAAAAAAAACCTCTTCTCATCTAGTTTCACTCCCCTAAACACTCATGTGACCTTGGGCCAGTCACGTGCCTCTCTGTGTTTATCCTGCCTTCCTTCCTCTGAGAGATGTTGCAGGATCCACATGAGAAAGTGTTTGGCCTTGTGAAGGTATAATGATGCATAGTGTACCTCTAAGGTTATGTTAATGTGAAAAATAAGCACCCTTAGCTGCCAGCCAGCACTTGGCAGGTAGCCCTGAGAATCAGTCAAGAGCTGACACACCAGAGCCTGCTCAAGCTGAAAGAGGTGCTTCCCAATTAAAGGCCCACTGGGCTGTCAGCCAGTGACCCAGCATGGTGGGAGAACCCCAGGCCAGTGCTCGGGCAGGTCACAACCCCACCAGCTCCCATTGCYGCCTGTGCCATCAATCAACTGATAGGCAGGGATGTAGCTGCACCATGGGCAGGGTACCAGTCCTCCTGTGGGCAGAGCATCCTGTCCTTCCCTGTTCCCAAATCCAGTCTGACCGCCTGGCATGGATGGTACATGAAGGCAAAGAAAGAGTGTTCTAGTCAGTATTCCTGTGTAAGCTACAAATATCCAAGTTCTCTAATTAGCTGCAGATGTCAATTAACATTACTGTTAGTAAGTTCTTGCTGGGTTCAAAATGAACCAGGTATGCCCCTCTTCAAAGTGTTTCTAAATATTTAGAAACAGTACTTAGCTTTTCTGAATCAAGACTAAATCGGCTGTGGTTGGGTGGATGAGCTTATTCATAGTGGCCATGCTAAATGCTGGGTCTCTGTGATCCGATGGGGTCATTTCCACTGGTCACTTCCTAAAGTTACTCTCCACTGCCTCTGGCCATCTGTGACTCTCTCRCATATTCACATCCAGCTATGGAAGGCTAAATGCAGGGACGAGTGCTTGCATATGTGCAAAGTAGTTTTGCCTCACAGGCAGTGTTGGTGTTCTCATGTAGTTATTAACTCAACTAAATTACAGGTGATAACACAACTACCTGTCCTAATGGTAGACAGGGGTATTTGAAAAATTGAGACTCCACTTGTTTGCCTTGATTCTAATGTCCACCATACACGCTTWAAAAAAAAAATCATTCTAGGATAGTGTTTCCATTGCATACTACTCATAATCATACTTAATAGCTCTTGCCCATAAAGAGTGAGAGCTTGAAGCTTTGCGCTAAGTGCTTTCTGCACACTGGAGCCTGTTTTGATGTAATTCTTTGACCAAGGGAAGTAATGATATTGTSTCTTTTGATGTGTCTTAATAATTCAGGCTAAAGGACTGGATTTTTAAAGCAGTTTGAATTTCTTTCATGTGACTAGTGACGTTTACCATGTTCCAGAATTCAAGGAGCCTAAATTGTATGTGGATTCCTCCTCGTTCATTGTCTCCATTTGTATCTTCCTCTATTCTCTCTCCCAAACCTGCTCCTCTGCCTAGACACTCCTGAAGAAAACCCTTATTTCCCTACGTACAAATTCCCTGAACTTCCTGAAATCCAGCAAAATTCTGAAGGTACCATAAATTTAGATGGCGTATCTGTTGTTTTAGCCTTTAATTAGTTCTTAGAGTTCTATTTTAGGCATAAGATATGGCTTTTAGATTTTGTTTTTATAGTCATTTTTTTTTGGTTGGTGAAAATTTTATTTCACTCATTTGCATGATATGCTGTATTAAAATAACTAAGTCCTTTCTAATTCATTAATCTATTTTTAAGTGTGATGCTGGTGTGCTTTAATAACACTAAACTAGGTAATCAGTCATTCAAGTGGGAATTTGTCAGTGCCTCCACTTCATGGTGGATAGTTTCAAAATCCACTGCTTTTCTCTGCTACAGAGGACAATCCTTACACTCCTACCTACCAGTTTCCTGCATCTACTCCTAGTCCTAAATCTGAAGGTAATTCAAGGAAAACCGTGTGCCTCTCTTTGTACTGGTGCTGTTATTTTTTTTTTTTCACCTTGGGGTTTTTCCTGGTGGCTTAGGGCTGTCTCCCATTCATTTGCTTCCCTCTAACCTTGTGTTTTGTGGTATTGTCTCATTCCTCGCTGACTCTATAACCAGAGTATATCCAGATGGTACTTTAATTCTATTCCCTTAGGGTTTGCATGATTATTGAGTAGCCATCATAGCTCAGTTATAATGTTTGGAACATGTGGGGCTCTGGGAAAAGCTGCCTATACCAACGTCTCAGGACCTGGTGTCTGGGGTAGTCATCTGGTGCTGGTGGCTGGGCAGTGATTTGGTGAAGCTGAGTCATTGTGGTGGACGGGCAGGAAGTGGACCTGCTGGCTCACAAAAACAGACACATCACCTCTTTCAGCATCCTATACATTCAACTAACTTGTCACTGGGCTCCTCTTGCCATTGACCTCCCTTTGGGAGGGAGTTCTTGATGTGGTTTYGAAATATAAGATTCAGTCATGGTAAGAGATGAGATCTCTTGAATATAAGGATTTGGGCCAAGCTGGAAAACAATTCACAAAAGCTGCTAGGAATTTGTCTTGCTGGGGAGCACAGCCACATTAGTGTCTCGGAGTGTACTTACTTGGGCAAAAAGTCCTCTTGTCAAAGAAGCTTCTAAAAGGTGAGTTAGGGGCAATATCTGAAGAGTTATCATAGTAGCTGGCATGGTCTRATCTTTGGATGAGTGACCCCGGAAAAAGGAGGGGCAGAGTCTGGAAGAGGAAACTTTGTTAAATGCTCTTCTAGGAGGAGATGTAGGTTTAATGCTCTGAACTTCATTCTAGTTGTTCAGAGCACTTGCTCTGTGCCATGCACTATACTGGCAACCGATGATGATACCGTGAATACATCAAGTGCCCTGGCAAGGATTTGGAAAGGGGGACTTAGCACACTGTGCCCATTGTAGGGGCAGTTGCAAGAGCATGTGTCTGGAGGCTGCAGAAATCTTGTTGGCACACAACAGGTCCTCAGTAATGCCTGGAGAATATAATGAGTGAAAGCTTTGCACTGTGGAACCAGAGTGCTTATTTTAGAACCCTGGTGCTACCATCTCAATGCTGCTCTGCTCTGATCAGCCCAGCCCTTCTCACCATTTGTAAAGTCATTCATCTGGTCATTCACTGGACTCTTACTGATCACTTATCATATATGAGATGACATGTTGGGACATGAAATATCGTATCATGCCTGGGGCCTATTTTGAAGGAAAAGTCTATTGAGTAAACCCCAGAACTCAAAGCTGATGACTTAAAATTTTGATCAGTAACCTCCTCACTATTTGGCATAGATAAGTTAGTCTTTYTGTCTTGGGAGTTCTGATTCTAGCTGAAAGCATTGCTGAAGAAACAATTGACTGAGTTGGGCAAGGTGGGGGGCGTTGTTTAGAATAAATGTGACTAATTACAGTTCTTAATTTGTGCTTTATTTGTACTTGTGAGCTCAACCCACTTATGAGATGGGGCTCCCTGTAGGTAAGGTGACAAGTGCAGAGCATGCTGAGGGCACATGTCCCATGGGCACAGGTGGAGGAGGGCCCCTTGGAGAAGTCCTGTGGAGAGGAACAGCGTCTCCTGCTGGACTGGAGGACTGATTAGGCCTATCAYAGGCAGTGCCCATGGCTTCCTCAGCCTTGGGACGGGATGTCATGGCCTCACCCCAGAGCTCCCATGTCATCAGCCACCTCGCCCTTCAACCCTGATTTATGTTAACATTTGCCTTTTGGTGTACATCAAATCTGGCACGAGAGGAAAGTGGGGTTTTGGGTTTTTTTTTCTTTCTTCAAGGCATAAATAGTAAGAAATAACATGACAACTTGCCACATATATTTAGACATGAACCTTATTATACTTTTTATTTTCAAAGACCAAAAAAGGGAAAATTAAAAGAATTAGGTTGAACATTAAGAAATCCAAATAACAAAGATGATTAGACTTTAACACAAGTTTCTAAGAAGTCATCTTCCCTGGAGACCTTTCTAAAATAGGATAGATGCTATCTCACGCCCCCATCTCTGCCTAGATGACATATCCAGGCACAGATCACTGATGTGTTCCATTAGATAAAGACGTTTTACAAATAAGGAAAATGTTTAAACTAGATCATTTTTTTAAACTRTTGGACTAAGATCCTCTGGATTTCTGAATCTATGGCTGGTGGCTTAGATGTTATCTGTGGGTTCCATCAGAGTACCCCAGCCCTGTCCGTGGTGCTGCTCCCAATAGGTGGCCTGGGCTCTGTGCACTTCCTTCTTGACATAGGAAAGATTTATGCCTTTCAAAGAAAGGCGTTAAAGACAGTTAGCACTTAATGGAGGGTCTGCCCAGAGATTTTAACATGCCTTAAGAAAGAAACAGCTTTACTGAAGAATGTGAACACTTGATGGTCCAGAACTGGTCTCTTAGGGAAAAACTTGTTGCTGGTATTGTTTTAATTCAGATTTTGGAACTAAGATTATCTGTAGTAAACCTACCAGAGCCTAGCCTGAGGGTTGTTGCCTCTGTCTAAATTTTAGTTGTTGATATAGTATAAAAAGACGCTTCTAAAAGCTCAAGACTGATTCTCCTAAATAGCAAGGGGCCGTGTGAGTTTGTATGCTAGCTTAGCAACCTTCTTTTACCCCCCAGTTAACAGTGAACAAGTGAATGTCTGGCCAGACTTTTAGAAAATAAACAGAATGATTATATCTTGATCAATGAGGTTTAAGATATACTTTAAAAAACAAACCACTGTCAATCCCAGCAAGGAACCGTCCCTTCAGTCATTTTACAATCTTTGAGGTTTCTGTGTGTTGCATGTGCTTACACTTTGCTTCATGAAGCAGGTAAGGGAAGAAAGAGCTGTGGAGAAGCAGCTTCACAAATGCAGCCCTTTCCCCTTCCCCACCTCCTTCTCTTAGGGCCAGCAGTATGGTAGCCAGTACCTCCATATCTCACCACTAATCCTGTAAAGGGTAGTAACATGACCACCACTGCGATGACCATGGGACTGTCACTTACTGAGTCTTTATGCTATGCAGTATTAGACTCTATGCTGAGTGAATCACTATTGTTATCTGATTTTCGACCCCCTCCCCAGTGACCCCATGAGACTCAGAGAGGTTAACTAATATATGCAATATAACATAGTAARTGGCAGAGCCAGGATCCAAACCCAGGTAGGTCTAAGAGGCCCCTAAACATGGGCTTTTACTGACTATGCTGCACTCCTGTACTCCCTTGAATGGCCCCTCCTTTCCAGGGGCTCTCTGATGCCTCACTGTAGGTATCCAGCTTCCCCCAAGTCAGAGCTGCCTCAGGATCCTGAGCCAGTGTCTCCTGGGATGGTGTCTGGGAGATATGTTTAGGAAAGCTGTCCAGGTGTTTGGGAGTCCCAATTAGCCAGCATTGAGAACCACTGCAATGGAGGAGCACCACTCTTCCCCAGAGTGCAAAAGGGATGAAGATACTTGCCTAGATGCAGTTGTAGAAATTTAGATGCAGGCAGGATTAATTAGAGTGAGGAATGCAGATTCAAAAGAGTTAGACTTTCTACCCTGAAGATGGCAAATGATGTTTGCTCACTTGGTACATTTGATGTCAGGAAGACAGAGGATATAAGGATACCTAGGAATCTTTACCAAAACCAAGTAATGGATAGGTTACTTTGTGGTGCATGGCTTCTGACAGGGTGGAATCTGTCATCAGAGGTGAAGTCCCAGAGACTAGCCTTCCCCCTGGCTTGTGGATACCTCTCACAGCACTTCAGGCTGGYGGTGGCCACTGCAATGTCCTGGTGCTGTGACTCAAAAATAGGCACTCCTAGTGGTAATGTCCCAGTGTTCTCTCTCGTTGTGCCTTTTCCTTATTCCTAGACAAGATTGCACTAAGCAAGGACTTAAGGAGGCTGGTTTTCTTAGGCACATCAGTTAAAATAATCCTCTACTGGCCTTGCAGGATTTCCAATAATAGCCTTATTTTGCTTGTATTCAAGCAAATYGTTCTATTGGGAGTATGGTTGGCTAGGATTTGTGCCTCCTGCCCCAAACTCTGGCTAGTACTGCCCAGAAGAGGGGCGGRGCTGCTCTCAGTGGTCACCTTTGATCTCCTTACAAGAGCTGCTCTGAAGGTTTTTGCCTAGCAAGTGCAGAAGTCTTTGGCCTGCAGAGTAGTTTAGAAGTGAAGGAGTTATTCCCTTTCTAACTTCAGGACCCAAGGATCTGATAGGAGGTGAGAACGGTGAGGTGAGTCCTTTTCTAACCCAACGGGCCTCCCAGACTTTCCCCTCTAACACCTTTCCTGCTTTACCTCCTATCTTCCATAGAATTATGTCTTTTTTTTTTTCTGAATATGTCTTCTGCAGCTACTCTGCACCCTGTGCTGGCCCTTTTCTTACCCCTTCAAATTTGATTGCCTGTAATCAAATCATAGACAACTTGGCAAGTCTCTCCCCAAGCTCCCAGACGTTCTGGCTTCTTTGAACCTTCTTGCCTCCTTTGCTTATTCTTCCTTTCATATCACAGACTCTGTACCCAAATCCGTGTACGTTCCTCTTTTCCTTAACTGMTTTTGTCTGAGGGATGTTTGTACATGTCTATCTTTACCCTTTAATCCTTGCTCTTCCTAAGTATGTGGGGTAAAGTCTGAGAAAGAATTATGTTGACTAATGGAAAATTACTGTGTTAAAGATGAGCCATTCATACTAGAAAGGCAATTTTAGGTTTAAAGACCTAATAGGTATATAAAATAGAAATGTAATGACATAGGCAGTAGTTATACAAATGCTGCTTTTTTTCCATCAGCCCATTTTGGTCAGTTACATTATGTTTATAGAACATCAATTTCAACCAGTACTTTCTCCTGTTGTCTTTAAGACTTTAATAAATTCAACAAAAACAAATGAACAAAAACCCAGGGGGGGGGAGTCATTTAGGAGCTCATTTAAAGTCAGTGTGGTTGAAAAGGCAATTATGTGGCTCCTGGCAGTTTTAGGAGGGTAACTGTCCCTAAATTGTCCTACCAAGAACAGACTGCCAAATCCCCGGGGGAGAATCATTGGTGCATGAACATCAGAGCCCAGCAGGGGCCTTCAGGTCCCTGAAGTGAGTTGTTCACCCCTCCTGTAATCCTGCATAGTGTTCAGGCTTCCTGGAAGTGGTGTAGGAAGTTGTGAGTGTTACTGCCAAGGTTTGATGTCTTCTGCTTAGAGCAAGAGGGGCACAAATAAAATATGGCTCCACAATGAGCAGCGATTATAAGATTCCAGCTCAGCGGACTTCACTGTGGCCTTGTTTTCAAGAATCCTGAAGAAAATGAGGCAGGCTTTCTAACACTAGTTCATCGACAACTCGAGAAACACTTTACTTGGTGGGTTTTAGATATGGTTATATACACAAACACACACACACACACACACACACACACACACACACACAGTACTCTCCCACCCCTGGGCTAGCTCTAACACAGAGTGCAGACAGATACTTCTTATACTTTTCCCATTCCTTGGTGTTTCTCACTGTCTACCTGTCTTTCCCAGTGCAGACTCACCAGAGAAGGTTTACAAAACCAGCACATGGAAGACACTATAGCAAGAGTGACTCGGGGCTGGGGTTGTCGCTTAGTGGTAGAGCACTTACCTTGCATGCATGAAGCACTGGGTTGATCCTCAGCACCACTTAAAAATAAATAAGCAAAATAAAGGTGTTGTATTCACCTACAACCAAAAGACTCAGTGTTACCATTGTCCCCAGAGATCAGCAGCAAAAAGACTAAGGGTGTGGTGGGGTAACTCAGAAATGTTGCTCAAGCATCACTCAGGACGGGGTAATGTGGAAAAGTGGAGCAGAGGCTTCGAGGGCTGGAGATTGGTCTGGCCAATGGTGTACTTGAGTTTCAGGACAGCACTTTCCTTTGCTTCTTCCACAACAAAAACAATACTGAAACACTCGAGGTCTTCATCTTTCCCAGGATCAGGGCACATGAAGGTGTGAAACGTAGAACGAAGCAACATCCTGATAACAAGTTAATAGGTGACATGAGGAAGAGAGACCTTGAATCCATTCCTCCTTTGTATTTTTCTCATTGTGCAAATTTTTTCTACCCTGCTTGGACCTTGTTTGAAATATGATGTGTTTATTTCCTACTGGAGTTTTTACAAAGTTTAAATGAGAGGATATCAGTCAATTTTCAGCTATTACTGGACAATACTGGGAGATACTATTATTATTTTTATTCCTAAGTTGGGGTAAATTTTTTTCTCTTAGATTTTCAAGACAAACATCAAATATTAATTTTGATGATGTCTGTTTTATCTAACCTTGTTCTTTCTGTTGTTTGTGTTTTTGGTGTTATCTCTTAGAGGGCTTCTCTTCACACAAGGTTTACTATTATAAAAGATTTACTCTATTATACTCTTCTTCTGACAGTTTTATATTTATTAAGCTCTTACATTTCGATAAATAACTCATTTTGACTTAGTTTTTATCTATGGTTCAAATGAGTTCAACTTCTGTGTCCCCCCACCCCCAATATTTGGGATTGAACCAGGGGTGCTCTATCACTGAGCTACATCTCCAGGCCTTTTATTTTGAGATATGGTCTCCCTAAGTTGCTAAGGCTGGCCTCCTGCCTCAGCCTCCTGAGTTGCTGGGAATTCAGGTGTTCACCACTGTACCTGGCTCTTCTCATTGTCTTCTAATAAGCCTCCTAGAATTCCACATTAGAAGAATCTAGAGAGAAACATTTTTCTTAAAAAAGTTCAGGCTTAAAAAATCATTTTTAAGTATTTAAATGACATCCCTCCCCTCAAGAATTGTTTCTAGCCTTATGAACCAGATAATAATTATAAATTAACTTTCACCTCACCATCTAATGATGGATTCTAATTTTTCTGTGATTCAGAGGGGCACAAGGTTTTGAGCTAAAAAACACTAGGCCAGACTTGAAAGAGTAATGTTTTGGTTTCTCACTAAGCTAATTTTTGTTTTGGACAGGCACTGTTTTTCCTAATCAAGTCCTTGTGAGCCAAGCTGATTTTTCATTTTGTTTGATGTCATGGCAGAAGTCCTATTAAAAAACAAACAAAAAAAAAATGAAAAAACTGGGAACACAAAATTCTTCAGTATGGTCTCTCCAAAAATACATTTTATCCTTCCCCTGCCCTATTTTTAGAAGTGAACAAATAAACTTGTGCACTCAATTTATAATAGTGAATGGCTTGGTTGTGTTGGTAAAGAAGCTGAAGCCCTGTTCAACCTTGATGTTGATTCTTATCCTTAAAGATAAAAGGGTGGAAAGAGGTGAAAATATGCCTTGGTACCTGATTCTTGTCTATTATTTTGACTGAGGACCAGGGACAGATATAAATGGGGAGAAGGGAGGGCACAAGATGGTTAGAGAAGCTGTCTTCCAATGTTGCTTGACTCAAAATAATAGCAATGCTAGCTTTATTAACATTTCATAAAAAATTCTGATAGTTTCTGCTCTGCAACTTAAAATGATTTTTGTAGAAACAAGGACTTGATTAACACTTTGTCATTAACATAGCACATTAGATTGGCTTGCCTTTGCTGGTTAGGTCATGCCCTTCACTGAAGTTATGAATTTTGAGGGAAGAAATTGGGTCTTCGTTCCATATGCATAAATTCTGAATTCAGATTAGCAAGATATTAGAAATGGAGGATGACTGTTTGAGAGCAACTCTTTGGAGTAATGCTTTGGAAGTATCATCATGGGGATGTAGTRACTGAGTAACCTGCATTTTCAGGACAGATCCAATTTAGAAATCTGTTCCYAAAAATGTGCCTGTGGTCTGGGCCAGGCATGATGGTGSACACCTGTAATCCCAGCAACTTGGGAGGTTGAGGCAGGAGGACCACAAGTTCAAAGCCAGCCTCAGCAACTTAGTGAGGCACTTAGCAAACTCAGCGCCATCCTCTCTCTAAATAAAATACAAAAAAGGGCTGGGGATGTGAATCAGTGATTAAGCACCCCTGGATTCAATCCCCAGTACCCTCCAGAAAATAATGTCCCTGTGGTCTGATTTTTAAGTTTAAAAAATACAGCCATTTAATGGGTACAGATCTCATCTCTCTATTCAGCACATTTTAGAGCCCCAGTGTTAAGCTTATTTAGTGAAGCATGTCACGCCCTTAGAAAGCCATCTCGTACCACAGAAACTCTTATGGGTTTGATTTGTTCCGGAGTCACTGTTTAGACACTTAGCTCAGGCAGTTCCTTTGCAGAGCAGGCCATGTAACCACATCAACCATGGGTGTGTTGTGCCCCAAGGAAGGAGAGAAATCTCCTCGTGGAATGAGGTTGAGGTGGAACCAAAACAAAATATGATATGGATTTTTGTCAACTCTTTGCTGCAGAACCTCTGTTAGTGATGTTATATATGGAAGTTTAAAATGTGAAACTTTTCAAAGCTGAGGTGGGGAGCCAGCAACCACACCTTCCGGGCCTCCCCTTCCCATGCAATAGCAGCCTCAGGGCCCCTGAAGAAGACCTGTCAGGACCCCACGGCTCTTGGCAGGCAGAACCAGTGACTGAGCAGGAGCACTGGGATGCATCTCAGCCCCTGACTCCCACTTGGCCAGACTCGGGCCTCTGTATTCCAGCTTTGGCAGGAGGTGTCTCTTGAAGAAGACCTTTGGCTATTTGTCCCCATGCATTTCCCAGTGATAGGCAGCGGTCATCTGCCAAGCATTGGTCATTCACGTCCTGTCGGGACTGCAGGTCCTCCGGGGTTGGGTGGCCTCTGCAAACCTTCCTCTCCTCAGTGTGGTCTGCTGTGGTGTAGCTTCCCGGTGCTTGGCTCCTTTCTCCGCTGGGTTCCCTGGTGTGTCTGGATTCGGTGCAGGCTGTGGAAGTGGGGAATGTGCAGTCCAGTTCCTTAGTAGCCCATTTGTCCTGATCATTTCTTYTTTTGTTCACTAGATGATGATTCCGATTTGTACTCTCCCCGATACTCCTTTTCTGAAGACAGTAAGTGACTGAGTTTCCTGGTTGCGGGGGAGAAGTGGGGGATGGTGGATGAGGGAAGACATCTTCTGGTTTCCGTTTTCATTGGTTTGTAAAGTCATCTGTATGCACTTGCTTTCTCTAGCAAAATCTCCCCTTTCCGTGCCTCGCTCAAAAAGTGAGATGAACTACATTGATGGTGAGAAGGTAGTTAAGAGGTCAGCCACGCTACCCCTCCCTACCCGCTCTTCCTCACTAAAGTCAAGCCCAGAACGGTAAGTGGTGCCTTGCGAGTGTTCACCTTGACCAGCCAAGTGCCTTGTCAGCACTTCCTGAGACCCAGGCGCCTCCTTTCTTAGGATGGATTTAATTTGAATCCCCTGCTGTTACCTACCAGCAGTGACTTATTCTGAGTCTCAATGTCCTTATCTGTAAAATGGGGATAAAAACCTTGACTGCTTTGTGCTCAGTGTTGCAAGGATAAACTGAGATAGTGCACATAAATATTCCAAGTAGTGCCTGGCTTATTGTGTGGACTTAATTAATGTCAACTATAAATATCATCACCTTTTCATAAGAAAAGTCTTACTGCAAGATTTGTCACAGGTTTTCATATTCTATGTCCATATTAACCCTGTTTATATATTCAGGGCAGAGAATAAAATGAAGCCACACTTTTCATGTCTATTTATTTATATGTGGTGTATCATCAAGATGTAAGGTTTGGAGTTATTAAGAGGTGACATTAGTCATCCCTTAATGCCTGTGCTAAACAATCCGATTTTTTTCCCCCAGAGTGGGGAATTGAACCCAARGATGCTCTRTCACTGAGCCACATCTCCAGCCCTTTTTATTATTTGAGAAAGGATCTCACTAAGTTGCAGAGGCTGGCCTCAAACTTACAATCCTCCTGCCTCAGCTTCCCAAGTAGCTGGAATTACAGTGTGTCTCCACACCCGGCCCCCATTTTCTTTTATTTAGTTCTTATCTCTAAAAGTGCCCTGTGGAGCAACCAYTTCATGCCATCTGGACATATGTCCCATGCAGTTTCCAGCCCAAACTCCTACCAGTCTCCACATAAAAAAGGCTCTGGTCAATTCAAATGATTTTTCCCTCAAATGCACATCCAGTCTCACTTCGGCTCACCTTTCCATCCTCAAAAACAAAGCCCCACACATACCTAAGTGGCATCCACCTGAGGAGTTAGGTAATCAATTTGAAAGGTAGGCTAGATATGTCCATAAATCCTTTAGAGATGCATTCATCAGGCACTTACTGGCTACATTTTATGCAGATTATATCAGATGTTATAGATGTTGTCCTGCCATCAAGAAGTTTTCAGCCTTACACGAAAAACAAAATGCAACCACACTGCAAAGTAGTAATACACCTGCATAAAAATCTTGCACACAGTTTCCAAGAATTTGTGTATCTTCTGAAACCCATTACTGGATACCAGGTTAAGAATATGCACCAAAGACTGAGATTGGCAGGTAGTAGGGTGGGGTAAGGATTAGGGAAGAACATAGTCATAGTAACAGGTAATGTTTATTTAGTAATTCCTGTAGGTCTGGCACTTTGCTTTCTGATTTACATGTATTGTCTCATTGAACCCTTACAACGACCCCTATTTTTCAGATGAGGAAACTGAGGTTCCAAGAGGTAAAGTACTTGGCTAAGATCATCTAGTTACCAGGTCTTATCAAAAGTATTTGAGCCATAGTCAAGTAGCTCCAGGACCTATGTTCTCTCTCTGCACTGGCATGAGTGGGAGATGCAGGCATGTTTGGGGAATGATAAACTCATGAGAGCAGAGCGAGGTGAAAGGTTTTTCCAGGTCAGCTTTACCATTTCTTTCTCCTCTCTTCTTCTCTTCGTCTCTCCAATTGATTGTGCCTCATTTTCAGCACAGGATGGCTCACGCCCTTTGTGAAACCAACACAGAGATTTAACTGGTTGTTTTGAGAAATGAACCAGCACAACTGAATTATTCACCCTTACTCTAATTTTATGCTTTGGATATAAAAATTCCTTGATTAGACTGTAGCCAACCAAAGTCAGACTGTGTTGGAAGCTGATGCCAGGTTTCATGACAATAGCTGAAACAGGATTATCTGTCTGCAGAAACGACTGGGAGCCCCCAGATAAGAAAGTGGATACGAGGAAATATCGTGCAGAGCCCAAAAGCATTTACGAATATCAGCCGGGCAAGTCTTCTGTTCTGACCAACGAAAAGATGGTAATGTGCATGTTAAAGTTCTTTTTGTCTCTCTCTCTGCCCATGTTCTTTAATCCAGATGCATTGTTCAGCTGGATTATATTCATTCCCCCTTGAGATAGACTTTCTTTGTTTAGAAGACAATGAAAAAAATGAATTATTTTTACCCTTTCCATTGTTGCAGGTGTTCATAAAATAAGTCCTGAGAGTCTCCTTTTAAAGAATCCTCTTATTGTGGCTCYGTTGCTCCATTTTGTGCATGGTTTTAACTAATTTAAATTTTTCTACTAACATACAGATTGATTTTGCTGCTGTCTTTTAAAAAAAAAGTCTAACCATTAATGTATCAGGCTTATCATTAACTGGAATAAGTCAGGGTTTTTTAAAAAGTGACTTTTATGTGAACAAGGATAAATTTTGTAGGATTTACCAGTATATCATTAAAAGCCAAATAATTGATAAGATGTTATAACTAGAGGCAAAAGCCCCAGGCTATTAGAATATATCTTTTAGGTTTTCCTTTATTGGTAACTGCAATAGTGAGGACTAATGTCATATGCAACCTGGTTCTAAAGTTCACATCGCAAAGCAATTATGATTGAGAAATTGATCTGTTTCCAGACCACCCTGGAAAAATGGCCTCTTCTGTGAAATGGGAAGAATTTTTATAAGCTGACTAGTTTCATATCTGCCAATCATGCTTCTTTTTATTCATCCTTCATTAAAAAAAGCTGGTTCGAAATTCTGTGTGGTTAAAGGGATTCTCCAAAGCTCCATAAACATTGCAGCCCTCTGGCTGTGGCAACAGGATGGAATGATTATGCTGGAGATTGGTTTTTATTAAATACTGTTACCATACCATAAGCAGGCCCCCTGAAATGCAGGTTCAAATGATTTCCCTCTACCTCTCCTGCTCTACATGTTTTTAAGGAACAGTCAGGTTGACTTTTACTGCAATAAAAATGTGACATCTTCAAAAGCACAGAGCGTTAAGTAATTTTAATTAGGAAAAGAGGTCATCAGTTCACAGAAGTGCTTTTAGAGTTGTCATTCTTCAGCATTTACCATGCACTGCAGGTATTTTAAGCAGGAGATGTAGAGAAAAGCAGAGGATCTTGCCTATGGTTCCCCTCTTCACTGAAGGTTCTCTTCCTGTTAGAAGGTGCCTCATTCATAATAAACACAGAAGGTTCCCTTCCACCCAGAAAAGCGTGCTCTTCAGGTATATTCCTAACACTTAATGTTATCGTAATGTAGTATGTAATAACATAGTGAACCACAGTCACATAATCACACATTTAAAAGATTTCAGGGACTTTGCAGGCCTTTGGTCATTTGCCAAGTGACCATTTAGAGGCTGTCATTGCTCTTACTGAAGGTGTGCCCTTTTTTCTTAATTTCTTCTTTGTTTCCACTTCCTCTGACTTAGTAATTTAATCACTATTCAGAACCAGGAAAACAACAACATAATTTTGTTTCCTTTGTTGATATCACAGTGGTACACGTATCTCCCATACCACGGTTCTTGGGCTCATTTACATTGTTGTTTTGTTTTATTATTGATTTTTTTCTCTTTCCACCTTTTTTATTTGTGCATCATAGTTGTATACAATGATGGAATTTATTGTTACTTATTCCTACATGGACACAATGTAACAGTAAGATTTGGCCAGTATCACTCTCCAGCCCTTACTTCCCACTCTCTTTCCTCTTTCCACACCCTGGTCCCTTTCCTCAACTGATATCCCTTTGATTTTCATGAATTCCCTGTCCTCCCTCCTCACCTTTCTTTTCGTTTTCCTCTCCAGCTTCCACATCTGAGAAGGGAGTATGTTGATTTTTTTTTTTTTTTAACTAGTCTTGGAAGGTGGTACACAGTGCCCTCTAGAGGCCCTCTGGGGACTGGTAAGACCCAAAGGACCATCTGGGTGTTTGCATGTAGGAACTCTGTTGCACCAGGCCTGAGACTGGTCCACCAGGGCATGTGGGCACCAACGACAGACCAGGGAGGAACTGCCTGTCCAGTCATTTAACTCCAGCACCTTTCACCTAGTATTGCTATATTCTTCCCAAGAGAAGGTTTCCATTTAGAGAGGAATTTCAATGAATCTTACTCATTTGATATTTGAATTAGTCCTTTATGGTTAAATTTTTTTTCCTGTTATTTTTATCACATGAACAGAGAAGCTGGAATGTGAGTTTCAGTGTGTAAGTCTTGCCTTTTGGAATCCAGTATTTGGCTTACCAGAATTTGAGCCCCCAACATACACTTTTTTGTTCTTGTTGTTGTTAATTGCCAGTAGGTATACAAACTAGTGACAGATGTAAGATCTAGGCTTGTTTTAAGATGTGCATTCTCATTTTTACCCCATTAAAACTCTCATGTTTGTTTAACTAGCAGTTTAAATGATGATCTCAAGGCTTAGTGATACATTGACAGCAAGAGTAATGAGTGGTAGACTTTATCAGCCACAGCTCATCTTGCCCTGGAATATCCACACCACCAAGACCCGTGAAACACTGCTACCTTCAAAATGCCCCATGGATTTACAACCTTGGTGACCTCTTCACCTATTTGATAGACTCATGAAGGTCTAAGTATACTTGGCCCTTCTCTTATATAATAAAAGTCCATTTCTTCCCTTCTGGACTTGGAATTGGAAATCTACTTGTTGGTCCCTGTTTTGTCACAAATTACCTTTTCCAGGCTTTGTTCCTTTATACTTTCCTCTGAAGTCCCTTACAGAGCACGAGCTCAATTTAACAAATACATAGAACCATTCTTACATGCTAAACTTCAGGTTAAATGTTGTGGTCCCTGCTGTCACAGGTATAAAATACAAGGACATACATTTCAAATAATAGTTACAGACATGACATGTTTGCAGCATAAAACAAGGGGATTTCCCCAGCTTGATTTCTTCCCAGTTCACCCTTATTTTGGCATTTCAAGTTAGTTACTAGCCCTGCTTGGTCTTATCTGCAAACTCAGTGGATCTGCCCCCTCTCATTCAGAGTATGAGATGTGGAATGTAGTATAGCAAACAGAATGCTGGACCAGAAATTGGAAGATGTAAGTTCTGGGCTCCAGTTCTGGCTCTGCTGTGTCTTTGGGCAAATCATTTGACCTTCTTCAGTGTTTTCATCTGTAGATAGAAATATTATGTAGCCTGTCAGCTTTAGTGAAATACTGAGCAAGATGGTCAAATGGGATAATATAGACACAGAACTATGAATATTATCAAGGGCTGTGCAAATGAACATATCATGTTCAGATGATTTATTTAATTAAAATTTTAAGCTGGTCTCTGGCTCCTGTTCAAGCAGCAAATCTATCTTTGAATAGTTGGCATTTTCCTGGCAAGCCACTCATCCTTTCCAAGAATTTTATCAAGCTGGGAAAAAATAGCCAGCAAAGAACAGAGCCTGGCATTATGGAGTGTGCTCTGCCTGATGGGACAAGGTTCCTTCTCTGCACCATGAAGGATGTTTTCTACTGATATGTTCCTTACTTGGATCTACAGCTGAGTTATACTTGAAAAAAATGCAGATGTTCATGCTGTATGGTATCAACTTTGTACCTCTATCTCTGGGCAGCTCTCAGGACAGAAGTTTGGAACTGCAGGATTAGGACCCAAGTTGTTTGACCTGCCTTCTGATTCTCCTCTCAACCCAGCATTAACCTCATCTGTATAGCAATCTGCAGACAGCATTCAGGAATATAGTGGGTTAATTCTTTCAGGACTGTGAATACCAAAACTTTCAGGCAGTTTCCTGAAAGAATTGGTACATTTTATTAAAAAACAAAAAAATCCTAACCTCCCAGAGAGCAGTTTATAAAGTAGGATTTGTAAAAATAATAAACACCAAATAGGTTTCATGAATACCCATTGTATTAGGATCTAGCATGTCTCAATGTCTAAACTGTTATTCCTAAATGGTTGTCTCTTTTTAGGCATTATGCCTCATTTCACTAAATATATACAGAATCCATTTACTACAGGAAGGGCTGGCCTTCCCCTTCAAGACTGGAGCCCTAGGTCCCTACAGACAATAGTAGGAGGTTTATCTGTATACAAGGGTCAGACCTTGTGTTTCAGTATTTATTTCCCTGTGATTTCAACTTAGTTTAACTTCATTTAAAGAAAGGCATTGTGCCATATATTCATACCTTCCTTTACCAAAAAACGGAAGTGTAGTAATGGTGCAGAATCTCCTAGGGATCTTGGAAGAAGGGGCTGGTAAAGATCACCAAGACAGTTTGCAGCCTTTTCTACAAGCTGCAAAAGGGCTGATAACTGATTTGTTGAGGAAAGCACGTCCAGGAAGCACTGCTTTGTGATGGTAGTTGAAGACCTGTCCATGGTGCATGATAGCTCTCTTCAGCTCGTAGCCCGGAGGTAGTTAAGTTTCTTGTATGGTGTTTTCAACCCCTGTAGAAAATGCGTACATTTTATATTTTCAATTGTAGAAAATTATTGTACTCTTATTTATGATCATCAAAGTTTTTTTGAAAAACATACGTATATGAGTTTAATTCAGCCATGAACCTCAAATACTTTTGTCTGATGTGAATGCATCTCCAGTGTATGAAGGAGGAAACCTGATTCTTTCTAGATACTCATTTTCCAACTGATTATTTTCAGAAGTTTATGTTACTCCCCTGAGTAAGGTTCCAGCACTCTGTACATATTTGATTAAACATTAAAGCCAAAAAATCAGATTACCAGTCTATGTGATACCTTTTAGAGTTATATGAAATGAGAAATCTTATTTTTGTAACATAACCCAGAAGTTTTCTTCCCCCTGTTCTGTTATCTGTCTTGTCTGGCTTTTCCCTCACTTAATTTTTTTCTGGTTCTTTAACATTTATTTGTTAGAACACAAAATATATTCTGTCTGTACTCATCTCCCACAGATGCTTGTTTAAAATGTTTTTTCACTTGTGTTCTCTGTTCTTACTTATGTCATCTTCCACTTTGCTGTGTACAGGACATGGTTTCTCACCTGTTCATGTGCCATTAAAGATGCAGTATTAACCAATTGGCTTTTCTAAAGTGTCAGTATTTTCGTTTATTTTGAAAACCTCAAGGCAACCTTGCAAATAAGCACTAAAACTGTACTAGCCCGTAAAAAACTGTTTGCTCTACTCAACTGGCATAAATGCTCAATGTTTGGTGTGCTCACCAATTTATTTGTTCATAACTAATAGTTCTTTGCAAGAGGAAATAGGGGCTTTCTTTTTCTCCCACAGTATCGAGAATTATTGAGGAGTACTGCTGTGCCCACATTCAGATTTCTTGTGAGGAGCTGCAGTGTGGTGCAGAGTTTGCCATCTCTAGTCCATTTGCCTCTGCCGTAGGACTGAGAATGAGTCACGTGCTGCTCCCTACCTCAATTTCCCTGTTTTCATAAACACGTCCTCTCCCTCCTGTTTTAGCTCCCTGATTTTGCTGATGTCAGTAAAAAATGGACCATTGCTGCTGTTGAATGCAGCTGCTGGAAATCCCTGGAAACCACTGCATCTCTACTGGCCTGTTCCTATGTAATCTTTGCATAATGTTATCCTTCTCTTTCTTCCATTTCCCTATCACCAACCCCTATAGAGTCGGGATATAAGCCCAGAAGAGATAGATTTAAAGAATGAGCCTTGGTATAAATTCTTTTCGGAGTTGGAGTTTGGGAAACCGGTAAGTTTAATAGCTTCAGTGGTTCTACACCTTTTTAAATAATGCTGTTGATGCATTGTTGCTGCTAAAGGATCAGATCCATGAGTGAGGAATTCAGAAAGTGGGGAGCAGTCAAGTAGGTTGTCCATAGTGGGATTGTCTTGTCTTATTATAACCTGTAAGTTTTCCTTACTTTACTTCACCAAGAGAGGACAGTGAGCTCTGGAAGAATATCTTACCAGAATATCCCAAAGAGCACAACTAAACCATTGCTTCTTCTGGGACTCCCCATTGACACCAACTATCACAAGCTTTGTGGATGGCGTTCTTTCTGCCATTGGTTCATTGCCTTGCCCAAAGTCTGTTTGGCATGCTGAAGACAAACAGGGAAATGTGTTACATGACAGGACGGCCAGCATGATTGCTGCCTCAAGTAACATTTTTAAAAGCACCTAGGTGAGGCAAGTGTCTGAATGGACCACCAAAAAAAAAAAAAAGTTATTTTTTTTTCCTCTGTGGGTGTAGCTATAAATGCAGCCCCATGATAGGCAATTTTTAAGAAACAATTTTTATAAGTTAGAATAATATTTTCCAACATTTGGAATGGAGGTTAGAAATTCTAGCAAATGTAGGGTTCAGACTAATATCTTGCAGCTTCCCCTGTGACAACTCTGAATTGGCTTTTGTACAAATTGACCTTGATACTTAAAGGAGGATTTTCTTAGCCCTGCACACAAAGGAATATCAGACAGAAGGGATAATCGAACTCATCCTTCCACTTGAGATGACTAGACATTGCCTTTAAAACTCTACTATAAAACCTTAATTATTACAAATTCAAAAAGAATTTGTGGGTGGAGGATATAGCATAAGAAAACATTTTATTAGGTTTTGTATGAGATTTAAGCCTTGAATCCAGCTTTTGAATAAAGGTAGATTGGGATGATAGTTTTATTTGCAGCCAGGAATTAACTTAATCGTTCAGTAAAAGATTAAATAAATTCTGTTGTGTCTTTCTTATTAGAAAGAAGTTAAACTGGTACTCTGGGATTGACAATTTGATTTAGCAATGCTGAGCTTTCTTTGGAAGTTCAGATTCATGAGATGGGAGCACCTGGCTTGCAACATCCTGCTTGTAGGAACAGGTGTTCTGTTCTTCTGGTCCCTCCCAATGGCTGCTTAGCCACCCTCCATGAAGAGGGCCACCTAGGAGCAGTGGAGAGAGAAGCATCCAGCCTAAACTGCCCCTCCTTTCCTCTCCCCTCCCCAAAGCTTTGAGGAGGGGACACCTCATTTCTTCTCCTCTCTCTCCCTTTTTTCTCTGCCACCATTTAAACATCAAGTGTACTCAAGAAATCTTTTCCACATTCAAATGTATAACAGTATCCTGACCCTTTTCCTTTTCTTCTTTTTCTTAAAACCTGCTCAATGATTGCACAAAGAAAGCTTCTTTTGATACTCAGATAGTTCTTCCTCTTCCCCCCCAAAAAAAACACCACGATTGATATATGTAACAATAATATGCTACTTTGATTCAGGAAGGCAAAAACTATTTACATTATGTTTAATAAAGATTCCATGCGATTGTTTTTGAAATTCCTTTCAGAAGCCAAAAATTTCTAGCCATCTTCTCTGTCAAATAATTGAACTAGTTTTTAACTGAAATGTTAGCTTTTAGGAAAAATCATGACTTTTTTCCCCTAGTTAATTGTGATTGGTTTGTGTTTCTAAATCATTGTAAACAATCTATCGTTACACACAATATTTGTTGGCAATAGGCATCATTGCTTTCCCAGCATACATTCAATAAGCTGGGAATAGTTTGGTAAGTTAACACGGACTCTAGGGGAAACTGATCTGAGAACTGTACAACCATCTCAAACCAATACTGAGAACACAGTCCATTTGTTTATTGGGACCTTCCTATAACTTGAATTCCTATCCTATTGCTTTAAACACCCTTCATTATTTAGACTTAGAGATACTTTTCAAAATGGCCTCTTCTCTGAAGCCACACACATTCCTTGCACCGACCTCCTAATCCTAATGGGACTGCTCCCTTCTGTGTAGGTCTCACGTTAAGAGATAATAACACTTTTGAAGACTTGCCAGAATAACCTAATCAATGCCCATATCCTGAGGAACAGCATTGAGAGAAACAGTTCTTCGTGGCTTGAGGCACCTAAGAGTGGGCTTATTATCAAGTTGAACCAACAGATTTGGGAAGACAGTATGACAGGGAGAAATTTGTCTTTCTGCCTCAGCCACTATGGACCACAAAGGAGGAAGAGACATAAAATGGTGTAAATCTTGGGAGTTGCTTTGGAAATTTTTCTAAACATTCAGAAGCAGATGAAATAGAAACTCCTAGCAAATCACATAAATTACCATTCCTACATTTTTTTTAAATTGTTGTTTGCACCAGCATGAGTTCACTTCCCCTAAGTCAAGCCCACCAGAAATTTGGCACTAGACTTTTACCTTGAACTCTTCCTCAACTACTTCACTTAAAGCCACTTAAAATGAATTTAGCAAGATTCGGACTATAACAACTTTTAGCTCAACAAGTTGTCACACAGCAGCAAATAATTCAAGATTACAGGGACCATTTTGGGGATGGTTATTTTAAAACCAATTTAATTTGTAAATACTATCTTGGTTTTTTTGTTTACTGTTTTGTTTTTTTTTATGATAAAGAAATAAGTAGGGGTAACATGTAACTATAAAAAGTCTACTTCCCAGATAAACAGTCCAAATGTATTAAGTGCTAAAGATAAACACTATTGTTAATATTATTTAACTTTGCAAAATGCAGAATATACATATACAGAGATGACATTACTGATCTGTTGCCATCAGTGGTGAATGTATTTTGGATCACTTTTCTTTTTCAGATTCATTACAGAGAACCTGAATATCAGCTTTTCCTTCTTCTTTCTCCTCTAACTTCTACAGAAATTGACATGATTTTCATCCACAACTCAAGGCCACATTTCTCAACACAAACCAGTTGGAATGTTTCCAAAGATTGTTTATAATGAAAGTTGCATAAAATTGTGGGAGCTCAGTAATGAGATGTTTCTCATCTCCTCAGAGGTCCTTGTCTAAGAGATTTCAAGTATAAGTAGGCAGCACAAGAAAGTCCAGGGGGCAGGAGAGAGGCCCCAGAGTTACAGGGAGGCTGAGGCAGGAGGAACAGAAGTTCAAAGCCAGCCTTAGCAACTTAGTGAGACCCTGTCTCAAAAACAAACAAAAAAAAAAAAAAAGAAAAAAAGAAAGAAAGGAAGGAAGGAAGGAAGAAAAATGGGCTGGGGATGTTGCTTTGGAACTTCTGACCGTCCTGTGCTCCAAACCCTTCCATTGTTAAATCTACAACAACCACCCAGAAGATTTCCATCTTAGGGATGCAGCTTTTAATTCTAACATGAAGGGTTAAGTAGAAAACAAAAATAACCTTACCAGTGTACTGTTTAAATTATAAGTTTAAACTCTGTTCTCTAAGGAGGATGGAAGCTGTGTCTTTACTGACAATAGTATCTTTAAAGTCTAATTAAACTATAAAAGGAGAATTAAAAACCACCACTATGAATTTTGTCTAGTGTACCATTTCTGCCTGTTTTGTATGTGGGTTTTATTGCTACAAACTACAGGAAGCACATATAGTTCAGTTTACCCTCCATTAGTCAAACATCTAGATTCACATATTTGTTAACATATAATGAATTTTTTTTACAGTAGGGAAGAATGTTTCAAAAGTGTATAATATCCAGTGTTAGTCTTAGTTTGGAAAGAACAAGGGGGGATTTGAAAGTTTCTGATTTGGTTCAAATTTGTGTTAATGCTTTTTTGGTTTTTCCCTTTCCTTTTTGTAAGTTGTCAATACTTAGAAGCTAATGCTGATTTGCTCTGGAGACACAGTCGTTAGAAACACACTTCCTAGTTAGTGGTTCCAGGTCCTCCCTGGGGCAGGCAGCCTCGAGTCCTCAGAGTCCCCAGCCCTTTGCTTTGAGTTGGCCTTTCTATGTTGGTACAGTTTTCCTAGTGTGCCCCTCTTTGTTTGAGCCAGCCTCCATGTTTGTCTTTATGTCTTTATGCTCATTTCTTCATTTCCTCCTCTGCTTCCCGTCAGCCTCCCAAAAAGATATGGGATTATACTCCTGGAGACTGCTCTATCCTTCCTAGAGAGGATAGAAAGGTAATTCCGCTGTGCCTCCTCCGTGGACTGTGTGTGTGCTCTCTAGCCTTGGTTAGTGTGAGTGTTGTGGGTTTGTTTTCTTTTCTTAAATCATTTCTTTTCTTTTTTTTTTTTTTTTTGTTTAACTTGGTAACTCTTTTTTTTTTTTTAACTTGGTGATAAAACTATTTAACAAAGTCTCTAAGACATATACTAATGTTTAGAGGTTTTTTAAAAACAATTACTTATTCTTCTGACATATGGTATGTGCCACAGTCACTTAGTCTGAAAATATAGAAAGTAGGCTTTTTCTTAAAGGTAGGTTTTTTTTTTTTGTGGTATTGGTAGTTCTCGTTAGCAAGTAGAATAGACTTTTGAAGCTCTGATACTTCAGGATTTCTGTTGTACATGCCTAATGTTGCATTCTCTGTTTTCATGTCTTTAATTTCTAATGAGCTCTTATGATTAACTCATGCCATCTGGGCCTTATTAAAGTATAACACTAAAAACTTCATTTTCAAACTTAACCTTCCATTCTGTCCCCTTTCGTCTAAACTAAAACATTCTTTCCCATCTTTTCTTTCTTGAACCAGACTAATCTAGAAAAAGATCTCAACCTCTGCCAAACAGAGTTAGAGGCAGATTTAGAAAAAATGGAGACGATAAATAGAACACCCAGTGCAGACCCGCCACAGGTATTTCCCGGTTTTTCTCATGCTGTCGGTTCCTTTTCAAACTCTGCTTTGTTTTCCTCTCTGCTCTGTGGTTTCTTATGTAGGTGAGGTGACAGACGGTGATGCTGGTTATTTTAAGCTGCATGGCTTTCTGACTCCTGTTTGAGACCCCCCCCCCCCACCCACTGCCAATTTTTGTTTGGATTCCTTTTGAGCTTGGCATCTCCCTTAAAGGGCATTTTTCAAATATGCGCAGAGTGGCTGGCGATTTAAACTTGCCCCCGCACCCCGCCACAGCYTTACCCTTCTTTTTCTTTGCTTTTTAGAGGGTGACCCTTTTAAGTTCCTTTCCTTTGACTCTGTTTAGCTTCTCTGAATTTTCAGGGAGTTATTTTTTTTTTTTTTTCAGGCAAGTTCCTTGTCTTTTTTTTGTTGTCCTGGGAGATACCAACCTCAGAGGTCATTTTCAAAAACATAGCAGAAGTCATTTGAGTGCCTTTTCTGTTTAAGTCCCTGTCAAAGCCGTGGTATTTATATTTTAAAGCTCATAAAGTTCTCAATGAAAAAGTGCACTTCAGAAGTCAGACAGCCCAGCCATAAACAAGTATTGGAGACCGAACCTGCATCAATATTTTTAAAGGGAGCTTTGTCAAAATGTCATTTATTAAAAGGTAGGGGAGAGAGCCAGGTGTGGTGGTGCATGCCTGTAAACCCATGGCTTGGGAGGCTAAGGCAGGAGGAACAGAAGTTCAGAGCCAGCCTTAGCAACTTAGTGACAACCTGTCTCAAAAAAAAAAAAAAAAAAAAAAGAAAAGAAAAGAAAAAGAAAGAAAGAAAGAAAAGAAAGAAGTACGGGAAAGAGAGCCAGTTCAAGGTAAATGGGTTTCTGAGGACAAGCCAAATTTATGCAGAACTGTCCCCAGGACTCCCTGGCAAAATTAAGGCGAGTCTTAGAGGAAAAGCTAACTTTAGAGAAAGTTAAAAGGAATGTGGACACTGCCAAAGAAGCAGGGAAGGTCCCTGGACTATGGCAGGAAAAGTGGAAAGCACTAACAGATCCATGTTATATGGATGCAGAGCTAGGACACAAAGGGTTGGACCACCAACACGAGGGGTGTGAGCAGTGATGTGGATGTTGGAAACTCAAACCAGGAAAAGGGTGGAGTAATCAGGGGATTTTGGTAGCAGCCACTGTGGGTTCAACCCCTGGTAAGAGCATCCAGTGTCCAAAGTCAGTGAGCTGCAGGATAGGCAGGGCAGTTAGAGACACAGAAAGATGAGGAAGCAGCATAGCCAGTAGTTAGGCCCAGGCCCTCCCTTAAAACTTGAAAGAGATATAAGAAGTGAGTCACCATGCACACAATTGAGGCAGATGGGTGACTGGGATTGGGGGAAGCTGGGCAAGGAAGAACCTGGTGTAGTTATTACTGTTGGATTGAAACTTCCAGTGGGGTGCAGACCATAGCAAGTTCTGGAATAAGAACTGTGGTGTCAGGTAAGTCCTGATGTGGGCTAGGATGCAGGATGGGAGGTCTGTGATAAGTTGGCTAAGAATGACTCAGGAGGCACTTTTCAAAGTAGTCCAAAATAACGTGAGCTTCCGTAAGCCATGCAAGGATGGGAGGCAGTTAGAGAGCCCCTGATCTAACTGCTGCCTTCCTGAGGGCAGAGCGTGCTTCGAGCACTCAGAACTTAAAGAAGTGTCTGGTGCCTCTGTGAATCATCTTTACACTGGATCAGTTGACTGATGCCTGTTATTGGTGTGAATATGTGTGGGACGTTGCTGGTGGAGGCCTACTCCAACACAAGAAGAGAGCCTTTGCCTTCAGGAACTTGACAGTTCAGTTACATTCATAAGTAAAAGACAGTGGTGTCTGCTAAGAGTTAAATGAACGGCATGGGCTCTGAGGGCCCTGAGAGAGAAGTCTTATGGGAAATCAGGAAGACTTCTCAGAGGAGTTAGCCAAGATCCGAAGGGGTGAGTGGAACTTAAGCACATGGCAAATAGAGGATGTCCATTAGAAGCACTGGGAATGCATTGGAAAGATCACAGAATCACAATAATTAAGGGATAGGACGAGGTCTTTTGGAATGAGAATTTTAGGGTAAAAATAGTAGGAGGTAGGTTTGGGAAAGAGTCTTGACCTTGGATTGCAGAGGTGCAGAGAATATGGCTAAGGAGACGATGAATTTTGCCCTCAAATCAGTGATGTACTTCTGGAAGTATTTTAGGGAGACTAATGGCATTGCTCTAGAGAGGATGAATTGAGGGAGAGGACACTGGAGTCTCAGAGGTGAGTAAGTTGTGGCAGTAGTCCAGGCGGGCAGCGATGAGAGTCCTGACAGTGGTGGCACCAACATAGAGGGCTGGGAGATGGGAGAGAGATCACCCAGGAAATTGCAGTGGGATATTTTACCTAATTGGTGTGAGGGACAAAGAACTAGGAGAAGAGAGAGAGACAGACACCCGTAAAGGAAGTATGAGAATGACCCAAGTGCTTCAGAGAGTCCCCAAACATGGACTCCCAGGAAAGGTCAGTGGGATTGATAACTAAGAAATTAGTCAAGACTTTGAAGGGCGCTGGCTGAGTAGTTGTTGGGAGTTAGATATTTGGCAACAATGAGGGAATCCTGCGGAAGTGCAGCACAGATTGAGAAGATGTAATCATAGAAGGAAGGAAGGGAGTGGGATGTTCCCTGAGGATGTCACAGCGATGGAGACCAGGGCAAGGTCTTCCAGGGTGGAAGAGCAGAATGGAACAGATGCCGAGAGGTAGGAGATTCAAGATGGAGAGAGGAAGGTCAGTGAGACCAGGGTAGCCAGAGGGCTGGAGGGTGAATGTGGAGGTAAGAGTTGGTGCTTTCTCTGAAGAGTAATGTCCTCATCCTGGACAGATATGCCATCAAARATGAAAGGTGGGTGTTTTGGCAGGCAGAGGGCAGGGTGAGTGAGCCTCCATGAAGGCCTCCTACTCTGTGCCGTCTCCTTTCCCTCTTCCACAGTCTCTCCCTTTTCTTTGTCTTTCTGTCCTGTGCCTAAACGTCTCTTCTCCAGATAGCTTGTTTTCTTCAAAATGATTATTATTAGAAATAGGAGTATTAATTTTTACATTGGTTTATTGGAAAATAAATATATTGAGCCCTTCACATTTTTCTCTCCAAGACAACAAAAGAGACCCTAACCTACACACTTGCGTTGCTTTCTCTCTGCATGTAGCTCTTGGTGATTTTCTTCTTTTGTGTGGTGGCCTGTAGTTTCATAAAGCATTCCCTGAAATGGTCATTAGTAGTTTTTTTTGTGAAATTACGTTTCTCCACATTTCCACACTTTTAAATCTGCAGCCATAAACAAATTATCTGAATACAGTGTGGTCTTTCAAAATGCATTTTTTKTGTGTGTGTGCATTCTGTATCTAAAGTGTTGCATTACCCTCTTTCTGGATGTGGTACCTCGGGCGCATGAAGGGATCTGCAGTGAGCACAGCAGGGGAGTCTGAGGGCTGGGGAAATGCTGGTGAAGGGTGTGCAGTTGCATATTGGCCCAGAGGAGGACCATTGCCTGGTGGACCTGCAACTGAAGACAATTAAGTCAGGAGGCCATCTCCTGACTCACCCAGAGAGCTGTGGCTGTATCAACTGGAAGGAAAAGTCCAGAGCATGGAGAACCCCTGTGCCCTGAAAGCTTCCCCTCCAAGAAGAGCACCACCCTTCACCAGCACCAGAAACCTTTGCATCCAGGCCCCTTGGCTCCTAGAGATTTTTGTCTAAATGAGGAAAGGAAAGTGGCTTCTCTCTTTTTCCCTTAGCTTGAAATCTCTGAGTCAAAATAAATCATCTACAGATTATTATTCTTTTTTTTTTTTTTCATTTGCAGAGCTCAGCAGTCAGCCCCTCTCTGGACATCTCCCCAGAGCCTCCTGGATAGTAAGTAGTCACTCCTCATGTTTTGGACCCAGTGTGTTATATTTGTGTCCATCTAATGGCTTCAATGATGTACAGTTTGGTGGCCAGTAGAGAGATCTAATTGTAGCGTTCAAGTTATTCTTTTGTTCTGTCCTTCTCTTTCTAGTTAATTTCGTGATGACTCATACTGCCTTTAATAAACTTTTCTTCATGTTGATGTCTTAACATAGAGAATGTGAAGTTATTTGTCTTTGTTTAGAATCCGTTCTCCTTTATAAATTCTTGGGAAGGGGTAGGTGGCTGCAGGGGAGTGATCCTGGTGGGATAGCTCGTGAGGTTGGGTCCTCAGTCTAGATCTTCCATGAGGAACTTAGAGCCAGGAGGGGGGCCAACTTAAACTTGAGTCTCACATTATGTGGGACCCCCCCCCAATAGATTCTTAGAACTCTGCATCCTCTACTCAGTTCTTCATGGGGTAACCATCAGCCTCCTGTCCGTCTCCCCCAAACCATTATGAGTCCTCTACCAGATTGTCCTCCTCTGAACTCAGTCATGCAGTTATCAGTCCAGCTATTACCCCCACTCTATTAGATAGGTGGTAAATGGTAAATGGCAAACATTCTAGATTGTTAGTAGGTACTGAGCCTCCTATGTCCAGTCTCATGATAGTACCTTGTGTGGCCCTTATTTCTGCTGCCATATACCTGAATTATATTTTATAAATATAAGAGTTAATGATGCATAAGGGCCTTAAGGACAAGGCCCTCCATCTCCATTGGTGCCTGACACACCCACTAAATTGGGGAAAGGAGCTGGTTCTGGTAGGACCATTTCCTTGTCTTTACACCATTATATCTGCAGCCTGTTCTTTGGAATATGATAAGAAGGAACAGCACAGCACAACCGTTACCTGTTCCATTTGGGTTGGTAAAGCCACAGTGAGCAAAACTGCTGTTTATAGACTTTTTTTTATAAGTATCATAGTCATCCGAGTGTGTCCTGCCTACCATGCCAATGCAGGTACTAGGCAAGAGGAGTTTCATTTGAAAATTGGCTGGGACTTGGGTGTTTCAGTGGGAAGATGGAAAAACTTTAATCCTTTTAGAATAGTGCTCAAAAACTCTAACAAGAATAACTTGGATCCATTATGTTAATTTTTCTTCTATAAATATGTGTGCTTCACGATTAATATATCCCAGAATATAAGAAAAAATTGAGAAGTATATTAAGACAGCAGCTGGAAGGAAAGTTACTTGCCTTCGTGGAGAGTTCCCACCTTGGCTTCAGAAGGCAGGGTATACTCTCTTGTACCCACTGTGGGGTAGTGACCAAACCACCAGTATGACACAGAAGTGTCCGGGCTGAGACATGGCATTGGGACCTCCCCCCCCTTTCTCCCTCTCCTCTCGGTTCTGAGGCTTAATTTGTTGAAGAGCTTCCAGTGAAGCTCTGCCTTCAGCTGTAAGGGTGACAATTCACAGGTCCCCTAGATCCCAGGAGATGTGCTTCCAGAGGTGAAGGCCACCAGATGACCTTTGGTGACCTGCGGGTAAAGGGCTTCCTCCAGGCCACAGCTCTCCACAGATTCTCCCAGGACCCCCAAGGCTGCCCCTTTGTTACTAGCTTGTCACTTTGGCCTTGCTGACTGCGCAGTGCCTGATTGGAATCTTCAACCAGGCCTCTCCCTGCCCTCCCTGGTTCAGGCTTGCCCCGTGTTAACCCTGCTGCCTGGTCTCCCCTTCTGCCTCTTCACCCCTCTCTTTCTCAAGGACACAAGGAAGAGAAGGCTGCTTCTGAGCTCAGTGATCAGATGAGTTGATTCCTTAACTCTTCTGGGATAAGGCTCTATGCTATATTCCTATTCATAGGAATGAAGATGTTGTCCTGAGTTAGTCAGCATTTTGTTGCTGTGACCAAAATACCTAATGAGAATAACTTAGAGGAGGAAAAGTTTATTTTGGGTTCTTGGTTTTAAAGGTTCAGTCCAAGGTCAATCAATTCCTTTGTCGTGGGCCTGAGGCAATGAGGCAGGACATCATGGTGGAGGGTCATGGAGGAGGAAAGCTGCTTACTGAGCATTTACTACCTGCCAGGCCTTATGCTTAACATTTTATCTACCTTATCTTGTTTTTATTCCTCTCAACATTTCAGGATCAAAATCCTCATTGCATAGGTGAGGAAATGGCATGTTGAGGTAGTGTAATGCCCACAGTTCCTTAGCTGGAACAAAGAGCGCACTGTCCATAGTAGGAACAGTGAAGTTCTGGGATAGGGAACCTGTGTCAGCAGTAAAGTCTCACCTGCATCATTACTGACTCCAGTTTGGTAATAAACTAGCAGAAGACATAGCAAGGTTCTTTGTTTTTTGAGCCATCACATAATTTAAGCAACCCTGTGTAGGACTGAAGGGGACTAATACAGTTTTTAACAGAGCAAATCATTTCCAGGCATTCTGAGCATCCATAAAGATATTTGATGTGTTAATTTATCAACTTATTTTGAATCATTGAAGTAGGTTTCTAAAGACCTCTGTTTTCCAGCCATGGTCAGCTCTTGTGAAATACTTGACAGTAATAGATAGTTTCTTCCTCATTCTTCTACTGTTTGAGGAATTTTCAGTATGAGGCTTGCTTTTCTCCTGGTTTGTTTAAATGCATAAGCTTTTTTCTTTTTTTCTTTTCCCCCTCTGTCTTTTATTTGGGGCTTGAACCCCAAAGCGCTTTGTCACTTTATCCTGTCCTTTTTATTTATTTATTTATTTTTATTTTGAAACAGGGCTTTGCTAAGTTACTGAGGCTGGTCTCAAACTTTCTATCCTCCTGAGGCTCCAGAGTCACAGGTATTATAGGCATGTGCCACAGCACCCAGCACACTTTTCCATATTTGTTATTGGTGAGAACCAGCCTGACACAAAGAGAAGTGTGCAATAAATGCTTGCTGGATAGATGGACGGGTCTGCAAATCTCAACCCAAATCCAGCTTGATTGGCACGGAGGCAACCTGCACACTGATTCTGTTCCCTTTTGCTGGATGGGTAGGGATGATGTACTCAAACTTTGTCTAACCCAAGGAATGAAGAAAGCAATTCCAGATGGCTCAGGTTCCCAGCTTTGTGGCCATTGGGGAAGTGATGCTTTTGAAACCTACTTTTATGTCTTGGACAGACTACAGTTTAGAATTTTGTTAATTAGAATTGATTATATATCACATGATATGAAAGGAACTAGGAACAGAGGAAGAAAATCAGCCATAGTCCTGATCCTGATATAATGACCAGTCCTAGCCCTAAAAAAATATTCTTATGGTTACCATCACAGTAATGTCTGATTTTTCTTTCATTTCTCTAGCATTGTCAGATGTATCAATTAGTGGGAACTACTCATTTTCATCATTGCTTGATATTTCAGTATTGATTAGCCCTGATGTCTTCTTTGCCTAACCAAGAGAGCTTTACTCTATTTGACCAGATGGTGGCACTCAAGAACAAGTCACTGTTTCCTAGATATACAGGATACCAGAGTCCCTTTAATCTGACTTAAGAACAGGCATAACCTGAAGAACTATATGATGTATTAGAGATTCCCCTGGTACCTGAAAGTATATCAGAAATCCGTGTGCATGTAGGCATTTACTTTCAGAATCACTTATTCCACCAGTGCATACTAGGTACCAGGCATGCAAAGACTAATAAAATAAATTGCTTCTGAGGGGTTCAGGTGTAACATGGGAAACAGACTGTGAAGTCAGTATGATAGATAGATGCAATGATAAGACCCAAGAGGAAATGAGCACCCCTTGTTTTGTGGAGGAGGAAAGGTCAAGAAAATGTGACATTATATTATAAATATAAAAATAATTGTGTCATGCATTACAAAAGTCTATAACTTGAAACTTAGAGTGGATTGTCTAGATACCCCTCTCCTCTGTAGTTAACCACAGTTACTTTTTGTTTTTTCCTTCCTGAAATCACCAAATTGTTTTGAACAGTGAATGTGAGCTCCTACTGAATGTCTTCTACCTAGGAGAGTGATAGAAACAGAGGACGTGCTCAGTAAATATTTGCTGAATGGATCAATAAGTAGTGTGACAGCAGGAAATATTTTCTAGAAATATCACTAGCAGTGATATGCAGAGATGATTGGAGGGAGTCAGGCTGGAGTGGTGATAGTATGTGTGTCGCAGGCTTATAGGTGAGGATGGTGAGATGCTAACCAGGAGATAGAGTGAGGAGATTACTGTTGGCTGTGTCAAGAACCCAGAGAAAGCAGGGCCTGGTTATTGATTAGATTTGAGTGGCAAAGGGAGGGAGAAGGGAATTGATTCGTGTGGTTTTCTGGCTTAGTTAATGGGAAGTGGCAGAACAGAGCTGGATTTGGCTTGGGATGTGTCAGTCTTAAGATTCCTGGGAAAATCCAGGTGGCGGTGTCTAGAAAGCAGTTGAATATGTGTCTGTTTCCAAAAGAAAGGTCTGTGTAGATAACAGATTTACAGGCGAGGTCTTGGGCAATCTCCCCATACCTGTTAGTATTGCAGATGAATGACATCAAAGCCAAGAGAAACATCCTGCTTTCAAGTTTCTAGACAACAGGAGCTTGGCTTAGCTGCTCCACCTTCCTTATTGGAGTCAGACTGGAATCTGGCCTTCCAAGACCTGGGCCACTGCCTCCAGAGCCTGCCTATTCGCACAGTTGGAAAAGTTGGCCTAGGATAATCACTTTATTCTTGCAGTAGCTGTGTTTTTGTTGAATCCTCTTGAAACCCAGCAGCCAGTTCCGCATGTTAGCCAGAGGCTGAATTCTCTGCCTGTCTCCTATTGGCTTGCAGTGTCTGAACCCAGATCTGGCTCAACTTGAGCTGCTCAGAGCTGAACTTCTCACCCTGTTTTTGTTTGTCTGTTTTTGTTTTTTTTTTTTAGACTAACAACAGTAACTGCTAATCCTTATTGTACCTTTGAGTCCAATCAAGCTTTGAGTCCAGGTTGCTTCTCTCATCTTCTCTGATCTACCTGGATATAATGAGGACCCAGCAACTCTGTGACTTGGGCAAATGCCTTCACTACTCTGGTCCTCAGTTTTCTTTTTTGGACAGTGAAACAAATGATGTCTGTCTTTCCAACATTAGGAGACCTGATGGGGATGATACACTTAAAAACATTGGTCCAGAGCTCTTATAGACTGTTTTCTAAATAACCCTGCCTTAGTGCAAAATGTTACACATCTGGAAAAAGTATTCTTTTGTCAGCTTTGATATCAGAAAGAAAAAAATTGGCTGTAAGCAACTCCATTCTGAGAGGTTTCCTGAGTGTTGGTTTGTGGTTCTGTGGGAAGCAGGAAGAAATGGTGATATGGGGTGGAATGCAGCCAGGGAGTGGGCTGGGCCGGGGTGAGTTCTGATGTCTGGTAAGGTAGGGAGAGGTGTAAGATTCAACAGTCGGTTGTGGCTGAGTCATGACAGAATGAAGTTAACAGGAGGTCAGGAAGGTGGTTTGGAAGTTCTGACCAAGGCTGAGGTGATTCAAAAGACCATAGGTGCAGCAGGACAGAAGCTGCTATCAAAGTCAGTCTTCAATGGTGAAGGATGTATAAAGGGCTTTAGGCTGTGTCCTCTCACAATATATGTCTCAGATACCACATCTATTGGTTGTCAGGGGTAAAGGACAGCTACACTTGAATCATTTTGTAGCTGAGGTTATTCAAAAAAGGGGAAACAGTTCAAACTAAAAGACAAAATCAGAAAATACAATGGAAAAGAAGCGGGTGGGCTGGAAATAGAAAATTTAGAAAAGGGTCAGGTTCAGTTTTAACTAAGTAAATTTAAAGTTAAGTCTAGTTTAACTGGCCTTGCATTTTTAGAAATTAGAATCTAGTGCCACTGCCTTGCAGGTCACCTTCAGTGTTCCTCAGCAATCTAGCAGGAATTGAGGTTCTTCTCAGAACCTTGGGGTGGAGGATGGACATCTGTGAGCTTCTCCTGCAGACAGAATCAGGTAGGCCAGAGGCTGCAAGGCTGCAAGGCTGGCAGCCCCTTGGCCCCAGACCTGCTCCCTGAGCCTGGGAAAATGTGCCTTTTTCTGTAGGAATGCTGCCTGTAGGCAGGGTGAGAAACACCACTAAGGACAACCAGCCTGAGCCTGGATTGTCCTAATTCCCTGCAGTACAACTCTTTTCTCCATGGTGGTGGTTTCAGGTCACTGATGTCAGGAGACAGGATCCCTAAAGTCAATTTAATATCATTCTTCTACTTGGAAAAGAATTTCTCAATTCGTAATTTCATACATCAGACGTGTCCTTAATCAGATCACATAGGCCAGTTTTAGTTCCAGAAAATGTGAAATTTTATTCATTCAATAAATATTTATTGAGTCTACTCATGGAACCTATAGACCAGTCGGCTCCTGCAATAAGGACACAATCGGGGAAAGAGCCTGGTCCCATCCTGTCCCTCTCCAAGGTTTCTCCCAGTGAGAGGTGAACCCCGGAGGAGGCTGCTCTGTAGACTTACGACATTTGCATGTTCTCAGCCCTGAGAGTCAATTTCCTTTTCTCTTAGAATCCCTGTAATGTTTTATCATGACTGAAGAGAAGGAGAAAGCATTTAATCCTTCACCCAGGCCAGGGAGAATGAGGAGGGACCCTGATGCCTGCCCCACTTGGTGTTCCCTTGAAATTGGGTTTGAGCAGCTCTTAACCAGGGTGGRCAGCAGTTGGGAGGGACATTTTCAGTGCTGGAAGCACTGGTGTTGCTCAGGGGTCCTGAGCCATTCTAGGGTGGGGACATTACTCTTCCAGACAGTCTCTGCCGCTTCCATTTCAGACTCTTGTGTTCTGATGCTGCTTGTCCTGGGGGTGTATACCTGGCCGGTGACACTGGATGGTAGTGACATAGTGGAGCTTGAGCTGCCTTGACCTCCCTCTGRCTCCTGCAGTGTGTAAGCCACTGCCTCCTCAGTGGTGGGGAGACGTCCATCTAAAACAGCAACTAAAAATATAATACACCTAACAGTGTGGTTCAGGTTCCACCTCTGCCATCCCGCTAACCTGCCTGCACTGACAGTTACCCAATCTCTCAGTGCTTCATTTCTTCATCTGAAAAAAAAAAAATGGCAGAAGTAGGCTTGTGTGTGAGGATTAGAGAGAAAATGATCACTAGGCACTTAGCACCGTGCCTCCCACATAGGGCATCTCACCAGGTGGCATGTAGATTAATTGCCATTGTTATCTGTGATCACAGGGACTTGGAGACTGGGGTCATACACAGAAGGAAGGCTACATTTATGGAATATGGAAAATCTCATCATTGATGGGCAGACAGAGGAAAGATGGATGGATAGATACGTGACAGAGCGAATTCAGCTTGTGTTCCCTGGAGAATCTAAACAGGAGAATACCCGTGTTCACTTTTATGACTCTTTAACCTTTAGTTTTTCTATGTATTTGATAAAATCCATAATAAAATATTGGATAAAAGAATTCCATCAAGCTGTGAGTCTTCAGAACTGACAAATTCATAAAGATAATAGGAATCTAATTTCAGTAGGATTAAAAGCAGCCTGGTGGTGCTGGGAGCAGTGGCACTCGCCTGTAATCTCAGCAGCTCTGGAAGCTGAGACAGGAGGATCGCAAGTTCAAAGCCAGCCTCAGCAATTTAGTGAGGCCCTAAGCAATTTAGTAAGGCCCTGTCTCTAAATAAAATTTAAAAAGGTATGGGGATGTGGCTCAATTGTTAAGTGCCCCTGGTACCATCAAACAAAAACAAACCAACAAAAAAGCCCAGCCTGGTGGAAGCCATTTGTTTCCTTAATAAGAGTGAGTGGTGTGTGTGTGTGTATGTGTGTGTATACATGTGTCAGTGACAATGTTTCAGTTAGTGAGGCTATAGAAAAAGTGAGATGATTAGGAAAAAGGAGGGTATCAGCAAGTATGTATTTTTATATTTTTGTGCCCACCTCATTCTAAAAATAATTTGTGGTATCATGAAAAATACCTGGAGCTTAATAAGATAAAAATAAATGAAGGATATAAATGGCCAATGACGTCTGCACATATCGTAAGGTTCTGGGCAAAAACTTTAAGTACAAAATTAGGCTACGAAGCAGGGTGTGGTTGTATTGTGCTTATAGTTCCAGCTATTGGGAAGCTTAGGCAGGAGTTCAGAGTTAGCCTGTGCAACATAGTGAGGCCCTGTCTCTTGGGGGGAAGAAGAAGAAGAAAGCACCTGCCTGTGATAACAAGAGCAAATATTAGCATATAGAATCCCAGTATATCATTTTTCGTGGTCACTGATTTTCCTAGGTACCCAGATAGCTGGCCTCTCCTCCTTTCACTGCTGATTTTAATGTTCCATCAGCCCATGTGCTCATGCAGAATAACCTAAAAAAAAATAATCCAAGTAATGGGCTTTTGGTAGCTGACATTTGCTGGCCACATGTTGGGGCACGCCCCTCCATTAATGTCCTTAACCATGTGATCTTGTGTGTAGCACTGGGTCCCCAGCCCTCTCTCCTACTTTTTCTCCCATCCTCTCCCAGCCTTCCATCCTCAGCCCTCCTCCATCCTTCTCCTGGCCCCCCACCCCTCACCTTTCCTCCACAGGCAGTGTTTTGCAGAGTTATTCTTTTAAAGCACAAACACCTCATYTCAGTTGGAGGGCTTTGTTATTTAGACAAGATTCCTGAGTGTCTAAGCCCCACAGACCTGTCTTTGTCTGTAGACATCTGTGTCTAAATCCCAGTGCTCTTTAGAAAGCACAGTGCTTGATAWGGATGCCAGGAATTGTGTCTCTTGCCCTGAGCTGGTAATTTGCTTTTGAGAAAAATATTACAAATGCTAACTCCTGTTCTTATCTCCCCCCCCACCTTCTTTCTTTTACAATTACCTTTTTCATAGTATATATTCTTCCAACTTCCATGCAGTGAAGAGGGAATCAGATGGGGCTCCTGGGGACCTTACTAGCTTGGAGAACGAAAGACAGATTTATAAAAGTGTCTTGGAAGGTGGCGACATCCCTCTTCAGGGCCTGAGTGGGCTCAAGAGACCCTCCAGCTCAGCTTCCACTAAAGGTAATTAACAGGGTGATGTCCGCAGGTCTGTCTCCCCTTCACACCTGTTCCCTGAGTGTTGGCAGCAGGCGAATCTCCTGTAACTGGAACCAACTCTGCCCTCTACAGATCCATATCCAGGCCTCGGAGCCCTCTTGTATCCCCTCCCCTGTTTTCTCGCCGGCCATTTTTCTTTCTGGTATTAATGGTTTCCCTCCCTCTGAACCCTGACCTTGCTCTCTCTGAAGCATTTCTGTCCTTTTTGTTCTAATCCCCTTTTCTTAGAAATTAGCTGAGCTTCAGCCTTTCCTAACTGGCAGGGTGGCCATTTCTTTCGTTGCATCTTTGCACCTGCTTTGCAGCACAGATTATTTTGCTTCCGGACATCGACTGGAAATTTTTTAAAAGCCCATATGACAAACGAGCATGTTACCTCCTTTTTTTGGTTTGTTTGTTTTTTTTTTCTTTTGTAGCAGCTTTCAGCTTTAACCTAATGGGTCTGTTTATTTTATTCTGCATGCTTACCAGTGGATCGTAAAGGTGGGAATGCTCACATGATTTCTTCATCTTCAGTTCATAGCCGAACATTTAACACTAGCAGTGCTTTAGGCCCTGGGTGTAAGCACAAGAAGCCCCTGTCAGCTGCGAAAGCCTGCATTTCAGAGATCCTTCCTTCCAAATTCAAACCCAGGCTCTCTGCTCCCAGCGCTCTTTTGCAGGAACAGAAGAGTATCCTGTTGCCCTCAGAGAAGGCGCAGAGCTGTGAGAACCTTTGTGTTTCTTTGAATGATTCCAAAAGAGGCCTCCCCCTCCAGGTAGGGGGAAGCATCGAGAACCTGCTCATGCGCTCCCGGCGGGATTATGACAGCAAGTCCAGCAGCACCATGAGCCTCCAGGAGTACAGCACCAGTGCCAGGAAGCCCTGCCCTCTCTCCAAAAAGGCTGGGCTGCACTTCACCATGTTCTATCGGGACATGCACCAGATCAACCGAGCTGGCCTCTCCCTGGGATCCATCTCCTCCTCGAGTGTGCGGGATCTTGCCTCCCACTTTGAAAAAAGCAGCCTGGCGTTATCCAGGGGCGAGCTGGGGTCCAGCCAAGAGGGCTCAGAGCACATCCCCAAGCATACTGTCTCCTCCCGCATCACTGCTTTTGAGCAGCTCATTCAGCGGTCTCGGTCCATGCCGTCCCTGGACCTGTCTGGCAGGCTGAGCAAGTCCCCGACGCCTGTGCTGTCCAGGAGTGGACTGATCTCAGCCCGCTCAGCTGAGTCCCTCCTGGAGTCAACCAAGCTCCGTCCCAGGGAGGTGGACGGAATGAACTCCAGTGGGGTCTATGCCTCCCCGACATGTAGCAATATGGCAGACCACACCTTGGGCTTCAGGGGCCTCGTGCCTTCTGAGCCCCTCTCCACCTGCTCAGATGAGATAGACCGCTGTTCAAATGTCTCCAGTGACAGCAGAGAGGGCAGTGTTCATGGAGATTTCCCTAAACATCGTCTCAACAAGTGCAAGGGCACTTGCCCCGCCTCGTACACCCGCTTCACCACCATCCGGAAGCATGAGCAGCAGCAGTCCTCCAGGCAGGCTGACTGGCGCCCGGAGTCCAGAGGGGACAGGAGTACCCTGCTCAGAAACATCTACCTGATGAGCCCCCTCCCTTTTCGGTTGAAAAAGCCCCTTCAGCACCATCCCAGACAGCCTTCCCCGGTGGGCCAGAAGCCAGACCTCCCTGGTCAGCCCCATCAGGATCAGCCCTCCTCTGGGGGGAGGCCCTTGGTTCCCACCCGCCTGTCTTCCCGACACGCCATGGCCAGGCTTAGCTGCAGCTCAGAGCCCCCTCAGGAGAGACCCATGATCCTGGAGGACGGCCCAAGGGCCATTAATAATGGGAACTCTGTGCCATACTCAGACCACGGCCTGGACAGGAACAACAACCCACAAAGTGAACTGGCACCATCCCGTGGAGGTGGCATTTTATGTGTTTGACCAGTCTCACCTCCCTGTCTCCACATGGCTTGCTCTGCCCCTTCCTCCCGTGTGTCCCTGGTGCTCATTTCCTTCTCTGTCCTTTGCTTCTGTTTGTTTTGCTTGGCAATTAACCATGGCTTGTAGTGGCTGCACTTCTTTAAAAACAGATCTCCCATGTCATTTAGACTAACCACCAAACCGTGTTTCGAAAGAAAAATTGGCCGATTAGCTCATCTGAGAAATGTGCCCATTTGAACTCTCAAGCCCCTTGCTGTTTGCACCAATCCCAGCCCACCTGTGGTTTTTGGAGAGGCAGCCTCTCTCCGTGGCCCTGTGTGTGTAAGTGTACGGTTTGTCCCCGTAGAGCCTGCACGATGCCTCTTTGTAGGGACAGTCAAAGAATGCCTTCTCCTTTTGTTCACCGTTTGCCTTCTGGTTAGTTTTCTTCATATTAAACTAGCTTGCAAGTAAACCTAAAAAGCACGAGGGAGAGGTGGGTTTAGGTTGTTTCCTTCAGAATTTGGTTACTGATCGTGAATCAATGAGGACTTTTGTGTATAATAAAAGAAAGGTGAAATCTTTTCTTGACCTGGTTTCACACTAAACATTTGCCTGTTTTTTAACACGACTTTGTTGTTTTGAAGATTCTGAATCACCGAGACATTTTATACCAGCTGATTACTTGGAATCTACAGAAGAATTTATTCGAAGGCGTCATGATGATAAAGAGGTAAATCTCCTTCTACTGTAAATCATTTCTTCCATTTGTATTATCTTGTCTTACCCCTCCTTTCCTCAATCAATGGAAGGGTAACTGATGTGATACAGCAATCTGTATACGGGGTAAAAGTGGGAGTTCCTAACCCACTTGAATCAAACCGTGTAATATGATGTATTAAGAACTATGTAATGTTTTGAACGACCAATAAWAAAAAAAAAAAAAACAGGAAAAAAAAAAGAGGTAAATCTCATCTTTTTAAATCTCCTAGCACTTGTGCAGAGAAAATCATGAAGGAAGTAGCATTCTAGACACCTATCAGAGGTAATGTGGTCTAGTGGATGGAAGCAAAGATTGGGGTTTTTGCAAATGACTTTTTATAGGTTCCATCAGTCCTCTTTAACCTGCTTTTCCAAAAAGTGGGATCAGTTTCCCCATGGGCACTCAGTTAAAAGTACCTGGTCCAGCTAGCACTGCTGCATGGGAGGCACAGAGCAGCCTCTGCTCACAGCTTCTCTCAGTGCCTCCTGAGCTGGGAGCTGGAGTTCACTCTTCTGCCCTCCTCCCAATGCCTGCCTTGATGTTCTCAGAGGAAGTCCACCCACGTTTCTCCCTCTGCCAATCCCTCTATTGTCACAAAGCACTGTTCAAATTGAAAAGGATGCAGTAGGAAAAAGAGGAACAAGAAAAATAATAATGAAAATCAACTTTGAGGAAGTTGCCTTTAACTCAGTGTGTGTGGGGGGGAATGCCCCAAGAAGTTCTAGTAAGCCCCAGCCAAGAGCTTCAGTGTGTGGATATTTACTTGGAGTGACTGAAATCTCTGTGCAGTAGTAGGAAAGAGCCCATTCTTCCCGGGATGTAGGGGGAGGTAGGGGGAGGGAGTCCTGTGTATCAGCCCAGTGGGCAAAATCCTAAGCCTCTGCCATGATAAAGCATTATGTTGCACACTTTGTGGGCTTTACATTCTCAGGAAAAGGGGTCAATACCTATTTTCTGTAATGAGTTAAAAGATGCAAGATGTGTTTGAAATAGTGGCGGGAGGGGGCGGGGGTGTTTGTGTGTTTGCAACTCTATCCCTTCCCCTTTTTCTGTTGCTGTCTTGAGCAGCTCTAGTGTTGAGGTGGAGTTCCTTAAGGATTTAGGGTAAGTTTGCCTTTGAGGAGAAAGGTATGATCATAATCATTGTTACCAGACAGGTGAGACTAAAGACAAAAAGAAACTACCATTCCTCTCCCCATCCTCTAGGCATTCAGTACCAGCCCCTGGGAGGAGACAAGGGGAAGTATTTGATGTAAAGAATTGTTTATAATCAGGAAATGCAAAACTCACTAACGATGAGTGTTCATCAGGATGCACAACAGATTGATTTCTGTGGCTCTTTGTTAAGTATTTCCTGCCCCTGAGATACAAGATAAGCGTAGGTCTGGACTGCTGTGATGAGGAAAGATGACATTCCATTCTAGTAATGGGACTCTAGTATACAATGCGGAAGGTTTTGTGGTAGAATTTGTTCCTGCTACACAGGGGGCCATGTTTTACTTACTTGATTTAACAGTGATTACACTATAAGTTGCTTACAGAATGTGAGCAGCTTGCTTCCTGAGTGATGCTGACCCACAGACCCTGGAATGGTTTGTGTCTTTACCCATGTTTTTTTGGCTTCTGTGGTTAAACCACAGGCCTGATAGATCTACTGAGGTCACATTTAAGCTCTGGGTTGAGTGAGAGCTTCACTCCATCTGATGTTTGCTTCCTCTGATGTTATTTAACCTCGTCCACAGAGCCAGAGGTACAGTACCAGAGGTTTCAACAAGGGTGTGTGGCAGCCTCGAGCACGAGTCTGTGCCCACTGCAGTAACAACGGACACCTTCCAGCTGTGGGGGTGTCAGTCTGCACCACTTCATGCAAATGCTTTATTATTAACATTGATGATAATGGCAGTGCAGAAAATGTCCATCCTGTAATCGTCAGTATGGTCACGTAGCCAACTCCTTTGTTTTGTTCTGGAGAGGACCACAGCAAGGAGTGGCTTACCCAGGACCAMCTGGCAAGTTAACCAGAGGCAGAACTAGGAATCAAAGCTCCAGTTTCCTGGGCCAGTGCTCTTTTCATGGTACTGTGCTTTGCAAAGCACTTTCTTTTCTCATTTAATCTTTATAGCCATTTACTTAATTCTGGAAATGCCACAGCTGTTTGATGAGTTGTTATTTGTAGACCCGGTAGAAAAGTCAGGCCCACCATCCTTTGGAGCTAGATGTCATATGAGGTATTTAATCGCCTGCTGGAAGAAAACTAATGTTTTATTGAGCATGCTGAGAATTATCCATTCTAATTAATGCTTTCCTCTAAGGGATATTAATCCTAGAAATGTAAGATTGTTGTGCTTTAGGAGACACAATTAAAAGTCTTTTCTGTTGGACCATTTCAATAGACAATGAGGGCATTTGGTAAAAAGCAACTTTGCTTGATTATTTTAAAAGGTCTTTAAAACTAGAAATAAACTGGGTCCTGGAGTGCACCCATGTAATCCCAACAACTAGGGAGGCTGAGATAGGAAGATTTCCAGTTTGAGGCCAGCTTGGGCAACTTTGTGATTGATACCCTTTATTCTCCTTCTTTTTTTTTTTTTTTGGTACTGGGGATTGAACTCAGGGGCACTCGACCACAGAGCTACATCCCCAGTCCTATTTTGTATTTTATTTAGAGACAGGGTCTCACTGAGTTATTTAGCACCTCTCCGTTGATGAGGCTGGCTTTGAACTCTCAATTCTCCTGCCTCAGCCTCCCAAGCTGCTGGGATTACAGGCATGTGTGACTATGCCTGGCTATGATACTGTTTCTTAAATTAAAAAAAAAAATTAAAAAGAGCTAGGGACATATCTCAGTGGTAGAACATTTCTGGGTTCAATCTCCAGGACTGAAAAACAAACAAACAAATAGAACGAGATGACTATTTTCCTAGTATAGAAAAAAATTGTTTCTTTTAACCTCAGGTACCATTATTCTTAGCTTATTTTTTATATTTACAGTCTACATCATTCCCTTAAACTCAGCTTTATTTTAATCTAATGAAGAAATAGTTCTATAAGAATGTAACTGGGGGGGCTGGGGCTATAGCTCAGTGGCAGAGCCTAGCATGTGTGAGGCACTGGGTTCAAGTCTCAGCATCACATAAAAATAAAGGCATGCTGTCCATCTACAACTACAAAAAAGAAAAAGTTAGACTTTTCTTAAAAGAAAAACTGGGGCTGTCAATCACTTAGCCTTGAATACATATTCTAAGGGCTCCTAAAAATTGTGCCCAGAGAGGAGTGGGCTGGCTTAGAAGGGGTTCCTTATTTTATGAAGTGGGCAGTGCCACTCTGTGGAGAACATATAAGAGTAACCAAAAGAGGAAGCAGCAGAATTACCTGGTTACAAGGTAATGAAATCCTATGGCAGATTTAATAGGCCTAACGTGCACAGGAGTCATCAGCCAGCCCTGGTTCTGCCTTGGGAACTACTGTGGGATGTGCCCAAGTGAGGTGGTAAAAAAGCAACATTGTTTGTTTGATTATTTTAAAAGGTCTTTAAAAATAGAAATAAACTGGGTCCTGGAGTGCACCCACGAACATCTAACTCCAAAGGATGGTGGGCCTGACTTTTCCTGATGGCTTCCCAGCATCCTTGCAGTGCCCTGGATGTGCCCCCCTGGGTCACCTGGCCTTTGCTGCCAGAAGGCAGGAGACTTGGCTGAGAGTGTGATCTTATGGAGTCGATCCTCCCTGGATCCCAGCTCTCCCCAGGTTTCTCCTAGGCAGTGCGCTCTCCTTCCTGCTGAATGTGAAGGGTGGTTACTATGGGAACATAGAGTTATAGCCATCTGACCCTTAAAGTCTCCTCATGGTTCACGCAACACCTTCTTCCTTAGTTGCTTTCGTTGGCATTTTTCTAATGCCCTGGACCAGATGATTCACTGCCTATTTTATGCAATTTCATGGCAGAAACTTTTAGCGGACCAGAGACGACTTAAGCGAGAGCAAGAAGAGGCCGATATTGCAGCTCGACGCCACACGGGCGTCATCCCGACGCACCATCAATTTATCACTAATGAGCGCTTTGGGGACCTCCTCAATATAGACGATACTGCAAAAAGGAAATCTGGGTCAGAGGTCTGTTTTGGTTGCCTCAAACTGCTGCTTGACCCAAAGCAATATTTGCCTCCCTTCAGCATTGCCCTATGTAGGTCAATTTAGTTCTCCAAACAGCATCTGTCATCCTGGCTTCCCTTAGCCTTGCTTTGGCTCTTGTGGCTGGTGAATGGATATGAGCCCCATTACATTCTGTGCTCTGTATGCTCAAGCATGCCTGGCTGTGGGACCGGGATCCGCTGACGCACACCCCTAATGCATGCTTAGAGCCTCGGCTGCCTTCGTAAGTCCAGTCCTCTCCATGCTGCATTGTATCATGATTCTGTGTTGCCTGTGTATATTGCTTGGAGACCATGTACCTGAGGCCACGTGCATTGGTAGCTATGATGTGAACAATTGCAAGAATCTTCTTTAAAGAGATGGTTAATGCAACTTATATCACAAAAGTTATCAATACTGTGCCATTTACAAAAGCCCCCCCCCCAACTTAGTAACATTACTATGAAAATCTCAGAGAACAATACTGCAGCTTGTGTGCAGATCTATTAATTGTAAGGCTTGTTCAGTGGCGCTGTGGCACCTCACTGAAGACTTTTAAAATGTGAAGATTTTTGCAGTTAGGATAAACCCATGGAGAGTCAGAGAGCTCTCTGAGAGACGTTTCATTTGTTCTCTTAATTTTGACATTTCTAAGATTACAAAAACTTAATATTATCATAGGAACAAAGAACAAAACTTTGAAGTGACTTTATCTGGGTCTTGGCCTCCTACACCAAGGTCAATATGTTGGAATTCTTGTGCTGGCCAAATGCTGCCTCTTTCGTAAGAGATTATGCTGTGCCACTTAACCCTTAAGTAGCCCTGCTGAAGATAGTCTTGTTTGGGGGAAGCATTTGTGTCTGGGACTTGGGGTGGAGGGTGGGGGAATGGGATCCGCAATATGTAGTTTTATAATCTATCAGTATAGTAGATTAATATTAATGCTTTTATCTTTTCTGTCTTTTGAGTGACAGATGTTTGTCTTTTTTTTTTTTTTAAGAAATTGAAGGCATCTGGCAATCAGATTTAAAGAAGGAAAGCTGGGAGGGGAAGGAGACTTTAAAGTGTGGAGAAAAAGAAAATGTTACTCAATTGCCTGGGAAGGGAAGTCCCTTAGCCCTCAGTCTTCTGGATCCCCCTTGGAACAGCCCTGTTCTGAAGGCTCTGGTGATGGGTTGACTCTCATGTGCAGGCCTTCCTGCCTGTGGATGAGGATGCAAATGAGAACATGCAAAGATACCCCTGTGACACATGTAAATGAAGTACAGCTCGGGTAGATGACCATGGACCGAGGCAGGCATTCTCCCTCAGGGGCCCCATCTCCCTACGAGAGCAATAGTTCTCAAATTTGTGCATCAGAACCCCCTGGAAACTTGATAAAATACAGGATTCCTGGGCCTCATCTACAGAGTTTCTGATTCTCGGGTGGGGTCCAAGAACTTGCAAGTTCCTAGGAAATATTGATGACATCCATTTAGGAGCCACATTTTGAGAATCATCTCCTTGGAAGGTGACTGATAGACACGAGAAAGTAGAACCCAACAAGTCCCAGGTGTGGCGTGTTGTGTGGATGCACTTTGTTCTTACTCAGTAGATCTTGGGTGGGAGTAATTCTGTGTAAGAACCCGCTGGAGGCATGAACAGGACTTAGTCTGTGCTCCTGGGGAGCTGGGAGTGAAAGAGCCTCCCTCATACACAGTTATCTTTCCTTGTAGTAAGATACACAATGCTGTGAGAACCAGAGAGATTAAGATGGGTGTGGTCTCTGGAGCTATAGGAGAGTACAGAGGAAGCCGCTGCTTTGTGTAGCCATCGTGACTCCCATACACTTCTTAGGAGTTCAGTGGCATCAGCGTTTCTCAACCTTAAATAACATATGAATAACCTTTAATGAAAAAAAAAATGTCACCAGCCCTCTTTATTAACGTAATCCAATTTATAAATTAAATTATAGACCACACACCTGTACAACTTTATTAGTTTAATTGTTCCGTGATATCATTTTGACAAAACTTATTTACCATTCAAACATGATTACATGCTGCTTTGGTATAATTTTTTTTAATGTTCTCACAGCTCTACAACTGGGTGACACGGGGACCTCCCCTTCTCCCACCCTTTTCTTCTGGAATCACTGAAATTTTTATCCTTACAGATTTGGTCATTGGGTCTTCTTATGACCTTGTCATTTATCATTAATCCCACATCCATTCTTTTCTTATTCATGCACAGCTGTTAAATTATACTCTTTGGTTACCTATAGGCACCAACATAGGCTATAGGCACAAACATAGGCATTAAAATTGTGTAGCATTAACTTGATTATAAGGTGGTTATTCAGTTGGCCTCTAATAATGAATGTGTATAGATAGATAGAAACATCAACATGAAAATTCAAAATTAAACATTCCTGTGGAGAATTCACCACCCGTAAGAATATCTCTGCAAGGCCCTGCCTCAAGGTACATAAAATTATGGGCATATCAGTAAAGTATTAAAGTCCTAAACTAAAGCCAGATGTGTTGGCATATGCCTGTAATCCCAGCGGCTACAGAGGCTGAGGCAGGGGAATTGAGAGTTCAAAGCCAGCCTCAGCAAAAGCAAGGCTCTAAGCAACTCAGTAAGACCTGTCTCTAAATAAAATGCAAAATAGGGCTGGGATGTGGCTCTGAGTTCAATCTTCGGTACCACTGCCCCCCCCCCAAAAAAAAAAACTAAGCTTGATGAAGCTTTTAAATGCCATTTTCTTGACAAGGCATGATGGCACACATCTATAATCCCAGCTACTGGAGGGGCAGAAGCTGGAGGATTACAAGTTCCAGACTAGCATAGGCAACTTTGCCAGACCCCGTCTCAAAATAAAAAATATAAAAAGAGCCAAGAATATAATGGAGTGTTAGAGCACCCCTGTGTTCAATCCCTAGTGCTGCATAAATGCATACATACATACATACATACATACTATTTCTTTCCCCACCTACTGTTCCGTTTTTCTTTTTTTCCTTCTCCTCTTTTCACACCTTCTAATATTGAAGAGGACATGCACTTTCACTTTCATCACATTGCTCCCCTAGATCAGTAGGTCATGACAGTTGGCAAGTTTAGAGAGGTTAGAGCTGCTCATGGCTGGATCACAGAATTGCACTGGAAGCTAGAAATAGCTTGTTTACATACATGATTTCTATTCTCCATCATCTTAATAAAAAAGAAATAACTACTTTTAAAGATGAGGAAGAAAGATACACAAATAAGAATGATAATAAAGATGAAATTCTTGCTAGAATTGGAGGTGAAGAAATTACAGGCAGATACGGGGGGGGGGGCTTAGTAGAGATGTTGCAGATAGATTTGCCAGACTGAAACAGGAAGCGTGTAATAGAGATAAAAGCAGTTAGGTAAGAGTGGGGAGGAGTGACCCAAAGGCTTCAACCCATGTCAAGAATTGAGATGTGATCTGAGGGACAGTTTGAGAGCCAAAGCCAACATCAAAGCAAGAAAGTCATGGGGAAGAATTTGAGGAATGCTATTTGTGCTCCTGGGTGACAGTAGATTAGAGGGAAGGGAAGGTGAAGTCAAAGGAAGCTTTGTGCCAGTGGGAAGCAGAGGTCAGATCTGAGCAAGGGGGTTGTGGACCAAGGGCGGGCAGGCGTGACTTACTGACAAACTTGATGAGAAAGTGGAGAAGGGGCTGGGGCTCACTTCCAGGCATGGTCCTCTGGGAGCAGAGCGCTACCCCAGCAGAAGCGGAAGTCTGCAGAGGGAGGATGAGCTCAGGGCTTGCTCTGGCTGGTTTTGGGATGATCTCACAGACCATGAGAAATATAGAGAGTTGAAGATGCCATAAGAAGTGAATCAGAGCTTCATCCCCTTGCAGATCATAATTTAGGTTAGGCAAATAGAAATATCCCCTGGAGTAAAAATGCAAAAAAGGAATGTCTTGGGATTTCTTGCTGACAATATTTTCCCCCCATAGCCACAATCAGCATGTTTTGGGGTCCAGTACTTAAGCTTTGGAAGCTTTTCAAACCATCTCTTCTCTAAATCTGACCCTCATGCAGGATACAGTGGACTCAGTGTTCATCTAGTGTTCTGCCAAGGTCAGACACAGGAATTTGGCTCACATTTCTATACCAGAATGAACTGGTTAGGCAAAAATTTTCTGCTTTGCTTTCTAGAAACATATGAAAATGCATCCTTTTTATTGCACGTGAATAATTATTTTAACTTGCTATTGTTTCTTATGTTTAGATGAGACCTGCCAGAGCCAAATTTGACTTTAAAGCGCAGACACTAAAGTAAGTGCCACTGATTCTATTTATTTGTCTTCTTAGCTGCCTCTTGGAAACACAGAAGTTTGCCTATAGAATAGTGTTGGAGAAATGATTAACAATTATTTTTTTAAAATAGTAATTTACATGCCAGGCTCTGCTTAAAATATACTGCATATGTTAACTCATTCATCCATATGAATGGGGACTAAACCCTGTGGATGGGTACTATTATCCCCACTGAATAAATGAGGAAGCTGAAGTCCTGTAAGGTGAAGGTAAGTGATAGAGTCAGGATTACAACCCAGGCGACCTGGCACCAGAGCTGGGCTCTGCACTGTACCACCTGGCCTCCTCTTCTATAGGAGCTCTGTTTGCTTGATGAAGTGGTAGCTTGAGCTGACCCAAGCCCTGCTATGGAAGGAACCAGAACCAGCCTCTAGGAGTCAAACTTTAGTAGTTTTACAATAATATCCCCCCAAAATAAAGGCCTATGGGGACCCACAGGAGACACATCTGAGTGTGCTCCTCAAAGTACTGGCCCCATAAGATGTTTCTCAAAAGAAGGACCTGTTAAAGAAATGAGTGAAGGCCCCACTGTGTGCTGGATTTAGACCTCTCCCCACCTGAGAAGATGCTTTTCTATTAGCATATTAATAACTAGAAATCTTTCAAGGAAGAAACTTAATTAAACTTATTTAGTCTAGTGCTTTCTAAATTTAGGAGAACAGGAAACTCTTCTGTTTTCCATGGAAAACCATTTGGGAAATGCTACCAAAGACTGGGTTCCAAAAGGAAACTTTCAGCTTTATATTTGATTATAGATTGAAACAGGCCATGACTTTTCATTGGCAGCCAAAAATATCATTTCCAGCAGCAACCCCTGCCCTGCCGATGGGAGGCCTCTCCCTGGTGATGAGAGGGAGAGGTCTCTTCTGTGGACGATAGTAAACACTGTGTGGAGGCTGCTCAGCCGTGGTTCTGATATCCTCCAACGCAATACGAATGACCAGGCCACAGTCTCTAGTGCCTAAGCACGAGCCTGGTGTATTTTTCAGTTCTTTAGCCCATCCGCTGAAAGGCAGCTGTGTAATGTATTACAAAGATATTATGTTTCTGGGTCAGGAAGTCCTGAGTTCAAATCCTGACTATGCCATTTACATCTCTGTGACTCTACATTTATCCATCCCTGTCACCCTTAGTTTCCTCCTCTGTAAGATGAGGATAAAAAGATGTCACAATGATACTTGTAAAACATTTTGCACAGTATAGCAGAAGTTAATACTCACACTGTACCCAACACACACACACACACACACACACACACACACACACACACAATATGAATACACTTTCCATTATGATTTTATATAAAAGTGGAATTCATTATGAAATATTCATAAATGCATATAGCATAATTTAAAACATTTTTTTTCTTTGAGCAACCCTATGAAATAGAAAAGGTGAGAAGGCTGAGATCCATGGAAATTGCCAACATTTAAAACATTGCCAATGCTGGAAAGCTGGCTCCTGACTCAGTGTTTTTATCACATGCCACCTCCAAAAAATGTCGATAGGACTTAGGAAAAAAAAAAAAAAGGATGAGCCAAGTCCATGGAAAGTCTTATTTTTTAAGCTCTCCAATMCCTTGGTTTTTATCTTTCCTTATAGTGTCTTATTCAAAAAAGTGTGCTGAGGGAACACTGGATCAACAAAATTAACCAGATTTCTTTCCCCACTGGATTTCACCTGTGCTGTGCTCATGTACGCAATGACATTCCAGACTGGTATCATGTTACTGTTTCCCAAACCTTCTTACCACCAGACCTGGCCACCTGGTTCTTTGAGAACTGGAGGAGTGATCGGTAGTTCAGGAAGAATGGCAGCCCCCGGATGCTGTGGTGTATCTTCTCTGGCCACAGCTACAGATCTCACCTTGGCCACATCTCTCATACAAGTTGACCTCCTCCTTTGCTTAACAGTAGGGCCATTTCAGCCCTTACACTGCCTTCATAGCTGCGAGACACTCAGGGTAGCAGATTTCAGAGCTTGCACACCTCCAGCAGGGCGGATATGCTGAGGATCTTGTCGCATCTTGGTGTCCGCACTTGGGATTAAAAGGAGTGGGAATTCAAGACACCCTTAGGAGGGCTGGGCAAAAATGTAGCCAGAGGCCTTCCTCCTCACAGAAACAAATGCCTCAGACTCCCTTCACATGCCTCTTCAGGGTCAGGATCCTCTCTCCCCACTGCAAGACCCACAGAGGCTGCCTTGTGCTTTTATTCAGCACAGAGCCTACTTTGTGTAAAGTTTTCCCGATGTGCCTGTTGTTTAGCTCTCACTTACTGTGGGGCTTCTGGGCACACTGCAAAACAGTCACACCCCTTCCATGTTACAGAGACCTTTCTTCCTGTTGGTTTGATGCACATGAAAAAAGATCTAGATTTTTTTTATTAATTCAAAGAATATCACATTACAATTTTTGTTATCCTCTTAAGTTTTCATTTTGTTCAGAATTTTACTTTTTGTCTCATTGTATTTAAAAAGAAGCCCTGGTTGGATGTGACTATCATTATCATAGAGTCAAGCAAAGGGATGGATATGGAAAATTGGAAAATTGCATCAAGAGTGCTTACAGTAAATCCACTTTTCTTTCCAAGATCTCTTTTCTCATGTTGAAAAGACAGGGAATGAACATTTAATGGATGTTAGCTTTAGAGCAGGCGCTGTGCATGGTGTTTCATTTGCAGTTTGTGTCTGCGTTCTTCAACTCTGAGTGAGCCGTTATCATCAGATAAAGGAACAGTGACTCAGGAAGATTAAGTAGATCTTCTAGAGTCCCAAAGCTAGTAAATCATAGACAGGGATTTAAACCCAGATCTACCTAACTTCAGAGCGTTTCTACGGTATGATAGAAAGATGGATGGTAAAACAAGTGGGTGGGTAGACGACTAAATGGATGAAATGATAGAAGGGTATCAGTGTGTGATAAATGAGTTGAGGATGACTTAAAGCCACGTGGGCATGCCTTGCTAGGATGGAGAAGGCAATGGAGGTGGCAGGGAGATTCAGGAGGAGACATTTTTGGAATAATGGAATAAACATCAGTTAAGACTTCCGGCTGCATTGCAATGTGGTGCTGTCAGTATTCTAAACTTTTAGACAGCGCTCACAAAGAAATGCATGAAGAAAACCACAGCAAACTAATAAGGCCCCCCGAGCACTTTCAAGTGCGAGTCAGTTTGAATGTTAACACGCATCCCCCACAAGACTGGAAAAACGCCCAGTGTGACATAATTTCCTGAATAGGGCATTTCTCACTTCCAAATATGGAGCCCCCTCTTCTGTAATGTGTCCCCTTTGGCTCTTCTTGAAGTCTCTTTTTGCTAACAAACTCAAGTGTCTTAATCTCGCACGTTTGAAACTCTGCTAAAATGACCTAACCTCTGTTGGCAGGGAGCTTCCTCTGCAGAAGGGAGACATTGTTTACATTTATAAGCAGATTGACCAGAACTGGTACGAAGGTGAACACCATGGCCGGGTGGGAATCTTCCCACGCACCTACATTGAGGTACAACAGCCCCTCTCTCGTCTTCCTAAGGAAAAGCCCAGTCGTGCGAATCACCATTTGCTTACAGTGTCCTTGTGTTTTGTCCCCTTCTCCTACTCTTGCTTCCCTTCTTCCTTCTCTTTTTTCCCCCCTTTCTCTTTTGCCTCTTTYCCTTTCTCAGCTTCTTCCTCCTGCTGAGAAGGCTCAGCCCAAAAAGTTGACACCTGTGCAGGTTCTGGAATATGGAGAAGCCATTGCCAAGTTTAACTTCAATGGTGATACACAAGTAGAAATGTCCTTCAGAAAGGTAAGCCATCTTTCCCGCCCCACGTATTGAGGCTGTCTTAGATGGTTCCATCTAAGACAGGAATGTGACATTGTGACATTGCTGTGGTGTGCCAGTCTGTACCCTAAAGAGATGCATGCTGATCAAAAATGGCACTAAGGACAGAGAATTTTCTGAAATGAGATATTTTTAAAATATACTCTAGTCGGGATTTAACCACATTGAGTTCACTAACAGTGTTTCTAGAACTTTAGACTCTTTTTTTTAATAAACTGTTTAAAACATCTAGTTGGCACCTAATGCTGTGTTGAACACTGTGTTGGCGATGAGATTTATGATACGTAAACAGGCCTAGTGGGGAAAAGAAGTCCACTGGTACCAGAAGGGTTTGAAAAGCTTTGAAGCCAAAATTCACAGGTTATCAGCTGTGCAGTTTGTTGCCTCATGGAACAAAAAAAAGAAGAAGATAAAGGGCCCTCTCTGGGAGTGGTTGTAAGAGGCTTAAATGAAACAACRTTCGTGAAACCACCAGTGAGACATGTAGCATCTGGTCAGGGCTCAGTAAATAGGAGATGCCGTTAGTTGCCTTCAAGGAGCTCAACGTGCTTATTATGAACATAATTATTCTGTGCAAAGAACTCTCTTTCCCAGAAATTGAAATACTCCTACATTTCAAAATTCTCTGATTGCTAAAGTTATTAAAGTTACAAATTTTCTTGGGGATATAGGGAACTGAGCAGATGGCTCATAAACAGATGAACTGTCTTATACAGTTAAAAACTTATACAGGAAAATCTCTGGAAGCAACTTATTTGCCCATAGTAGGGGGTCAGTAATTAAATTGTTTTATGTATACAAAAGAAGACCCTAAATTGGTCCATTAGGGTGTGCAACACTATTAAAAATGTAGAATTATGTTTCTTTAGGAAACAAGGAAGTTCACTGTGTATAGTTAAGTATAACAAACGCAAATAGAAAAAGGGGAATACAGCAAAAATTTGATTTTCATGGGAAAAAATATGGACAAGTCTACTTCACATGCATAGAGTTAAATCTGGAAAATCATAAAAAACAAAATATTAATAACAATGACTCCCYAACTTCTGGTATAATGGGTGATGATGGTTTTCTTCTTGGTATTTATTTGTGTGATAATTTTTCTGCAATAATACATGGAAAATAAATTTATAAAAAGGGAGAGAAAAATTGAGTCCCTGTTCATTTTGCTTCAAATGAGTCAAAAACACCATGTTTGCCTTCCAGCTTGGGAGCATGAATCTGATCTCCTTTTACTTCCGTAAAGACTTGAAGATCTAGTTTAACTTCCTAGCAATCAAATAGCTCCACTGCTGTTGGCATCCCTAGCCAGTGACATTAACTCCATCAGGTCCAGCAGGGGCCATTTCTCCTGAGCAAAGGATGTGCTAAATGATGCAGGACAGTGCAGGCAGGGGCCTCAGATGTGGTGAGGCCTGACTAGGACCCTCATCTTTCTGTGTCTTGTAGGGTGAGAGGATCACACTGCTTCGACAAGTGGATGAGAACTGGTATGAAGGGAGGATTCCGGGGACATCCCGACAAGGCATCTTTCCCATTACCTACGTGGATGTGATCAAACGGCCGCTGGTGAAAAACCCCGTGGATTACATCGATCTGCCTTACTCCTCCTCCCCAAGTCGCAGTGCCACTGCGAGCCCACAGGTATCTACTCTTCTCGTGACTGGGTTTCCTTCTCAAAACGTGTTTCTATGCTCTGTAGTGCCTATGGCACATGGCCCCTGCAGGAGGGCTCTTGGGCACTGTGATTACGAACTATCTCTGACAATGTAGACTATAGAATGGAGTTTGGTTTTGTGCATATAAGTGGCATTTCCCCAGCATGTGGTAGGAGAAATATTATCTCGGGGGGAAAAGGAAGGGCTAAAGATAATTCTGAGGGGAAAAGGTGAGTAGGGAAAATGAGAGACTTTATCAGTTGGTCGATCCTGGGAATTGAAGCTGGCGGTATGGAAATCATAACTAGTAGATCATTAATCCCGTGGCCTGGGGTGGTTCTCTCAGTTATCCTGTCAGTCAAGATTGGCTTGCAGAAGACAAAGTTTGAGAGAAGCAAAGTTTGTCTCATCCTCAGACATGTAAACCAGATCTGCAATAATGCAAGAATTCACTGGCACCAGGTTGGAAAAGGAACTTACAGGTTGTTGGCTTACACCGGCCTGGGAGGAAGTAAGATGGGCACAGTAAGATGTTTGCTGTTCTGAACACTAATTATGAACATACTTGTTTAACAATATGAGGTATTCCAAACCCATGTCCTCTTTCCAAAGCAAGAAAAAAAATCATAGCTTTGAGTTCAAGAGAGGCATGTGGGGTGACGAYGTCCTGTGGAACAAACTGACCATACCTGTGTAAGTTGTAGGGACGATGGCCGGAGGACTGGGGGACGCAGCTGATGCTTCAATGGTGCCTCTTTTTCCTCTAGCCCTCCAAACATTGCCTCCTCTGTCACTGGCCCCAGCCGAGGGCTTATGGTACAAGGCACCAGATGGGCTTCCTGCCCAGTGAGATGYGCATCCTGCCATCTCCTATGGGACAGTGTGAGACTGAAGCAGAGTGTTCTGCTCTATGAGAATGTGGAGAACTCAGCCGGGTTTTTCCACTTGACTGTAGTCAAAAGTGACCATAAAACAAAATGATCCCACTTCCCATGCTCCTTTCAGAAAGACTCTGCTGAGCTCCCTAGGGAGAAGGAAGAGCCAGGACAGGGGTGGGCCACCTTTCCCCCACAGTTCTGGGTCAGAGCTCTGGTTGCAGATGACGGGGCGGCTGGGGTGGGGTAGCTTCCAGTGTGTGTGTTTTAACCCAGTTCTGCAGAGCAGGCTGGTGCCACCCGAAACTGTCTGATGGGAACCTCTCCCGTCTCTACCACTTGCCTCTCCCTTCCACCCCACGTACACACAGCCCTGCACACTCCCATCCTGCACCCCAGTTTCTCTCAAATCTCACCAGGTGATTTCCTTTGGGGGCACCAGAGTGTCCTGCTCATCCTCTCCATTTCATTCCTCTTTATGTACCTAGTGATTATTTTCCTCCATTCTCTTTATGCTGACATTTGTACCTTTTGCTTCTTTCTTTTGTTTTCTTCTCTCTCCTTTTCAAGTATCCCAGTCACAGCAAGCTCATCATGCCAGCCCCCTCATCTCTGCCCCACCCCCGCCGGGCCCTATCCCCCGAGATGCACGCCATCACCTCCGAGTGGATCTCGTTGACTGTAGGGGTCCCGAGCAGGCGGTCTCTGGCCCTGACCCCACCCTTGCCTCCTCTGCCGGAGGCTTCTATCTATGACACAGACCACCTCGCCTGGTCGGTGAGGGCCCGTCCCTCCTTGCCTCTCAGCCTCCCCCAGTCAAGTTGGCTGGATCGCTCCACTCCACACTCAGTGGGCCCCCCTCTGGCCCTGCCTCCTCCCAACAAAGCCTACTCGCTAGTCGCCAGTGCCCAGGCCCCCCTTCACATCAATGGAGATGGTGGTGTCTACATGTCACCATCAGGCATCCGCCAAGATAGCTTCTCCCAGCCACTGCTTGGGGGCTCTGATAGGGTCATCTCGGAGCTTAGCGGTGCCTTTAGCAGCCAGAGCAAGAGGCAGCCCTGGAGAGAAGAGAACGGACAATATGAAAGGAGAGCAGAGAGCCAGGCAGGTGAGAGATGCCCTGGTGGACCCAAGATCTCTAAGAAGAGCTGCTTGAAACCTTCAGATGTGGTCAGGTGCCTGAGTACTGAACAGAGACTCTCAGATCTCAACACCCCTGAGGAGAGCCGGCCCAGCAAGCCTCTGGGTAGCCCTTTTCCAGGAAGGGAGGCTGGGCAGACAGAGCTGCGTAGAGGTGGCGAGGCTGAGAGGAAAGCTGCTCAGAGTGGTATGAGCCAGGTAGGCCTGCAGCATGACGGGGGTGCCCTTGGCATCTTGCTTGGCAGGGTGGGCTGCACATCTCACCCTTGGCCCATCGACTAAGGCCAAGTAGATGTCTGTGAGACCCATTTGCTTGCCTTAGGAGCAAAGAGATGGCCAAGGGAATAGAGGTGACACCAGTCATGGTGTCAGGGCTGGGAACCSTTGGAGGGAAAGGTCAGGTGGTACTCTGGCCTCTTGAGGTGATTCAGAAGTATCCTCGCATAGGGCACCCACTGGCCTGGTATGAAAGCCTGTAAGAAGGAGGGCCTTCCTCAGGTCTCATTTGTTCTTTGGAGCTTGTCCTTGGTTTGCTCTGACTAACAGCTGAGAACACCAGGCTTTGGTGTGGTATGTGGCGGTTTGGTTTTTGTGAGCTGCACTTTGTTTCCATAACCCATGGTGCGCTGCTAGTGCTCGGTTTTGTCGGGTCTCCGTCCTGTCTTGTGTTTGTGTGAGAGCACACGGCCTTGTTCACATGAACAAAGGCATTTTGGTTCTGGGGTGGAGCATGCAGGGCCCCCTTGCTGGGCTTGGGGTCACTGAGGGGACACACAAGGTTCTTTAGTAACTTTCTCATTATCTCTCTGAGTCAACTACAAGGATTTCAGAGTTTAGACACCAAAGTGGCCTTAGGATGTTTTGAGGGCTGACAATTTCTTGATGGGAAATAAACTTGGCAACCAGACTGATTACAATTCTAATTTTGGCTATGTCATTTCCTACCCAGGAAGTCAAAGACCTTGGGCAACTTCTCCAAAGTAGCCATGTTTGAGTACCAGCTCCCTGTTACCATGTAATGATAGGAATCACTTACCCTCTCGGAGATTCAGTTTCCTCCTTTGTAAAAAGAAGGTAACACCTACCTCATAGAGTAGTTGAAAAGATTCCTTGAATATAATGCATGTGAGTGCTAAGCACAAAGCCTGGGAACATGGCTGTCACTTTGTCAAGGGAAGCTGTAGAGTTACCATCTTGGAGGATCTATAACTGCATCTAGAACTGAGAACATTCTAGAACCTCTTTAGAACTGGATGGCTTCCTGAAGATGTAAATCGCTTATATAGATATCTGTTGTATGCAATGCCCACYGTGAACTGCTCAACCCTCAGACCTGCATCTCAGTTTCCCTTTGAAGTTTTGTCGAGAGCATTAATTCAAGGCCTGCTGGTGCCAGCTTCTAGGAAGGGTCCAGATGTCATTAATCCCTGCTCTTGAGGAGCCTGTGTTCAGTGAGACTCGTGGGCACAGCCAGGTTAACAGGACAGTAGCAGGAGCACAGATACCTGAGATATACTAGGCCAGACCTGGCCTGATGCATGTGTGCCCACAGGCCTGGGTGTGGGGGGAGTGGGAATCACTGAGGGAAAGCACATAGTTTGTAAGAATCAGCTTAGCCTCTTGCTGTCAAGCCACTTACTTACCTGCCATTCACCAAAGCTACACTTTTCCCATGTGCAAAAGCAGGAATGGAAACAGTCCCTCCGTGGTAGTATGAAGTGGTGAATGTAACTTGGATGCTTGGCAGGTGCTCAAGGCACCCACTGCCTTTGCCACATATGGTTTCCCCATCCCCCAGCGTGGGAATGTGGGATAAAAACAGTACCTAGCAGAGGTTTGTCCTGATCCCTGAACAGGTGTCCCTGGAATGTGTGTACAAAAAAGAAAAATGTGTGCCTGGTTGAGGGGTGGAGAGGTGGCCATTTGAAGAGAATTAAATGTCTGAGACACAGGAGCAACGTGCATGTTGATCTAAGGTGCCTGGACGCTCCTGTCATCAGTACTGAGTCATCATGACGGCCCAATTCCAGGATGCAGTGTGTACAGGAAGTGCGCACAGTGCCGGAGCTCCGGTGAGGTTCTGGGTATTCACTTCCTGCTTCCTAATGGACAGGAGTGGAGATTATGCTGATGGAGAGCCAGGCTTGTTGAAAATTGGTTTTCTTTCCCTGGTGGTCCTTCAGACCCCAAGAGTACCACTTTCTCTCACCTTCCTCCTGTTCTCCTGGCACAGCCCCTCTCTGTGGGTGCCTGAGTATAGGCCCTGGGCTTGCACTCTGTGGAAAGAGCAGCTGCCCACACACACCTCTCTGTCTCAGCTGCTCTCACCTTCTGTCCTGTGGCAACCCTGGAAATGGGGTCCTTCACCAGGGACTCCCGCCCCTTGGGTTGTCTTTGTGTGACAGACAAGCTAAAGATGGAAAAGGCTTACCTGACAACTGTTCCCATGAGGATGATGTGACCTCAGGCCGTGTCACTTGTTTGGATAAATGCATTCCAGACCAGGTTGTAAGTCAAGAAAATTGCTAGCCACCATTCACCTTGCTAAACCACAAGTTCCATTCTATTCTAAATATTTGGGGACCTAGGTTGAGTACCTGACTAATAAATCAGGAAAATTTTGCCTGAGAGACTTAAAGGAAAAGATAGTCTGAAATATCATCATATTTGCTCTTTATTTCAAGCTTCTAGTGTGTTCCAGGCACTGTGCTAAGTACTTCCAGAGATTGAGAGGGATGAACATCATCGGGACTTTCCCATTGCTCTCAGAGAAGTCCCTCCTCCTTCCTGGCCTCAGAAGGCCCCATGTCATCTGGCCATTGAGATGACAAGCCTCATCTTTCTCAGCCTCCAGCCTGTTTGCCTAGATCCTTCCCACCTATYCTTCATGTTTCATTTAGATATGATTTCCTCCTGGAAGCTGTCCCTGATGACCTCCCCCAACACCGGCATGACTGGTCCCAGGGCTCTGACTTTGTATTGCCCCGGCCCCTGCACTGACCTATGTGAGCACTCTTCAACTCTGATACTTGCCCCTTTGTTCGTTTGTGTCCCTCTACAATATTAAAGCCCAAAAGTCAGGGACTGTGGCCCCTGATATCTAGAAGGTGCTCAGTAAATATCCGTTGATTGAAAGAAAAGACAAAACTTGGCGGACCACAACTAAGAGTTTATGATGTGGCCTCAAAGAGTAAGATCTGTGCACAAATAATTATAAGGTGAACAAGAAAGAGAGTCCCAGATAGTATACTCTGAAAAATCAAGATGAGGAGAGATTTTAAGCAGCAGGAGGGGGCAAGAGGGTTGTCTGGAAAGACTTCATGAGAAAAAGAACATTTGATCTGATCTTAGAGAGTAGGCAGTTTCCCCATAGGTACAACACAAGGGTGTCATCCAAGGCAAATGCCTGAGCAAAGGCCCAGACCTAGGAATGAAAAGTTGTGTGTGGAGAGTGTGTGTTCCCCATGTAGGGAAGTACAAGGGCCATCTGGGAGAAAGCCTGGGACCAGAGCTTGGAGGGCACTGGCACCTCTGATGTTCACCAGCAGCACCTCCCCACAGTGCATGCTGAAGTCATCTTCCTTGTGGTCCTGGGGAACTTTGCCACACAGTTACTGCTCTGCTGCTCACCCCAACGCTGCAGATTCATAAACTCTTCCAGTAAGATGGTTTGACTTCACCCCTTACTGTTTCACACTGGGCTGGCTGCTCATGTTTTCAGAAGGACAGCAGAAGCTGGTAAATGAAGTGCAAGGGTCTTTAAGATGGGTTGGGAAGAGCACTGGATTGAAAATCAGGGTCACTTCAGCTCTGCCATTAGCCTGCTGAGTGTCTTTGAATGAGTCATTTCTCTTCCTGGCAATTTCCTTGTTCATAAACAAAAGATTCAGATGAGAGAACTGAAGTTCCTTTTGGCTTTGCTGTTTTGTGACTAGGTGAAAATCCTATATGAATTTCAATTGAAATGAGAAAAGAACACATACAAAATTCCAAGTTAGGGGTTTATTATAAACCTGCAGACTCTCAGGAAGAGAGAGTACTGTGGTTTTGTTTGGTATTGGGGATTGAACCTAGGGGTACTTTATCACTGAGTTACATCCCCAGCCCTTTTCATTAATTTATTTATTTTTTGAGAAACAGAGTCTCAGTAAGTTTTTGAGGGACTTGCTAAATTGTTGAGGCTTGCTATCCTCCTGTCTTCAGCCTCCTGTGTGGTTGAAATTATAGGTAAAGCAACTTAGTTAATTGGATAAAAACAAACAAACCAAAAAATCAAACAACACATATACAATACCCAGGAGTTCAGAATCATCAACCAAGTTCTTGGATTTTTTTTTTTTTAAAGAGAGAGTGAGAGAGGAGAGGGAGAGAGAATTTTTAATATTTATTTATTTTTTTAGTACTCGGCGGACACAACATCTTTGTTGGTATGTGGTGCTGAGGATCGAACCCGGGCCGCACGCATGCCAGGCGAGCGCGCTACCGCTTGAGCCACATCCCCAACCCCAAGTTCTTGGATTTTGTTGGCCAATAATTTTGGCCAACAGGGTTTAGAACCATCAGTCAAGAAAGTAAAGGGGAAGATCATCTTGGAAGTCTCCATTACAAGCATATCAAATATTTACCAAGGTTCCCCACAACAGAAGCACCATTGCTGACAAATAGTTAGCCTTGGTTTTTGAGAGTTTCTACAGTTCGTAAGCAAGCCTCATAGGAATTCTGAGTTGAAAAAAAAAAATCTTTGAAGATCATCTATCTCAGTGATTTGTCATTTTTTCTGCATCTTAGAACCTCTGAGGATTCCAGGCCAGTATAGTGGGGAGGAGGCTGGCACACACAGTTCTGTGGAAAGTTCCCAGGGGCTCCCACCTGAGTCCACCTGGGAACGCCCAACTTGTCCGTGGACCACCAGGTTAAGAGCTCCCAATCCATTCAACATTCACAATGAGMTGAGAAAACAGAGGCCTGAGTTACAAAACTTTTTGTTATAAAATTGATTCCTGAAGGGAAAGAAGCCAATCAAATAATAAAATCTGAGGGCATGAAGTATAAAATGAAAATTTTCAGGAATGCTCTTGTCCTCAAAGCTTCTGTTTGAGACATGCAAGAGCAGACTATTGCAGCAACCTAGGGAAAGGAGAGGAGGGAAGCCATTCAGCTGAAGACCAAAAGAGGTCTTTGGTGACTTCAGAGGGAAC